CGCCGATGTAGACAACTGTTATGGTGGAGACGTGAATGGACTGAGACACTTTTTCTCTTTATAACAGGGTCTTTGATCTTTAAGGTGAATATGTGCTTCTTTAAACAGTCTGCTTAAGTGAATTCCTGAATTTTAAGCTATTTTTATTAGAGTTTTATGAACAAGTCATCGAGTCAGTGTCATGTTTCTGTAAATTTGCATTGTAGATCAGCACACGACTAGGTTTCCAAAGCTACTTGTCGTCAGCTAGTCTGCGAGGTTGCAGTTGGAACAAGACGTCATCTATTATTTACGCTCAGAGTCAGTTTGATTTGTCTCTTGACAAATACGCTTGCTTGTCTTCAAGCATCTTATTGCTCCCCTGTCTTCAGTTTAAGACAATATGATTAGAAATTGTCATTCTTTTTCAAATATTTCCTAATATATGGATGGCTCAGTCGTTAGGACTGTCATCTCACAGCAAGAAGGTCGCTGGTTTGAGTCCCGGCTGGGTCAGTTGGTGTTTCTGTGTGGAGTTTGCATGTTCTCTCCTTGTTTGTGTGGACTTCCTCCGTGTGCTCGGGTTTCCCCCACAGTCCAAACACATGAGCTTCATTGCTCACAGCTGGTCCCACATTATTCAATTTACAACCCAAGCTCATTCTGGAAACGTAGCCCCGCGGACATTTGTGGAGACCGCGATTTACGTGGCCGGAGGTACGTACAGACGCGTTTAGTTTTTTTTAAGCGAACGCTGCGGGGCGGTGTGGCGCCGCTCCGCTCCTCCTCTTCGCGCTTGGCTCGCCTCCGAGTGGAGGGCTTTCTCGATGCAACCAGTTTGTCCGCTTAGCTCACAGCATTGCGTCGGCGGAGCGGAGGCCCCGGAGGAGGAGGACGAGCCGGCCGCGGTGGACGACGACCGGGATCCAGTCCGGGGAACCGCGATTCCCGAAATCAGGTAAGACGAAAAACAGAATCCGAAAAATAAGGGCGAGAATGCGGCGGGATCCAAAAACGCGGTCGAAATCGAAGACGAGGGCTTTTGCTTTTTTTTTCTGAACGGCTTTTGCGAACCGTCGCTCGTGTTTAGGGAAGGAGGAGGAGGAAGAGGAGGTCAGCCGATCCGGCAGCTTTTCGCGCGAGAACGGCGCGGGACCGAACGGTTCGCGCTCCCGAGAGGCGCCCGAGACGCGAAAAAGCGCGCACATCGGCCTCTCGCGGATCTGCGAAAACAAAAAACGCTCGAATACGTACCCTTCCAGGACGTATCTCGCGGTCCACAGAAACGTCCACGGGGCTACGTTTCCACAATGAGCCGGGGTTGTCAATTTAGGATTCACCAATCAGACGACTCCTAAGCCACTATAAATACCCCAAGCTCCATATAACAGCCGTCTTCACTTTGAAGAATCCCCCTTTCCACCCCTACTCCTCCTCCTTTCCTAGATGGATGGCACGGTGGCCCAGTGGTTAGCACTGTTGCCTCACAGCAAGAAGGTCACTGGTTCTAATTCTTACCAAGCCAGACGACGTTTCTGTGTGGAGTTTACACATTCTCCCCATGCTCGCGTGGGTTTCCCCTGGATTCTCAGGTTTCCTCCCATCGTCCAAAAACATGCAACTTAAGTTAAATGACTAATCAGCACCATAGACATGCTCCTAGTAAGTAGTTATCTTATAAGATATAAGAGCACTCACTATCTGTTCATTAGATGCTACAGCAGGGGAGTTCTCGAGATCTACCTGAGCTCAAACTCCCCTCTCACCCTGCAAAGAGGAGGGAGCCCCGGGCTCGAGGATCTTATGAGCTCAGGGCTTTCTTTCGGGACAGCATGACAAACAAGGTTTATAATCAATCAGCTAAGTGTGAACTATTGAATGGGTGTTTCCGAATACTGGGTTGCAGTTGGAAGGGCATATGCTGGAATAGTTGGCAGTTCAATCTGCTTTGGCGACCCCTGATAAATAAGGGACAAAGCTAAAGAAAAATGAATGAGTGAATTGACGTTTAACAGAGCAAGGAAATGTTTGATAGTACTTCCTATTATGTTTTTTGTTCTGTGGAAAGGCTTTTCTCTTTCAGTTTGTCTGGAACAGCATCAAATTGACATCAAGCATTACGACAAAAAGCATGTAAGGAAAAAAAAAAAGGCAAAACATTTGGGATTCACACACTGATGCACTTTTTGACCATCAAAGTAATGCCACAAAAACACAATATAGGAAAAGTTTTATTCATCTGAAAGCTTAAATTCCAAATAAAATTTTTACACTTTTTGATTTTTGATTTGTTTTTAATGTCATTTTCACATCAAGGTGCCTGCTGGGTACTTAATTGAACTTTAACCTAATTAACCCAGTTTAAACGCATTTGAATATCTGAATACTAGCATCTTGCAAAAATGCCATTGAAATATAATTTACTGTCATCATGGCAAACACAAGAGAAATGAGCTATTAGAAAGTAGTTATTAAAACTATTCTGTTTAAAAATGTGTTGAAAAAAATCTTCTCTTCATTAAATTTGGGAAGTTTGTATGCTGGTTGATGGGAAATTAAATATTTTTTGAGAGTAAATTGCCTACAGGTTAATGCAAAAGTGAGAAAAAAGCGGCGTATTACCGTCCCATGGTGCGAACGACATGGAATACACAATGCGATTGCCATTAATAGTGGGATTTGCCTCATTTGTATTTTCTAAGTTTAGTGTGCCCCCAGTTGTGCTGGCCAATTAGAAAAGATAAATCAGGTTGGTGCCAGTGGTGTAGTGGTTAGTGCATTGACACATGCACTGTTCGATTACCACCTCGCGGTCCAATGCCGATCCATCCCCCTCTCTGCTTCTCATGCTTTCCTGTCAATTCTCTCTACTGTCCTATCCAATAAAGGTGAAAAGCCAGAAAAAAAAAGACAAGAGAAATCAGCATGCATGCTGACATCATGACGCGAAAACTCTGATTGTAGTGTCCACATGAACAGGGGCGGACTGGCCATCTGGCAATTCTGGCAAATGCCAGAAGGGCCGGACCATTTTTTAAATGTGGGCCAGTCAGCTATTTTTAATATTATTATTTTTTTCATATGTATTATTTTTTTCAATGTAGGCAGCTTTTATCTCGTGCGAGATGTGAATATTATGATGACGATAGTGATAATAGTAAGAATAATAGTAAATGTTAAGCATTGGCCCAATCAGCAACAACCGGCTGGTTTTGAGATGGGGCGACCCAATCTGAGGTTACGCAGACATAATCAAAATTTGGCAAGAATGTCAAACAAACAGTGAGTGCAACACAAGCTAATAGTCATAGATGGACCATAAAAAGGAAAGGCAGTCAAGTCAGACATTGCCAATTACATAAAATTAACTGAACTAGTCTCGAAAGGGGGCAGTGCAGTGGCGCAGTAGGTAGTGCTGTCGCCTCACAGCAAGAAAGTCGCTGGTTTGAGCCTCATCTGGGTCAGTTGGTGTTTCTGTGTGGAGTTTGAATGTTCGTGTGGATTTCCTTCTGGTTTCCTTCACAAGTCCAAACACATGCTATAGGTGAATTGGGTAGGCCAATTGTGAATTGGGTAACCCAGTAATGGGTAGCAGCTTTAAGGGCATCCACTGTATAAAACATATGCAGGATAAGTTGGCGATTCCCAGATTAATAAAGGGACTAAGCCGAAAAGAAAATGAATGACATGATTGCGTATATAAATGGGTTGTTTTTGTTTCAGTCACATACATTAAATGTTTAAATATCTCTTAAATAAGTACCGCTTATATCATTTTACCATCTGTACACAAATTTAAGTAGTGAATGTGCGTGTCCTTGGGTGGGGCTGTGTCGGTGTGGTAATGTGGGCTGGTGTGGCTGCAGTGCCAGGGCTGATTTTTAGTCCCAGTCCGTCCCTGCACATGAACACACTGTACCTGGAGTTTCTGAATATATTTTCCCTTGCCGGAGTTTCCAGAAAGCTTTGGTTTCAATCACCAGATACTGCCCTTTTATGTGGACAAACGGCCGTTTTGAAAATACCCAGGTTTGTCAATAACCAAATCCAGCTAACTGAATAATCCACGTATGAAGAATGGACCCCTGACCTCCTGGACCGAGTTTGGACTTAGTCCAACCAACTTGTTTTGTTAAATTTATCTACTTAATTTAACATAACTGCATTCCTTTTTGATTCAATTCAAATGTGGGGAACCCATCATTCTTTTACAATGGATTCCAGTTAGACACCCCTGCTGAAAAATCCAGCATAAACCAGCCTAGGCTGGTTGGCTGGTTTTAGTTGGTTGACCAGCCTGGTTTTAGAGGGGTGTTGGCCATTTCCAGGCTGGTTTTCAGCCATTTACAGCCTGGTCTTAGCTGGTCAGGCTGGAAAATTACCAGCCAAATCCAGCTAAAACCAGCTTGACCAGCCTGGTTTAAGCTGGATATAGCTGGTTTTGGCTGGACTCCCAGCTTGGCTAGGCTGGTCAAGCAGGTTTTAGCTGGTCATGTCCCAGCCTGACCAGCTAAGACCAGGCTGGAAATGGCTGGAAACCAGCCTGGAAGTGGCCAAAACCCCTCTAAAACCAGCCTGGTCGACCAGCTAAAACCAGCCAACCAGCCAAGGCTGGTTTAAGCTGGATTGTTCAGCAGGGACAGAAAACAATATTTAAAGTTCAGAGTTTATTCTCCTTTTTACCATGCCTTCAAACTTTTAAGTGGAATATGTCAACACACTGCACTGCTATTTGCTGAAATCAAGTTGATATTGTGATATGTTGGCAGAAAGCATCGTTCAGTGTTACGTACAGTCCATCACTGGTCAGAGTTCCAGATGAGCAGGATTATGTTCAACCTATACAACATGTTTCTCCAGCAGTTTTACCGTTTAGCTGCTTTTACCTAGCTTGTCAGGTTTTTGAGAACCATCCCCAGAGTAGCAGCCTGTCAAAATCCCACACGATCTCTCTCTCATCAGGAACTAGTTCTAGTTACCAGTGTCTCGGGTTCAGCACTCATTCAGTATTCATGGCCATATCACATCTCTCCCAACCATCTCCAGGCTTAGACCAAACCAGACTCTTTTTGAGTTACTTTTGTGGCCTCTCCGTTTCTGCCTTCCAAATGTCAATAATGGCTTTCTAGACTTGCTATTTTAAAGACGCCTCAAGACTGGAGCCAGTTTGTCCGATCCTGCAAACTCCTCGATGTGATTGAGAAGCAGAAAACGGCTGCTGAACGGTGAGTCGACAGCATTTCATCCGACTTTAGTTTGGGTTTGTGTGTCACGGAAAGCCAAATATCGCAATCCTGTGTTTGTAACTTAATAACAGCGCAATATGGATACAGCATATCCGTTGTGGTGTTTGACGTATTCAAGAAAACGTAGAATATAATGGGGAATGTGCTGTAAGTAGTGGGATAAAATGTTTTGTGAATTAATTTAGGATGCTCCAGAGACAGGGTATGGTTAATATATATGTGTTTTAAAGGATAACTAGTAATTTTTTAAATACTATTGACTTTATATGAGGAGACTCTTGTTTTGAAGCCAACGGAGTAGTTAGTAATGCTCAGTTTCTTTCATCGTTCCTTTTTTCTTTCTCATTTACAACATGCATTATTAAAACTTCAAGGTAATCAATATGTTTTTAATGCATGTCTATGAGTATGCTGATTATGCAAATGAATTCAGGGCTAATTCAATTCTTTATGTATATGCAAATTATTAATAGGTTAGTCGGCTTTTTTTTATTATTGAGGGCAAAATACTAGGCTGGCTATTGCTGTTTGTCGTTGAATATAATGCAAAGCTTGAATGTAATGTGAATGTATTGAAATTGAGAGATTTTTAACTTGAATTTTCATATTCAAAAGGTTTACATACGCAGAGGATACGTCAAGCTCATAACAATGAAGCGTAATAAGCATCGCTCCTCCAAGGATGATGGCAAAGGTCAAGGTGAAGCGTTTTTTATTAAATTATGTGAACATATCTGGATTATGAATACTTTAACAGTATTACTTCAGACATTGTAAATAATGAAGATATGTAATGATTATGCAATATTATTTTATTTGTTATATATTCAGTTGAAGTCAAAATTATTTAATATAATTTTCCTGTGAATTTCATTTCCCAAATGATGTTTAACAGAGCAAGGAATTTTTCACAGTATTTCCTACAATATTTTTTCTTCTGGAGAAAGTCTTTATTTGTTTTATGTCAGCGAGAATATTTTTTTTAAAGCCATTTAAAGAACAATATTATTAGACCTTCTAAGCAATAATTGTTTTGGATTGTCTACAGAACAAATCACTTGCCTAATTATCCTAACTTTACCCCAGTTAAGTCTTTAAATGTAACTTTAAGATAAATACTAGTATCTTGAAAAACATCTCAGATATTATGTATTGTCATCATGGCAAAAAGAAAAGAAATCAGTTATTAGAAATGAGTTATTAAAACTATAATGATTAGAAATTGGGGGAAAATTTAGAAGGGGCTTATAATTCTGACTTTAACTGTATGTATTTTATGTGTGTATTTAACTTTTTATTTAAAAATTTTAATGTGTTTATAGTGAATTAATTAACTAAAAAGCTGGTCATATCGATGTCTCCTCATATTTGTTTTGTTCAGATGAACCAGCCATTCTGGAGACGGAGGACATGAGGATGCCGGACCCTGACACCATCTCACTGGCATCCGTGACTGCTGTCACCACCAATGTCTCCAACAAGAGGTGACCAAAGATGATCTCATTACAGTCACATGACTCTGTATCAAACATGATATGTTTATAAATTAATATATAAATTAATAAAAATACCAATTAAAAGTAATTTAAAATACATTTTGCAAATTAATAATTAAGTTCAAAACATATTGTGTAGATAGACATTTCTTTAAATTGTACTTATAAATGTAACTACATCTGCAATTAACCTGTTGACTGACCGTTAAACCTACCTGTCCCACTGAACCTGTCCTCAACTTTAAGGTACCCTTTAGGTCGGTTGACACCAAGAATTATAAATATAAATATAATGATAAATATAAACTAAATAATAATAATTTGTTTGTTTACTTTTAGTTTATGCTTTTCTTCTGCATTACCCCACTGTGCTACTTCTGCATCTGACCAGCAAATCTTTTTGTACAAATTATCCGACTAAGCCTGTCCCCAAACCTCAAACCTACCTGTCCCCAAACAACCAACTCTTAAACCACCTCATCTCATTGAACCTGTCCCCAACCTTAAAAACCTCAAAACTACCTGTTACAATTCCGACCCAACTCTTAGGGTGCTTTCACACCTACACTTTTGTTTCGGAACGTATCTCGTTTGCCCAGTTAGCGCGGTTCGATTGGCATATGTGAACAGGGCAATCGCGCTCTGTTCCGCGCCAAAGTAATCGCTCCGAGATCGCTTGAATGAGGTGGTCTCGGCTCGATTGAAACGAACCCTGGAGCGGTTCGATTGCAGTGAGAAAGCGATCCGATCCGAGAGCGGTTATATCACAGTGTTTTATGGATATGTAATAGGCTTACGGCTATATGAAGACAGAATTATGAGTAGGGCGGGAAGTTTCGCGAGTCTCCGGATGCCCGCAAACGAGTGATGATCTCCTGGTAATCTTGCGTTTCCCTCCCGGCCCTCAAATAGGGATTGTCGCGCACCCTTCTCACCCCTCCCCACCGCATCTCTCCTCAGACATGTCGCGCGCACACCCTGTCAATCACCACCAAACCACCACCTCTCCTGACAGTTTAGCGGGACGCTGCAAAATAAACCCTGACTCTGACCAATGTAAGGAGAGTTTACTCGCACGTGACTTGTTTTAGCTCTTTTGGTCCGATTCGAAACTTTGCAGTGTGAAAGCGAACCGCTCCAAGAGCAAAGAGCAACAATGTAACAATTGTAATCTCTGTTTCGGAACAACTGAATCGATTCACAGGTGTGAAAGCACCCTTAAACTAACCTATCCCACTGAACCTATCCCCAGCCTTAACCAAGCGTTAATCCAACCCAACCCACTGAACCTGTCCCCAAACTTAACCAATGAAATTAAATGTTTCGGGGTTTTTTTGTAAATACCTTGTATTTACAGACACCAAAAATAAAGGTCTCATTTTCTAATATAGCACTGTGGGTTGACTAACTATTTTTTTTTTAAATCTTGACTAACTCTTCTTTCTTAATCCAAAACTGTCCTAAATGTTTTAGATCAAAGCCTGACATCAAGATTGAGCCTAGTGCTGGAAGACCAATGGATTTCCAAGTATGTTGTTTACAGCAAATTGCTATTTTTGACACAGAAAGATTAACATAAAGCTTATAAGACAGAATTAAGGGATACATTTAGAGTTAATGTTAAATTTACTCTTACAAATTGTGTACTTCTACATAATTTTTATGCAACTATTATCCCCCTTTGGTTTTGGGAATAACTTAAAGTTAGGGTTGGGTTTAAGGGTCGGGAATAGGATTATATTTCTCCACTAAAATTACTTTCCAGGATCAACATAGATGTTAATCCATGATCACATCATACTTGGCAAAATCAGACACCCATATTTATTGTTTAGATACAATATACAGACATCAACAATTATGTTTTAATGCTAAACTGAGTATCACTTTACCATCCAGGTCAGTGTTACTGTGATAGAGGCTCGACAGCTGGTGGGCTTGAACATGGATCCAGTGGTGTGTGTAGAAATTGGTGATGATAAAAAATACACTTCAATGAAGGAGTCGACCAACTGCCCTTACTACAATGAGGTGTGTTACTCTTTATTTTGTGATTGTGATATTGTCCTGTGGAACTGTAATGAACATAGTATACTGTATATAGTGTTGCATGTTGTCCACTGAACGGCAAGGGTTTTAACATTTAACATTTTTATTCTAGTACTTCGTTTTTGACTTCCACGTTCCTCCTGATGTGATGTTCGACAAAATCTTGAAAGTGTCGGTAAGTAGCATTGAATAACAGTTTACAACAGTGATTCTCAAACTGTGGTACGTGTACCACTAGTGGTACGCGAGCTTCCTTCTAGTGGTAAGTGGAGGAATCAAATATGTCATATGTAAATGCTAGATATATTTAAAAATGTATCAAAATGATTTGTATATGAATATGACAACATATAGCCCATATATACTATATGTTAATACTTTACATTTAAGTACGGCCGTTTTCTTTTTACTTTTTAAGAACAGTAACCTGCCATTTTTAACTTTTAAAAGCACATTTTAATTTAAATGTTGACGTTTTTAGTTTTTCTTTTTGTTTTTTTACATAAGCACAGTACATTCTTAACGTTCAGACTATTTATAATGTTTAAAGTGGCTGACAAAAATAAATATTCGTAATAATAGTAATTAATCTGACACGTTTTTGAACTGTGCTGAGCTGTAGTTGCTTAATTTGGTCTACTACGCTATGTATTTCAGTACTGCTCATTATAGTGGTACTTGGAGAGACAATTTTTTTTCTGAGGTGGTACTTGATGAAAAAAAGTTTGAGAACCGCTGGTTTAGAATATATAATTTAATTAATAATAAAAATGTAATGTATATAATATGTAACTTAGCATATTTTTTAAAGGCATAGTTCAACTAAAAACGAAACTTTTGTCATCATTTACTCTCCATTCACTTGTTCCAAATCTGTTTCGTTTTTTCCAGTTGAACACAAATGAAGATAATTTGAAGAAAGCTGGAAACCTGTAACGGTTGAATTCCATAGTATTTGTTTTTTCCTCCCTATGGATGTCAATGTCAACTTTCGTCAAAATATATTCATTTCATAAAGGTTTATAATCACTTGAAGTGATTAAGTAATTGGGGAAAGTTTTATTTTTATGTGATCTCTTTAATGAAAAAATATACATTAAAATCATTTACTTCAGTGTCAACTTGTCGGACAACTACATTAAAAATGGAATCAAATAAAAATAAAGTTATATAGTCGGTTAGTGCGTCGACACGCACTCATGCACATGCACTGTGCTCACGGCGACCCGAGTTCGATCCCGCCTCGTGGTCATATGCCGATCATTCCCCTCCCTATGCTTTCCTGTCAATTCTTTGTACTGTCCTATCGAATAAAGGGGGAAACCCCTAAAAAAATAAATAAAGTTATGTAGTTTTAATGTAGAAGTGCTTTAGAGTACTTTTAAAACATAGTAAACAACATGTGAAAATGCATACTTATGCTAGTCTTGTGCTAAAATGCTATTCCATGTTATCCATGTCATAAAAGCATGTTAAAACATTCCAATTAATGCTAGCATAGTGTTAAAAAAGCTTTCTGGCGACGATTAAAAAATGTTGGTCATGTAACATATAAATAGATATAAGATATAAATATCTTCAAGAAAAGTAAAGTGGTAATTCATCGCATATAATAAATAATGCGCAAATACAGTTTTCTATTTAAAATATATGATTTTAAGATTTAAAATACGCATGTGGACATTTTACGAAATTAAAGTGGTCACTTTATCGTTTAGCGTTTAGCATTAAGCAAAATAAGCTTCACTTCGTTTACTGTGGTCTTTATTGTTTAGCGTAAATCTCCCTAGCATTAGCATGATTTAAAATACTGCGTTCACACAGGTGATCCATTCGAAGAATCTTCTGCGAAGCGGCACGCTGGTCGGGAGTTTTAAGCTTGATGTTGGCACTATATACACACAACCTGGTAAACACTGTAATCCTTCCATATCAGTCTCTCAATTTCACTCAGATATAGAGATTTGAAGATATTTTTGATTCACAGACCATCAGTTCTTCCACAAATGGGCGACATTATGTGATCCCGAAGACATCACTGCCGGATTGAAGGGCTATGTCAAGTGTGACATTGCTGTCGTGGCGAAGGGCGACACAATTAAAACTCCACACAAAGCCAATGAAAATGATGAGGACGACATTGAGAGGTATAAAGCACTGTATTATGTTGTTAATCTTATAGGCAAACTTCAGTTATGATAGTTCCTATGAACTAAACCTTTACTTGCAATACTGTTTAAATCTATACTGGAAAAAAAACAATAGACCAACTTTAGTTGTGGAGTGTAACTAAGTATTTTTACTTCACTTGTGTACTTAAGTACATATTTTAAGTATTTGAACTTTTTTGGAGTATGTTTATTTTAGGAGGAAACCTTTACTTCACTACATTCCAAAACAAAAGAGTGTACTTCTTACTCTACGTTTCCTAAATGTAGTTGAATAAAAAGTTATTTTGAAGTAGGGAATTTGGAGTGGAAAGGAGAGATAGTGGTGTTTGATTTGTGAACAAGCTGAATTTTACCAGTTAGCATGTTAAATTAGTTCACAAATTACACAGAAAAACTAATTGGACTGACATTTGATCCATTCAGAGTGAGTCTCCAGTAAACAACTCACTGATTCAAATGATCCGTTCAGAGTTAATCTCCAGTAAACAACTCACTGATTTAAATAATCTGTTTAGAGTGAGTTTCGGGTAAACAGCTCACTGATTCAAATGATCCGTTCAGAGTAAATTTCCTGTAAATGACTCACTGATTCTAGTGATCCATTCATAGTGAGTTTCCAGTAAACAACTCACTGATTCAAATGATATATTCGATGTGAGTCTCTAGTAAAAAAACTCACTGATTCAAATGGTCCATTCAGAGTGAGTTTCCAGTAAACAACTCACTGATTCAACTGATTCATTCAGACTCAATCTCCAGTAATCAACTCACTGATTCAAATGATCAGTTCAGAGTTAATCTCCAGTAATCAACTCACTGATTGAAATGATCCGTTTACGGTGTGTCTCCAGATAACAACTCACTAATTGAAATGATCCATTCAGAGTGAGTCTCTGGTAAACAACTCACTGATTGACATGATCCATTCAGAGTGAGTCTCCAGTAAACAGCTCACTGATTCAAAGGATCCATTCAATGTGAGTCTCCAGTAAACAACTCACTGATTTAAATAATCTGTTTAGAGTGAGTTTCGGGTAAACAGCTCACTGATTCAAATGATCCGTTCAGAGTAAATTTCCTGTAAATGACTCACTGATTCTAGTGATCCATTCATAGTGAGTTTCCAGTAAACAACTCACTGATTCAAATGATATATTCGATGTGAGTCTCTAGTAAAAAAACTCACTGATTCAAATGGTCCATTCAGAGTGAGTTTCCAGTAAACAACTCACTGATTCAACTGATTCATTCAGACTCAATCTCCAGTAATCAACTCACTGATTCAAATGATCAGTTCAGAGTTAATCTCCAGTAATCAACTCACTGATTGAAATGATCCGTTTACGGTGTGTCTCCAGATAACAACTCACTAATTGAAATGATCCATTCAGAGTGAGTCTCTGGTAAACAACTCACTGATTGACATGATCCATTCAGAGTGAGTCTCCAGTAAACAGCTCACTGATTCAAAGGATCCATTCAATGTGAGTCTCCAGTAATCAACTCTCTGATTGAAATGATCCATTCGGAGTGCATCTCCAGTTAACAGCTCACTGATTCAAATCAGAGTTAGATTTGGTAAATCAACTTTCTTGTAAAATCATCAGTAAATACTTTTATTATTACACGGTAAAACCCAAAAAGTTAAGGTAACTCAAACCATGAGTAAACCGATTGCAACAAACCATTTAAAGTAAAAAACTTTTACTCAAGTGCCTGATTCGTCCAGCACTGTCAACTCCAAAAAGTGGTAACCAACTGAAATAAAATAAGTTTAAAGTTCATAAAAAAAAATTTAAATGACGGCCAGATAATTGCATCCAGTGGTATTCTGATGGGCTGAAGGTATATGTGTGTGTTTTTGTTTCCAGTAATCTGCTGCTGCCGGAGGACGTTCCAGCGGAGCGCCAGTGGGCCAGATTCTACCTGAAAATATACAGAGCCGAGGGCTTGCCCAAAATGAACACCAGCATCATGGCAAATGTCAAAAAAGCTTTCATTGGAGAAAATAAGGACTTGGTTGATCCGTACGTTCAAGTGCTGTTTGCAGGACAGAAGGTGAGCAGAAATATTACTAAAAGTTTATTAAAGTGCACTACATTGGAAATGTAACACTTAAAATTCAGATTAAAATAATTTGGCCTTAAAGTGCTGTTTAATGTATAGAAGCTTTTTCAGCACATTTTTAAACGTAATAGTTTTAATAACTAATTTCACTTGTCCAGGATGATCATATTTTTATTAGTTGGTTTGCAAGATACTAGTATTTAGCTTGAAGTTCAATTTAAAGACTTAACTAGGTTAATTAGTTAAATTAGGCATGTTAGGGTAATGAGGCAAGTCATTGAGTAACGGTGGATTGTTCTGTAGACAATCTGAAAAAAATATTGCTTAAAGGTGCTAATAATATTAAGCTTAAAAAGATTTAAAGAAAATTTTCCAGCCAAAATATTAAAAAATTTTAGCTGAAAAATAAAACATATAAGATTTTTTACAAAAGTAAAAATATTTTAGGAAATACTGTGAAAAATTCCTGAATCTCTTAAACATCATTTCAAAATGATGACAAAAAAAAATTACAGGAGAGCGAAAAATGTTAATATATGTCATATATGCAACATATATTTCAAAATATTGCTAAAATATCCCTTAACATTTTTTTTTTACTATTGAGATTGGAAATATGTACATCAATGTTCAAAAATATTATGCATTATGCAAATATATTATGTGTCTGTGTGTGTAAACATGAAAAAAAAAAAGCTGAAGTTTGCGTCATTGTTTTTCTTTAGGGGAAAACTTCGATTCAGAAGAGCAGCTACGAGCCCATCTGGAACGAGCAGATCGTATTCACCGAGCAGTTTCCACCGCTGTGTCGGAGGATGAAGCTCCAGATCCGGGATTCAGACAAAGTGAATGATGTGGCCATCGGTACACACTTCATTGACCTGCGGAAGATCGCCAATGATGGAGACAAAGGTAACCGTGTGCAAAAATAACACCGTTCATAAGTTTGCAGTCAGTATGGCTTTTTAAAAGAAAAAGACTAATTAAAAATACAGTAACAGTTAAACAATATTATTATTAACTGATTCATATGTAATTTTGTTACACATTGACATCGAAAAGTGACGTTATTAATAATTGGGCACTAATAATAATTTGTAGTAACTGTACATGAAATCATCATATGTGACCCTCCACTTAAGTTGCACCAACCTGACCTCATGAGAAAACGTTACTTTTACGTTTTAGGCAGAAAGTTGGCAATTCACTTTTGTTAAATAAGTATAGATATATTAAGCATGTAGTTAGTGTTGTTCTGGGCAAAATTCCCCAATGCCTTCTTTCAATGCAGGCTTGAGCGGGGAGAGTAGCAGCAACTCAAGCTCCTCATAGGGTAACAGAATGAAACCCAAAAGCATTCATGAACAATTTTGATTGACTATGAATTCATGTAAATGCCAGAGTAATAGGGCTGATTACCATATAATTGCCTGATACTACAAACAGATATCAGAAATGACCTAGGAGGAGTTGGGAATGGTGGAGACAGTATGGAACTAGCGAGGTGCCAAAAGCTGACCAAATGTAAGGGTATTACTGGAGACACACCAAGCCAACATTAACATTATATTGTATTGTCACCTCACATCTGGTTCTATCTGGACCAAAAAGCTGGGCTTGAACTTGGCATGGGTCGATATAAGATTTAAAACCTTGACTTTTCCAAACCATGGTAAACCTTGAAACTGCCCTGCTTCAAAATCCAGCTTAAACCAGCCTAGGCTGGTCGGCTGGTTTTAGTTGGTTGACCAGCCTGGTTTTAGAGGGTTAGTTTCCAGCCATTTAAAGCCTGGTTTTAGCTGGTTGGAAAGTGACCAGCTAAAACCATCTAAAACCAGCTTGACCATCATGGTTTAAGCTGGACATAGCTGGTTTTGGCTGGGCTCCCAACCCGGTCATCTCCCAGCCTAACCAACTAAAACCAGGCTGGAAATGGCTGGAAACCCCTCTAAAACCAGGCTGGTCGACCAGCTAAAACCAGCCAACCATCCTAGGCTGGTTTAAGCTGGTTTTTTCAGCAGGGTGACTATCGTCCCATGCCTAGCTTGAACACACCAAACAGACCGATTGACTGAATGTGTCTTTCAACCCTGCAGGGAGGGCATCTGTTTTCCTGTTCAGAACTGGAATCTGGAACTTCAGATGCATGTGCAAAGCATAAACAAAACACCATTATATTTTATTAGAACATTTGTAGGGCAAGTACAGCCAGCATCTTTGTGCTCGTTATTGATTTGAATCCTTTACTTGGTATGTCACTTCACTACTTTAATCTCTGATTTGTTGCTGAATAACCAGTCAGAGCGGCCTCTTTAGTTGACAGCTAATGCCAATTCTACGCGTTGAATTGGGCCAATGAGCTATGACGTTAACTCAATGATAGGCGACATGTGGAACGCATCCAACCAACTAGTCAGACCAATGAAGCCCCATGGTCGCCCATCAGCTTGGTGTGTTCAGGCTCACAGATTTCTCGAGTTGGAAAAATCTGAACTTCAGCAGACATTCACGCCACATAAACCAATCAGGAGCTTTCTCTTGTAGGGGCGTGCTTATAATGTAGCACCTGTTGTTGGTGTCCCTGGGGAAATCCTCCTGCCGACATCGACAACAGTTCATCAAACTGGGCTTAGCTCAGTCGGAAGCACCGCTGAAAGCTTCCATCATCCAGGTACAGTTTCTGGAGGAGTTCATGAGCTCACAGAGCTGGATGCACTACTGAAAGGATCGAGTGGACTCAGACACGGCTCCAAACAAATTGACACATTTTTTCAGCCTTGATAAAGCACATAAACACAGCTATTCTCTCAATAAAATCCATGTTAGCAACAAAGCTATAGTCACCAGGCAGACAGAAGCCCTGCCCATGACGTGGATTTCACGTGCAAATGAAGCGAGTAAACTCAAAATATTCTTGCGTCTATTTACACGTGAATAGCGTGATTTGTCTGTGCATGTCGCGTCTGGTGTGATACCACTAGATCCTTTAAGCGGTGCACCCAGATCTGTAAGCTCATAAATTCTTCCAGAAATTTAACCTGGTTGATATAAGCTTTAAGCGATGCTTCCGAGTGAGCCGAGCGCAGATTGATCAACGTTGTCAGTGTCGGTAGGAGGATTTTTCCCTGGGACACCAACAACAGGCACTACGTCACAACCATCCCCCTACAAGAGCAAGCTCCTGATTGGTTAACGCCGCGCAAATGTCCGCTGAAGTTCAGATTTTCGAACTCAAGCGATTCAAGTGAAAAACATGGTATACGCGTCAGACGCTCAACTCGCTTCGCTTCATTTTTGTGAATTGCATCATTCGTGCCACGTCATTCTTGTGTATCATGCCGCAGGATATCTGTTTGCTTTTTTGCATTTACTTAACATGTAAATCACTCGCGTTTGACACTTCTTCCGCATCTGGTGTGAACGCAGCATAAGATGTTTTTGTCATCCAGGATCACATATAATCACAGAGAAATAGTTATTTATATGCAGTAAATAAATTCACTATGATGAAGACAACTTATTAAAAATAATAATAATAATAATAAAATAAAATGAAAAAAATAGAGCGACTCCAAAATAAATAATAAGGAATGATAAGTGTTCAGTGTTCCCCTGGTTCATTCGTAGGCTTTCTCCCGACTCTTGGCCCGGCGTGGGTCAACATGTACGGCTCCACGCGCAGCTACACGCTCATGGATGAGTATCAGGACCTGAACGAAGGCCTCGGGGAGGGCGTCTCCTTCAGGGCACGTCTGCTGATCAGCCTGGCCGTGGAGATCCTGGACACCTCGTCTCCTGAAGTCATGAGCTCCACTGAGGTGCAGGTGGAGGGGATACCCAACATCTCTGATGTAAGCAATCTACTAATTACAGTCAATAATTCATCGTCTTTATTTATCACCCCCTACATTATTTATTTAGCAGCGGTGCTCATAGTAGATCATTGTTTGGAAGACAATCATCTACACAGTCAGAGCCAAAGTTAGGCTTTGTCTTCATGTGATTAACATACTAAGGTGCAAAAGAAATGACGTGGTAAATTTGAATATAGTGTTAATAATTTGCAAATAAACATCCAAGTAATCGCAAACTAAAACAGTTCAACAATATTTGTTTACTAAAATAAAGTAGGGCGACACGGTGGCTCAGTGGTTCGCCTCAAAGCAAGAAGGTCGCTGACTTGAGTCCAGGCTAGTCCAGTTGGCATTTCCGTGTGCCGACCTTTTAATCGATTGTTTGTTTCTTATATCCTAGAATGCCACAGGAAAAGTGGAGGAATTCTTTCTCTTTGGAAGTTTCCTCGAGGCCACCATGATTGACAGGAAGATCGGAGACAAACCCATCAACTTTGAGGTCACAATAGGTAAAATCTATGGTGGACAAGTTCACAGTCACATTTATAGAGGGAAAATGCTCTGATTTAGAATTATTCACATATTAGGGAAAAACCAAAGGAGACCCAAGTCTGTCCGGATATCTAAATGAGCAATATCACACGAGTAGCAGTGCGATATGGCTGTATATTGGCCCTTGTGGGAGGCGTGCGTTGCCTTAGTGTCCCACCAGTAACGATAAACAGCCACAATGCACTGCTACAAATGTGATTTAGCATTTATACAACAGTTCAACAACATAATCATGTATACAAAAAGAAAATCAAACAAGGAGAGTTTAAAAAATCCCTTTGTATGAGGAACTACTTTCTTCCGCCATTCTTTCACATCTGCAGCTGACGTCAGAACAGCAGAAGCCACTACTAATTCACCAATGTCACTTTAGAGCTAGTGTTTGAATGATTCTCTAGCGTAAAGTGTTGAAAAATCAGGTGATTTTGCTCACATTTTAAGATTATAAGGCTGAACGGCATGAAATGCCATCAGTTTACAGAGATTTCCCTAGTATTTCTCTGTTTCAATCTCGAGCCAAATCCAAATCCTTTTAAAAAGCCAAAGCAGCGCAATCACTAGCAGATTACTGTTGTGTTTGTAAAAAGAAAAAATGTAAACACATGCGGGCATTTCTTCTTTCTTTATGTTTACTGAACTAGTCTGCAGTAACTGGAAGACTTATTAGAAACAAGCAGATGGCCAACCAAAAAGTAACTCAGGATTATACAAAGAGTACCAACACAAAATACATAAATTCTGATATGTGAGTCCCATCTCACTCAATACACTACAATGATTGACTTAGAATGTCACATACCTGTTTGCTGTAGTTAGAAATTATGAGTTTTTCCTTCTCTAAGGGCTTTTTATGCAGTCTCTGTGGCCATCTTGTGGATGAACGTCAACCGTCTTTGCTCTGCTCAATGACAGGCTTATGGTCGCCATTGCCTTTATCTTAGAAATTAAAAATATTTAAAATAGCCACTATCCTTGAACATAAAATGCATAGATGCAATCTAAACAACTACATTCTCAATTAAAAAAAAGCCTCAAAAGTACATGATGTTGCCCAACAGCTGCAATATTTGTCAAACTGTGCTGAGTTTATTGATCTGCTGCCACTCTGTGTAGGCGGAGTAATACACAAGAGTGAAGAGGCTGTACGAGTTCTGATATTGTAGAATATCACATGGCCATAAGCCAATCAGATTCGAGAACCAGACAGAACTGTTGTATAAATATAAATATACAACACTATTCTTTGAAAACTCATATTTTCCCTTGCACAGATGTCACTTTTATACTTGTAATGAGATGATTCTGTAAAATACAGTGTCTGTCCTCTGCACTCAAGGAAACTATGGGAGTGAGCTCGATACTCCAACCAAGCCCAAATCGAAGAAGAAGAAGGGAGATGGCGATGACGAGGAGTCTGAGCTGATTCACGGCTCTAGCGACGAGGAGGTGGATGATGGTGGAGACGTGACGTCGGTTTCCACAACTCCTCCAATGAAGCCAGTCATCACCGACAGGTTCAGCACAAAACATTGTTCTGAGACGTAATAATTCTCTAACTAAATGCAAACCTAACAGAAATAAAAGAAATCTGATGGAGTATACACTAACCCATGCATTGTTCAGTCACAAGACAGCACTAAATCAGTCAAAAACGCAAAGCTGACAGAAACGACAATGACTGAATAAAGCATAGACCAGGGGTCACCAACCTTTATAAAACTGAGAGCTACTTCTTGGGTCCCGATTAACGTGGAGGGCTACCAGTTTGATAAACACTTCTCAAATAACACATTTGCTCAATTTACTTTTAATTATACTTTATGTTTTTGGTAATAATTAATGATGTTCATCCATGTGAAGACACTGATCATGTTAATGATTCAATGATCAGCAATGTTTTAACAGGGTAGGAAATACCCTGTATTTAATGTATCAATGTGCAACACTTTATTTTTATATATCTCTGCAAATATTTACATTTTTAAATAATTACTTCTTTATTAGATGAAGCTTACTGGTGAGTGGCGCTATGGTGAGCTATTTTTTAGAACAGGCCTGCGGGCAACGCGGGCACCATGTTGGTGACCCCTGGCATAGACTAAACTACGTATTATTAGTTCACAAGATGCCGCCAAACAGTCAATAATAGTCAAAAACTGGATTTTGAAAAAAAACTGGACAGACAAGCTGGACTGCCAAATGTATATGCATATGAATCTGTATGTAAGTATATGTATGTGAATGTGTTCACTGATGGTCGAGGTGATTCTCAGGGTGCTTTCACACCTACACTTTTGTTTCGGAACGTGTCTCGTTTGCCCAGTTAGCGCGGTTTGATTGGCATATGTGAACAGGGCAATCGCGCTCTGTTCCGCGCCAAAGTAATCGCTCCGAGATCGCTTGAATGAGGTGGTCTCGGCTCGATTAAAACGAACCCTGGAGCGGTTCAATTGCTGTGAGAAAGCAAACGATCCGAGCACGGTTATATCACAGTGTTTTATGGATATGTAATAGGCTTACGGTTATATGAAGAGAGAATTATGAGTATGGCGGGAAGTTTCGCGAGTCTCCGGATGCCCGCAAACGAGTGATGATCTCCCGGTAATCTCGCGTCTCTCTCCCAGTCCTCAAATAGGCATCGTCGCGCACCCTTCTCACCCCTCCCCACCATGTCTCTCCTCAGACACGTCACGCGCGCACCCTGTCAATCACCACCAAACCACCACCTCTCCTGACAGCTGAGCGGGACGCTGCCAAATAAACCCTGACACTCTGACCAATGTAAGGAGAGTTTACTCGCACGTGACTTGTTTTAGCTCTTTTGGTCCGATTAGAAACTTTGCAGTGTGAAAGCGAACCGCTCCAAGACCAAAGAGCAACAATGTAACAATTGTAATCTCTGTTTCGGAACAACTGAATCGATTCACAGGTGTGAAAGCACCCTCAGTTACTAGATGAGCCTGTGTTATTTAGCGGTTGTTATGTCGAAAAAACAGCTTGGAATGTTGCGAATGCACTGGATGTACTTTATCCTGCTTTTTTAATGACTACTTGCCACATAAAGTAAAAATTAGACACAAAACATAGTTCTGAGCTGTAATAGTTCACTAATTAAAGCCAAAGATGACAATAGGGCTGGAGCATACACTAACCTGTACATTGTCCAGTACCAATGTGGCACCAAAGGGTCAACAACTGGTGTGAAAGATAAGCATGTCAATATGGAAATATTTACTAAAGGTACAGATGATTCATAGGATCTGTAGGAAACAACTAGATTACCCTCAGGGTATATACAGAAATCAGAGTGAAATTCAATACCTTTTTAGACTTTTTTTGAAGACTCACTACTTCAGGTTTCAACCAGTGATATTGGCGTCATTTTAACTTTCAGTATATTTACTAAATAGGGATTGTAGGAAGCTAATCCTAAACTAAAACATCATTCATATACTGAATAAAAATGCTAATGCAGCAGGTGGCGCCTACAGAACTCCAGAAATAACGGTGTTGCCACTGAACAAAGCAGCGTGATGTCAAATTTAGCAGGATTTGATCGATTTCATAAACTATACAGCATCTCTATATTCACAGATTCAATTCAGGCAAACTTTAACATAAAGATGCAAGATTTAATACCCTGCAAAATAGCATTTAAGACCTTTGAATATTTTTTAAGGACCTTAAATGTTTCTAAAATTACTTTGTTAGACCATACTGGCATCCCGACCCTTGCAACCCCTGCTGAAAAAAACAGCATATGCTGCTGAGGTATGTTTTGATAGTGGCATGCTGGTCTTGCTGGTTTCAATGCTGGTTTTGCTGGTCTCAATGCTGGTCAGGACCAGCACTGCACTGCAAAAAATGCTTTTCTTACTTAGTTTTTTTGTCTTGTTTCTAGTCCAAATATCAAAAAATTCTTATATCATGAAACATTTTCTAGGCAAGCAAAATATATTGTCTTATTTTCAGAAATAATATCCCAATATTAAGGGAGTTTTTCCTTGAAACAAGCAAAACAATCTGCCAATGGGGTAAGCAAATTAATCTTGTTTTTCCTTTTGACATAAGATTATTTTGCTTACCCCATTGGCAGATTATTTAGCTTGTTTTAAGGGAAAACTCACCTAATTTTGGCATATTATATCTTAAAACAAGACAGTATGTTTTGCATGTCTAAAAAATTCTTCTTGATTTAAGAGTTTTTAGATATTTGGACTAGAAACAAGACAAAAAAAATCTAAGTTAGAAAAGCATTTTTTGCAGTGTGAGACCAGCATCGAGACCAGCGAAACCAGCAGTGAAACCAGCAAGACCAGCATTAAAACCAGCAAGACCAGCATCAAAACATTCCATACCAGCAAATGCTGTTTTTTTTCAGCAGGGACTGCACAGCAACCTCCTAAAGTACTCTAGCAACATACTAGCAACAAAGTAAGTTAGTAATGTGCATTTATATAGCTCATTTATCATGAATGGCCATACACCTGAAGTGCTTTGCAATCATGAGGGGGATCTCTCTACCCATTAAAAGGGTCAGTCTTACCAACTGACTAGCAACCACCTTGATGTGTTTATCACCCTATATCACCCTTTTTTAAACTACTTCAAACGTTCAGACTAGGTTTTCTCAAGCCAATATTAAAGTTTGTCTTTACTATCTAGTTGATGTTACTGCAGGGGTGTCCAAACTCGGTCCTGGAGGGCCGGTGTCCTTCACAGTTTAGCTCCAACTTGCTTCAACGCACCTGCCAGGAAGTTCCTAGTATACCTAGTAAGAGCTTGATCAGCTGGTTCAGGTGTGTTTGATTAGGGTTGGAGCTAAACCCTCCAGGACACCGGCCCTCCAGGAACAAGTTTGGACACCCCATAGGTCATCTTATTTTGCATTTTAGTGTAAGCTCATGTGATGCATCGAGTTCATTTATTCTGCAGGAATTATTTCCACCTGCCGTACTTTGAGAGGAAGCCCTGCATCTACATCTACAGCTGGTGGCAGGACCAACGACGACGACTTTATAATGCTAACGTCTTGGACAAAATGGCAGATAAACTGGTAACAATAACAGAACATGAAAAATTAAATAAATAAATTACAAATAATACACAAATACAGCGGAAAATGAGTTGTGAAAATGGGAATTTTTCCTGGGAGTCATATTTCTTAAGGAGCTGTTAATGTAGAATTGACCCAGACCCAAACAAAACCCAATGACTTATGTGTAGTAGCAATGAAATGACACAAGGAGAAAGTACTGGACTAATAAAGATATTTAATACTGCATTTGAAAGTCTTTTTAAATGATGGCAGCTTTCAATACGCCTCTCATATGTAGAATGAGGTCACGTGCATTGCTCAGGTTTTCTTTTTTTTTCACTGTCTTCAACAGATTGTAAAAATCTTGATAGTTCTGTGGGTCTCGTCTATTAAATCTGATCTTTATTTTGTATTCTCTATTGGATTCAGCTTGAGTTTCTTTGACAGCATTTGAGAGTTTCCTTGGCTGTGTTTTGGCTCATTGTCTTGCTGAAACCTCCACCCTGGTTCCATTTTCATCCTCCTGCTAATGCATATGTTGGCCTGAAGCAGCTGATATTGATTAAAAATGAGGAACAGCAGTGGGTTGCTAAAGAACTACAGAGAGATTTCAGCTGCTGTCTGGGCTTTCACTGCCTTTCTACACCTCCCTTTCTTCATGTGTTCAATACTTTCTCCCTGCGTCACTTCATTTTATTACACATAACTTCATTTTTAAACTAATTAGATTTGTTGCGGATTTCTTTGGTTGTTACCAACATCCAGTGAAAATTTCAAGTCAACAGCACGTTTAGAAATATGTTTTCTGAGAAAAATGGTGACATGTACAATACTTCCCTGCTGAAAAATCCAGCTTAAACCAGCTTAGGCTGGTTGGCTGGTTTTAGCTGGTCGACCAGCCTGGTTTTAGAGGGGTTTTGGCCATTTCCAGGCTGGTTTCCAGCCATTTCCAGCCTGGTCTTAGCTGCTCAGGCTGGGAGATGACCAGCTAAAACCAGCTTGACCAGCCTAGCCAAGCTGGAAGTCCAGCCAAAACCAGCTATGTCCAGCTTAAACCAGGCTGGTCAAGCTGGTTTTAGCTGGATTTGGCTGGTCATTTGGAGTTTATTCTTTTTATTTAGACAACTGTAGGTGTTCCTACCATAGTAACTATAGAATCACCACAACAGATTAATTTGAGTAATTTTCTATAGTATGATACAAAAACACCATAGTATTTACTATAAATGTCTATAATGTTTGTTTTTTTCATGTGGGATCTCTGTGTTTACACTGTATCTCTGTTATGTTAAAGGAAGAAGGGTTGAATGATGTGCAGGAGATCATAAAGACAGAGAAGGCCTATCCAGAGCGCAGACTCCGAGGAGTTCTGGAGGAGCTCAGCAACAGCTGCAGGTTTGCTTTGGCCTTTGCCTTTCATATGAGCCACTTCTGATAGCAAATGATCAACAAGACGTCAAGTTATTTTGTTGTTTCTAAAACTTGAATAGGTCACAAGACTTTTAGTATTTGGGTTATTTCACATTATTAGTGCTTTATTGTTTTATATATATATATATATATATATATATATATATATATATATATATATATATATATATATATATATATGTGTGTGTGTTTGTGTGTGTGTATATATATATCACATGATTAGCAGTGCGATATGGCTATATATCGGCACTGGTGGGAGGCGTGCGCTGCCTTAGTGCCCCCACCAGTGCCGATATACTGCCATATCACACTGCTACGAGTGTATTATTGCGTTTATACAACAGTTTGACGGCATAATTGTGTATATAAAAACTAAATCAAACATGGAGAGTCTCAAAAACCCTTTTGTATGAGGAACTACTTTCTTCCGCCTTGGATTCAAATCATAAGCTGACAGTGAAACAGCTGAGCAAGCATCTTTTAAACTGTAGATCTGTAGTGTCTGCTTATTGCTGGCTGTATGTGGGCGGAGTAATACACAAAGGGTAAAGAGGCTTTACGGGTGCTGATAGTACTTAAATATGTCATGGCTATCAGCCAATCAGATTCAAGAACCAGACAGAACTGTTGTATGTATATATATATATATATATATATATATATATATATATATATATATATATATATATATATATATATATATATATATATAATGTTACCCATAGATAATGTAGAAATGTAGAATCATATTCCTAACTTTATGAGTTCAGATAAGCAGAAAAAATGAGCAATTGTTGAACTGTTGTTATTATCTGTAGAAGATACAGTGATAGCACATTTCTGATCTCTTTCAGTACCTTTGTATCTTTGGCAAACAATGACCAGAATCAGGCTGGCAGGACTAAACTGGACAAGGAGAGAGTCAAATTGTGCATGCAGGAAGTGGTAAAAAAAAGCTCACACACTTCAGTTACAAGCATCATTGCTAAAAAACACAAAACCAGTCTTGTGTTGCACATTACATCACATGGTTCAAAATTACAGATATCTTTTATGCCAAAATCAATTAAAACATAGGGCGGCATGGCGGCTCAGTTTGTAGCACTATCGCCTCACAGCAAGAAGGGTACTGCTTCAAGTCTCGGCTGGGCTAGTTGGCGTTTCTGTCTGGAGTCTGCATGTTCTCCCAGGTGTTGGTGGGACTCCATTTTCCCCCACAGTCCAAACACATGCACTATAGGTGAATTGGGTAAATAAAATTGGCCATAGTGTATCATACTGAGAGTTTCCCAGTACTGGGTTGCAGCTGGAAGGACATCTGCTGCGTAAAACATATACTGGAATAGTTGGCGGTTCATTCTGCTGTGGCAACCCCTGATAATCAGGGACTAAGCCGAATGAATGAATGAATCATTAAAATATTAAAGATCACGTGCTATTAAGACATTTTATAAATTTCTTATGGTAAATATATAAGCCTAGTTTTTACATAGCAATATTGCTAAGAATCAGTATGTAGATTTTTAACATAAACTGCATAGATGCAATCCCCGTTGGTAATATTATCCCATTTTAACAAATCACACATCAATGGAAAGATGTTCATTCGGCTTTCAAATAATGTATAAATCTCAATTTCCAAAAATGGACACTCATGACTGGTTTTGTGATCGAGGGTCAAGATATGTAATGCTGATCCTGGTTCCTCGTGTGTTATTGTGTCCTCAGGAAAGCATGGGCCAGCAAGCGAAAACCATGAGGTCACAAGTGAAGAAAAGCAACGTGAAAGACAGAATAAAGCTGGCTCAAAACTTCCTCCACAAGCTGAGATTCTTGTCTGATGAGGTAGAACACAAAATGCTTGGTTGTGTGGCCGTATACAGTAGAAAACTTTGTCTTTACCATGATGACAGTAACACACATTTACTAGTTATTTTTGCAAGATACTAGTATTCAGCTTAAAGTGCAAATTAAGGGCTTAACTACAGTAGGTTAACTAGGCAAGTCATTGGTTGTTCTGTAGCCAATCGAAAAAAGGGGCTACTAATATTGACCTTGAAAAAGAAATTATTCCAGTCAAACTAGAAGAAATAAGAATAATATCATAGGAGAGGAGATACTATGAAGATTTTACTAGCTCTGTTTGTTATTTGAAAAAAAAATGAAATCTCATAGGAGGACTAATAATTTTGTCTTCAACTGCATATGAATTCATATAACTGTAATATATTTACATGATTCTGTCTTTGTTTTAAATCCACCATAGCCTCAACACAGCGTTCCAGACATTTACATCTGGATGATAAGCAACAACAAGCGCATTGCATACGCCCGCGTTCCCTCTAAAGACATCCTCTACTCTTCTGTGGAGGAGGAGTGTGGAAAGGACTGCGGAAAGGTCCAGACCATCTTCTTCAAGGTAGGGATGAATGCACTGCAGGCACATCTTTAAAACAACTGTTTACTGTTTTATTATATCAGAATATATATATCTTACAATAGATGTATAGTAAATGTAAGCTCAAGATTCACTGATGTAACTGGATAAAACTGCCAATGAGGTCTCAAGATGTATGGAAAGAGTCTTTAAAAAGGTATTAAGTTTACCTTGAGAGTTCCTGTACAGTGATGATGAATCAGTCATTCCTTAAATGGATAGTTCACTCCAAAGTGAAAATGTTGTCATTTATTCATCCTCCACTTGTTATAAACTTCATGATACTTGAAGATCAGTTTTATCCATCGTTGTTGGAGCAGGTCTTTCAGCCGCCTTCTGAAGAGTTCACGATTTCTGGTTAATTGATGCCAGTTTTTCCCAAATGCCTTTTTCATGTATTGTTATCAGCGGGGCGACGCAGTGGAGCAGTGGGTAGCACGTTAGCCTCACAGCAAGAAGATCGCTGGGTCGCTGGTTCGAACCTCAGCTCAGTTGGTGTTTCTGTGTGGAGTTTGCATGTTCTCCCTGTGTTCGCGTGGGTTTCCTCCGGGTACTCCGATGTCCCCCACAGACATGCGGTGCAGGTGAATTGGGTTGACTAAATTGTCCGTAGTGTATGAATGTGTGTGTGGATGTTACCCAAAGATGGGTTGCAGCTGGAAGGGCATCCGCTGCGTAAAAACTTGCTGGATAAGTTGGCGGTTCATTCCGCTGTGGTGACCCCAGATTAATAAAGGGACTAAGTCAACAAGAAAATGAATGAATGTTATCAGCGGTATGGGGCATGTACTTGTCGTCATTTGAGGTCAACAGAATGCCGTTTGAGTTTTCCAATGGTTATCGTATTGTCTTACAGTGTATCCGGCCAATCTGAACTTACGTTCTCTGGCATCTTTATCAACATCCTTGAACTTAGACCTTGTCTCTGAGACTCTGTCCACCTAAACAAGGGTATTTTCAAAACCATGAGAAAAAGCTGATTCAATTTAAAGGGTCAGCAAGGTGTGGGATAGGTTCATTATAGCGAAACTCTAATAATATGATGTCATCTATTAATGGAGTTTTCTATTGCTTTTTTACCTGATGTTTTCTGATGAATGCAACAAAATCTCACGGCATTTTGTAACTTTTTCATTTAGTGTCTAATGCGTATGAATTCGTACGATCTAATTGGTACGATTTAGTATGATTTGCTCATCGCCCAATGACGGTTGGGTTTGGGGGTGGGGTTAGGTGCCACGCCTCCTTTTTACAATCGTACAATTTCGTACGACTGAACTCATTATTAATTAGCCACTAAACTGGAAAAACGTAAAATACCAGCCTGATCTCATGAGAAAACGTAAGTATTTTACGTTTTGGCAGTTTAGTGGCTAATTCGTACGAATTCGTACGAGTTCAGTCGTATGAAATGGTACGATTTTAAAAAGGAGGCGTGGCACCTAACCCCACCCCTAACCCCAACCGTCATTGGGGGAAGAGCAAATCGTTCTAAATTGTACGAATTAGATCGAACGAATTCATACAAATTAGCCACTAAATGAAAAAGTTACGAATTGCCGTGAGATTGTGTAGAAAATACTCACGTTTTCTCGTGAGATCAGGCTGGATGTGTGATATTACTGTCTTCCTCCTGTCGTAGCTGCCTGGCAAGAAGAGTTTTGGACCTGCGGGCTGGACGGTTCAGGCAAAGACTGAGCTGTACCTGTGGCTGGGCCTGAACAGGCAGCGTAAGGACTATCTATGCGGTCTGCCTAACGGGTTCGAGGAGAACAAGGCAGTGAAGGGGCCGGGCGTTCAGTCCTCTCCCCCCATCAGCCTGATGTACACCAGTAAGAAACCTGACCGCTCACACCACTGACTTTCACACTGTCTGTCCAAGAGTCCCCCAAAACTCCATTATTTTACACCCACAGTGAAACAGATCTTCCAGCTGAGGGTCCACATGTACCAGGCTCGCAGTCTGTTTGCGGCAGACAGCACAGGCCTCTCGGATCCTTTCGCCAGGATATTTTTTTCGACTCACAGTCAAGTCACAGAGGTGAGACATACATAAGCATTTGAAGCAAATCTGAAATACTTGTGTGGTGAGAATGCACTTCTTGAGCAGGTTGTTTTTAAAAAATGACTCATCTCACGCATAAAAATACCAGGTATTTAAGAAACATGCTAAGAGAACAAAAAGCAATGTTAAAATCAGTTATTCTCCTTCAAAAATGTGCACTCCATGTCTTTATTTTGGTCACTTTAACCAACACACTGCCAGTTTAACCCATCATATTTCAGCACTCTGTGTTGGATTGGTGTAAAACAGTATACTTCTATTAAGTCATAATAGCTGCATCAATGTATGTGAGCACAGCTGAAAATGCGACCTCCGAAGGACAGTAGTAGTTGCCGAAATGAGACACAGACTCATAAAAATTCACATGAGATGGTTTTAAATTAGCAGATAATACAAATATTATAAATGTAAAATTATCTAAGCTGTTGGTGACGTCAATCTGGCAACCGTTAGAATAGGGGTTGGGTCAAAAAAACTTCAATATTTTGAATTTGGACTGCAATACCTAGTTCAACCACTAGCTGTCATCCCTTATTGTAGCATTTTTATATAATTGTGTATGAATCATTATTAATATGATTTGTGACCCTGTACCTGCAGTTTAATATTTTACAAATATTTTTATTTCCAGCCAAACTAAAAGAAAGAAGAAAAAAATCATACTGGAAAAGTTAGAAAAATATTTAAAAAAGAATACAAACTTCACTAATAATAGTGAATAATTTTTGTTGATAATATTTTTTTCGTTAATAACATGTATTAAAACACAAAACAAGTTAATGAAACCATATTTCATAAATATATTGACACTGTCTAAAACATTTCACAATAATAGTAAATAATAGCTAATATGTTTGTCTTCAAATGAGTATATGTCCTCTTTAAAACCGATTGACCATTGAATACACGATATTACTCAAGTGAAAACACAAAGTCAAAATTAATTTGGTGCTGTTTTACTGCTTTACGTCAAATCTTAAATACACAAGATTCCAGATTCCACCAAACGTGATGCGACAGAAACATTAAAATATCAACCACTGTACTCTCAACTAAATTATAAGGGTTTTAAACTAATTAATACATGTTTAACATATTTGACATTCTTAAAAGTACATAGTATAAGTGACTAATGTTGTTGGTGTGCACTGTTGAGTCACAGTTCTGACTTTCATTTTCAAAACGTTTGCTAGTTATTTAATCTTCAAGGTGTTCAAGGGTGATCTGCTGCTGCTTTCAGTAGTATGACAATAAATGTCGCGTAAAATGGTATTTAAACTAACATTGGTAGCATTTAACACTGAATAGAGCCCATAATCAGTATCTGAGGTGATCATTGTCATGTTAGTTTATACTGTTGCGATGTCGCAGAAATTGAAATGAGAAATTTTGCACATGTCGACGTAATAGCTTAGTGGTTAGCGTGCCGACATATGGTGCAGTAGCACGTCAGGGCGTCCCGAGTTCAAATCCCGGCTTAAGGACATTTCCTAACCCTACACCTCTCACTCTCTTTCTCCCAATTCGCTTCCTGTCTCATTACTGTCCTATTTAATAAAGGCAAAAATGCCACATAAAAACTCTTTAAAAAAAGAAGAAAATTCGCCCATTGCTGTAGCAGATGGATGGGATAAAAACTAATTTTAACATGAAAACAATACCTTTGTCGTATGTAGTTAGGACATGGTGTTAGTAAAGCTTTGAATTGTTTTGCTGGTTTCTCTCAGGTACTGAACGAGACGCTGTGTCCCACATGGGATCAGCTGCTGGTGTTTGATCATGTGGAGCTCTACGGTGAAGCTGGAGAACTGAGAGACGATCCTCCGATAATCGTCATCGAGATCTACGACCAGGACACAGTGGTGAGTCTCCACAGCCTCAGCGTTTACCAACATTGGATCTAGATATGGATTCATAAATGTGCTCTAATCTCACACCTCCCAAGGGGAAAGCTGATTTCATGGGAAGGACGTTCGCTAAACCGATCACCAAGATGTCAGATGAGCACTACGGGCCTCCGCGTTTCCCTCCTCAGCTGGAGTACTATCAGATCTACAGGGGAAACTGCACGGCTGGAGAAATGCTGGCCGCCTTTGAGCTGCTGCAGGTCAGAACAAATCAGTTTTAATCTCAGGATGCGTCTCGGTCAGCTCCTGAGGGTGTGAATCAGTAGGTCGTGTGCACTAATTTGGACACTGGTAAGGGCAGTGACGAGCAGACTGTACCTCACGTTCTTTCATATAGATTACAAAACCAGAGAACATTTGTTTTCAAGTAGTTGGCTTATTCAGAAGTGAAGATTTCAAGCTTCATTTGGGTATATGTCTCATGTGTGTGAAGCAAGTGTTTGTTGAGATTCCAATGCATTTGTTGACCCCAGAGGATTCGTAATGAAGCTGCAGAAACTGTCGTAAACACACACGTCAGGTCTAAGCCCCTGCCCCGGGGAATCCTCAGTCTATAGTGATTCATGATTGGCTCCTGTAATAGAAGGAAGGGCTTCATTCACCATTTTGACCATTACACTTTTCCCCATTTAAACCCTGCTGAAAAATACAGCTTAAACCAGCCTAGGCAGGTTGGCTGGTTTTAGCTGGTCGACCAGCCTGGTTTTAGAGGGATTTTGGCAACTTCCAGGCTGGTTTCCAGCCATTTCCAGTCTGGTCTTAGCTGGTCAGGCTGGGAGATGACCAGCTAAAAGCAGCTTGACCAGCCTAGCCAATCTGGGAGCCCAGCCAAAACCAGCTATATCCAGCTTAAACCAGAGTGGTCAAGCTGGTTTTAGCTGGATTTGGCTGGTCATTTTCCAGCCTAACCAGCTAAGACCAGGCTGGAAATGGCTGCAAACCAGCCTGGAAATGGCCAAAACCCCTTTAAAACCAGCCTGGTCGACGAGCTAAAACCAGCCAACCAGCCTAGGCTGGTTTAAGCTGGATTTTTCAGCAGGGAAACTATACAAATACCATGTCTTGTGTATACTATTGTCAACTTTACTCTATACTAAAAATCCATATAAATCTCATTGGAGTCAGCGCGATAGCCTAGTGGTTAGCGCGCTGACATATGGTGTAGTAGCACATCCCAAGTTTGAATCCCAGCTTGAGGACATGTCCTTACCCCCCCCTCCCTCTCCAACTGTGCTTCTTGTCTCAATACTCTCGTCTTTCGGATGAGACGTTGAACCGAGGTCCTGACTCTCTGTGGTCATTAAAAATCCCAGGACGTCCTTCGAAAAAGAGTAGGGGTTTCACCCCGGCATCCTGGCCAAATCTGCCCAGTGGCCTCTGTCCATCATGGCCTCCTAACTTTCCTCATGTCATAATTGGCTTCATCACTCTGTCTCCTCTCCACCAATCAGCTGGTGTGTGGGTGCCTTCGCGTCATCCAGGTGGATGCTACACACTGAGGGTGGATAAGGAGATCCCCCCTATGTGTAAAGCGATTTGAGTGCCCAGAAAAGCGCTATATAAATGTAAGGAATTATTAATATTAATATTATAAATACTGTCCTATCTAATAAAGGCAAAAAAGCCAAACATAAGTGAAGTTTATTCATAAACTAATTTCGAGAGGAGCACGTGATTATGATTGAACACGGCTGGTTCTGCATTAGCATGCATGATCCACCAATCAGGCCATTCCTAACCCACTATAAAGAGCCAGGGTTTTTTCACTACAGTCATCTTCGATTTGAAGAACCCCCCCTTCCACCCCTACCTCTTCACCTTTCCCTCCATTGGGCGGCACGGTGGCCCAGTGATTAGCACTGTCGCCTCACAGCAAGAACGTCACCGGTTCTAGTCCTTTAACAGGATGGTGGTCGTTTCTGTGTGTAGTTTGCATGTTCTTCTCGTGCTTGCGTGGGTTTTCCCCGGGTCCTCCGGTTTTCTCCCACATTCCAAAAACATGCACAAGTGAATTGATCAATCTAAATTTTGCACTACAGTTAATCTCTCACCATTAAGCATATCTTTTCATAGCATTCAATTTTTAGTCATCAGTTTTTATCAAGGGGGAGTTGTCGAGATCTACCTGAGCTCAAGGCTCCCCTCTCGCCCTCCAAACAGGAGGGAGCCCAGGGCTCAAGAACCTTTGAGCTCAGGGCTTTCTCCCGGGACAGCATGCCAAACTTGCTTATAATCAATCATCAGCTAAGTGTGAACTCTTGAAATCTTTAAAAAATGTCATTGCATAGGCAAATTAGCCTATAGAAATTAACTCTTAATTCTAAAGTCTCCTTTTCTCTCGTTTGTCGTTATGTTTGGTGAGTTGGTTTCACGTGATTTATGGTTCGAGTTTCCAAATTCCATTAAGGGCAGTCCCTATGGCCAGTCCGCCCCTGGTGGGAGTTTTCCAGGAGTGATTGCTTTAAAGCAGTGGTTCTCAAACTGTGGTACGTGTACCACTAGTGGTACGCAAGCTTCCTTCTAGTGGTACGCGGAGGAATGAAATATGTCTTGTACATGCTTCACACATTTCCAAGTTTACCAAAAATGATGTATATAATATGCCATATATGACCTATAGCCTATATTTCTGAGGTAATCTGCCATGATCTTTCTAACTGTGCAGTTGTAGCTGCTTTACTGGGCCTACTACGCTACTGTATTTCAATACTACTCGTTTTGGTGGTACTTGGAGAGACAAATTTTTTCTAAGGTGGTACTTGATGAAAAAAGTTTGAGAACCACTGCTTTAAAGCATTGGAAGAATTTAGCGATTGAAATGGCCTGATCAGTGCCCTGACTACTGATCAATGGAGATGACTGAGATGCAAGTCTGTGTGTGCGCATATGTGACCCTAGACCACAAAACCAATCATAAGTGTCAAATATTTTTAAAATTGAATTTCATACATAATCTGGAACACTTTAATAAACATGTTTTTCATTGATGTGTGGTTTGTTAGGAGAAAATTTGGCCAGGATACAACTATATGAAAATCATCTTTAAAGTTGACCAAATTAAGTTCTTAGCAATGCTTGTTACTACTGAGATATTTATTTGTAATATTTTAACAGTAGGAAATGTACAAAATATCCTCATGGAACATGATATTTACACAATATTCTGATGGTTTTTGACATAAACAAAGTTTTAAATTTTGAACCATACTATGTATTTTGGGCTTTTGCCAAAAATATACCTGTGCGACATTAAGCTGGTTTTGTTGAGCAGGGTGAAATATATACATATACAAAAATATTAATGTATGATGATCTTTCAGATTGGACCAGGTGGAAAGGCTGACCTGCCGCCAATAGACGGACCTACAGATATCGACCGTGGCCCAATCCTGCCGGTGCCTATCGGCATTAGACCTGTCCTGAGTAAATACAGGATTGAGGTGAGCTGATCTTAATAGTAATGTTTCTGTTCAGGAATGACACCTACTGTAAACAAGATTTTAGAAAGAAAAAGAAATACCCCTTATCCACACTTTAAAAAGAGCCTCAATTTTGGATGCAACTTGCAAAAAATTGAAGTGTATTCATTTGATAATTATTTTCAGGATTACTGTAGTCTGAAGCACCAATTTGTGTTATGTTATTGACCTTAATGTTCATGCAAAAGCAGACATGACCATTGTAACTTACACGTATAACATCTTGTTACCTTGGTTAATGTTGTAAACTAGTATTACCTTGTCATATTTTTATAATTTTTTTAATGTATTGTCATAAACAGTGGTTTATAGGTCAAATTACTGTCGTTTGTTATTCTGTATCATTTATCCATAACCACATGGGAAAAATGTACAAAAAATGTCTTGTTTTTAGAAATAAAATCTAAAATTTAAGAGAGATTTTCCTGAAAACTAGCAAAATAATCTGCCAACGGGTAAAGCAAAATGATCTAGTTTTTTTTTTTAAGGAAAACTCACTTAATTTTGAGACAAGACAAAAAACTCTGCAGTGTAAAACGTTTATCCTACTCAGATGTTTATCGCTATGCACCTTTTCAAAATTGATGTGCATCTTTGCATGTCTATGAAGAATTTTTATGCGATAATCCAAAATGTGCATAAAAAATAGAAGTATAGAAAAATGGGTACTGATTCCCCCTGTAGAAAATGTATACCCCTTAAATGGCTAAAGTAACAAATGGACTCCTGAAATTATGAAATTGTCTGATTTAGCAATTGATGAAATAATATTCCTGGTTCAGGTTCTCTTTTGGGGTCTGAGGGACCTGAAGCGGGTGAATCTGGCTCAAGTGGACCGTCCCCGTGTTGACATTGAGTGCGCTGGGAAAGGCGTTCAGTCGTCGCTGATCCAGAACTACAAGAAAAACCCCAACTTCAGCACTCTGGTCAAGTGGTTTGAAGTGGTGAGTTGTACATGTTTGCATGTCCTCAAAACATACACTGAAATAAGTCCTCATACGATCACAAATGAAAATTGAATGTCATCTGGTGGTGATGTGTGGTACTGCACACAACAAAATGTTATTGAAAGCTAATTTTTTGAGGTGTCAATTTTAAATTTGGAATATAATTTGATCAGATATGTAGCTTTGATTTTTCTGTCAATTTTAAGCTAAATAAATTTTTGTTAAACATGCATTATATGTAATATTTGAGCCGGCAGCTAGCTGTCTGCAACTCACATGGTCGCCAGCTGAAGCTAAGCAGGGCTGTTCTGTGGGTCCTAATGCCCCAGTATAGTGATGGGTACTTTAAACTGCTCAGTGAGTGTCGACTTTCGGATGAGATGTTAAACTTAGGGCGCGACTCTCTATGGTCTAACGGTTTAACCCCGGCATCCTGACCAAATCTGCCCACTGGCCCCTGTCATCATGGATAACTGAAACTTTGTCGTACACCACGACCACCAAAAGGGTACCCTTTTGGCAGTGGAAATGCAAGTCTCATAAAGGTGACCCGTACTGTACCTCTCAGAGCAAACAGGCCATTATAGGATGTCACAAGAGGTAAAACAAAACAAACAAACAAAAGATAAAAACGCAGTGTGAAATCCAGGTAAAAGCACATGGCCACGATAAGCTTGGAGTTTGCTTTTGAAACACTATCGGTTGGGTTTAGAGAAGGGGGAGTATGTGGATCAGTTGATCACAAAGGCCAGTTTCTCACAGACACGCACAAGAAGGATATTTAAAGGGCATGTATGACGAGCAAACACAGCCCAACAACATATTTGAGATTGTCAAAATGTACGCAGCGGCCTCTAGTGGATTTGTGAAAAACAATTCAAGCAGACGTCACCTCGGCTATGCAATTTGCGGGTCCTAAAAATGTAGCCCTGGGCATGTATGGCCAATGAGCTTGGGTTGTTTATATCCCAGGATCGGCATATTTATATTAATAATAATAATAATAATACATTTGATTTATAACGCACTTTTACAAATTACAAGATAAAACAAAAGGACAAGTTAAAATCAGCTACCAACTAAGATTCATTCAAAAACTAAAACAGCTATTTAAACGTTAAAAAATGCTCAAAAAGGTATGTTTTATGTTGATTTTGAGCGTTACTCTACAGTCATATGAAAGCATTGGTGTTTTTCCTTCAGGATCTGCCTGAGAATGAGCTCCTCCATCCTCCGCTGAACATCCGCGTGGTGGACTGCCGAGCGTTTGGCCGCTACACGCTGGTCGGCTCTCATGCCGTCACAACTCTGCGCAAGTTCATCTACAGGCCTGCAGACAAGAGTGTCAATAACTGGTCTGCTATGGGTGTGTAGAGAACCGCTGTTAATGTCTGTCTAGTTAAATTATTTTCTTATTGCTTAGAACTTCCTGCATTACAATATAAAATTGGAAAACAGATTTAAACTATAATGCAGTGATCGTTGTTTGCTAATAACTACTGAATTTGCTAATAATATACTAAATGTTTCTTGCTCATAAAATCATTAGAATAGTTATAAGGATTTATTGTAACACATTTAGTTAATGTTAGTCAATGTATTTACAAACAATGACCAATGCATGTTTAGTATTTATTAATAGTAGTTCAACATTTACTAATACATTATTAAAGCCCAACGCTGCGCTGACGTACCATGAAATAATGATGAATGACTTTTTTTTCATTAACTACAGTAAAAAAAATGTTGCTGCTTGTTCAAACTAATTACTTAAAATCAGCTGAAAAAACACAATATAGGGGCCAACTTAATTGCTTTATGTTAAATCCACTATTTTATGTATGATTCTTCAAATGAATGTAGCCTTGATGAGTTGAAGACACTTTTGAAAAGTATTATAAAATTACATTATTCCCTTTAACGTTATTTACATTTCTGAATCTAATCACAAGTAACGTGTTTGTTTTGTTCTCTTTCTGCAGAAGAGGTTGTGATCCACACAGAGCCTGAACCAGCAGTGAAGAAGATCGAGACAGTCGTCAAACTGGACTCAGTATGAAATTATTGAAAAATAATTAATAAAAATACAAAAAAAAAATACACTGACAACTAATTCTCATTAGAGTTTTAATTGGCAAGGGGCTCTATTTTGAAGATCTAGGTGCAAAGTCTAAAGCGCAGGGCACAAAAGTATCAAGGGCATGTCCAAATCCACCGGCCCTGGCGCATGGTCTAACAGGGTTGTCTTTATTTTATTAATGAGTTATGGGTGTGTTTTAGCATGACTACATTAAACCTATCAGAGTCTCATCTCTCATTCCCTTTAAAAGTTAGTTGTGTTGCACCATGGTGCATTTGCTATTTACATGGCAGACTTTGTAAAGTATAAAAACTGAACGCTTTACTAGCGAGAAGCCAGTTAAAAAAAGCATCTGCAGCGCTAGAATAAAGAACGAGCCTCCTCCATTCAGCCTCTTTACTTTTACTCTTTACTCCTATATTGACCTTTAAAAAATTTTAAACTACATGTATTCCAACCAAATTAAAATAAATATGACTTTTCCAGAGGAAAAAATATTATAGGAATTACTATGAAAAAATCCTTCGCTATTTGCACCAGACACTTTCGTACATTCATTCCATATGTCTATAAAAACATTGTGCATTTTTGAGTGCGCCTCAAACAGGTGAGTGGAACTGACAAACCACCTCTAGAAACGTTCTCCACTCTATATGCACCGGACACTTTACTTTAACTCCATCTTACAAGGACTCAATAAGGAAAACAATGTTTTATTGTGAATATACCAGAAGTCATGTTGCATTACTTATTCTCTTCAAACATATATCTTTTTTGCACAACATATTGCACAATGTTGTTCTGTTTAAACGTAATTGTATATTCTGTCTTAGCTTAGGTGTATAGTTAAGTATTTCTATATAGAATATATATAGTTATATTAGCGCTCCAATAGGTTCGTTATTTAAAAGTTTAAAATAGCTCTTACGTCCAGCGTTGTGTTCATATATATGATTATGTTTATTCGTGTAGCACCGTGATCTTTTGTAGTACTTGATGTCTGCACATGTAACAGAATGACAATAAAGCTCAACTTGACTAGACTTGAACATCACTTGGGAAATGTTTGAAAAAGAAATCAAATTTACAAGAGGGTTAATCAATTTGCCTTCAGTTGTATGCTTCAAGCTGATTCGTGCGTCTTATTTTCAGGCATCTGATGCTGTGGTCAAAGTTGATATGGTATGTACACAGATGACTTTTTTTATTCTATTTTATACCTGCAGCACGTTTTAAACTGTCTTTAAGCATTTTGTGTCTGTGTGACCTGTGTGTGTTGAACAGCCGGATGATGAGAAGGGTGGGAAAGGTAAGAAGAAGCGTAAGAAGGGTGAAGAGGTGGAGGAAGAGGAACTGGATGAGAGCATGCTGGACTGGTGGTCCAAATACTTCGCCTCCATTGAGACTCTGAAAGAGGTGAGACATAGGCCCAATCCCAATTCTATTTTTGTACCCCTACCCATTCCTCTCGGCCCTTGAAACAGAGTGTGAAGGAGAAGGGCTTCAAAATTTACCCCTAAGAAATGGGACAGCACTACAACACCTGCACACGTCAGCATATGTCATCGTGAGCTCTTACTTCACATGAGATCAGACGATCGCGACTGCTGTAGTTATTCCAGTTGCGCTATTTTTTGGTATTTCTCTCCAGGACATCACTGAAGGCATATATCATGTTATCATAACGATATAATGTGGCAAGAAGATCGTAACTGTACTGTGCATTTAAATCCTGGCCATATTTATCTATGTAAACACACCATAAACAAAATTAACATTATAGCAGAGACACTGTAAAAAGCTCATTCCCAGCCACTAGACTTTTCTGACAGGGTAATCGAGTATCATCGAGTGTCAGAATGTTGTGGGTCTGCTGTACAGGAGTTATTATGGATTACAGATCGCCAAATTTGTTTTTTATTTTAGCGTTTTTTAAAAAAGCATGACGATAAAACACGAACGCAGTTATGAATATATTAAAACATGAGCTTGTTTGTCATAAAAATTTGTAATAATGACAAAAAAATACTCATTTGTGCATCTCCTGACTTCCGGCTGCAGCTATGCTGCCGTTGTGGCTGGTGTATCCTGGGAAATTTTTTCACCCCTTAGTTTCGAGTGTGGTCCTGAAAAATCTCTTTTTTGAGAGGTATCTAGCCCTTCTCCTTAGCCCTACGCCTTCAAGCTAAAGAGAATTGGGACACCCCTACCCCTTCACGTGAACGCGCAAAAGGGGTAAGGGGAAGGGCTAAGGGGTAGAATTGGGATTGGGCCATACTGTACACAAGCATCAAAAAGTTCAGATTTACAAGTAGATGCTTGGGCATTCATACAAAAATAATTAATTAATGATTCTGTTTTATGAATAATTTAGGCCATGAAGGCACAAGAAGCAGAAGCTGAAGAAAAAGAGGATTTTGAATCTGGAGATGGTGAGTTAACTGTATATTTTGAACTAGATTCACTTAAAGCAGGGCATCCTTAAAATGTCTTAAAGGGGACCTATTATGTTTCCTTTTACAACATCTCTAATGTCCCTAAAGTTTTAACATATAATGTTTTATAACTCTTTGAAACTTGCCCTTTTAAGCTTTGATCCTTAAGGCTCCTACACACCAGGAAGCTTTTCTTTTGCGTTTATCATCAGATGTTTTTCGGATTCAAACCCAATCGATTTTCACTGCGTCGAGCAGAAAAGTATGCAAAATCACTCCTTGACATAAGATGGCGCTACATTACTTTAAGCTTCTGACACCCGCTTGTAACACAGAAGAAAAAGGCAAAGTTGATACGCTTGTTGTTATGGATGGATAAAGTAGCAGCTCCATCTCTAGCGATGAAGAAGTGATTATTGTTCACCAGTGCAATAAGCAGCTCCACGTTCATATCGCCTCCTGGCATTTTCTTCAATGTGCGCTCGCATTGACAGTTTTGCAATTGAGCGCCTCCAAGTGCTGATACTGTAACTTCGGCAGCTCTGTGCACATGATCAAAAGTGGCAATCTGATTGGTGGAGAATGTTTTGACGTGGCGCGTCAAAACAAAAACGAGCATGAATAGTTTTTTTAAATGACGCTTTTGCGTCTGGCGTTTTGCGCGTTGGTGTGCATGATCACATTGGCGCCCTATATTTAGTTACGAGACGTTAAACTTTGACGGAAAACGAGAGCAAAAAATGTCTCTGTGTGCACGGGCCTTAATTGTGGCATTTTGGTGACTGTTGCTTTAAATTCAAATGAGATTGTGCTCTTTTTAGAAGAGGGCGGAGCATCAAATGCCTGTGCAACAGCATAGTGGCAGATTCGAAAACAAGAATATGTTTTATGCTGTCTTATGCATCTGATGACACGTACAAAGGGAGAATGGCAATCAAAGTGTTTCTGCAGACTGTTTTTATCAAGTGTGATTATAAAAAGTCAATTAATAATTTTTACCATTTATTTTTGACTATTGGCAAAGTTTTACTTGTGCAACATAAAGTTAGTGGTGTCACATGTAATTAGTTACTTTTCACCTATCCTCTATAATCCCATTTAGCAGTTTGCAAACCCATATTTTTTTCCCTTAATGGCACCACTGTAGGGAAGAAGAAGAGAGGAAAGAAGAGTAAAACCATACCTGGAGAAGCCGTGCCGGAGAAGAAGAAGCAGAAGATTGAAGAGTTCAAGGTTCATCTCTGTCCATCTTTCTAAGGGTGCTTTCACACTTGTACTTTTGGTCTGAACCCAGATTCATTTGACATCATAGTACGGTACGTTTAGCTAGTTTGAACGTGTCTTCTGAACTCGGGTGCACATGTAACCCTGCCAGTCCTACGCTATCCAACCCGCTCCGAGTTGGTATCGAACCGGCGACCTTCCGCATAGGAATCGGGTGCTCTACCAAGGAGGCTAAAGACCATGGCCTCTAGCATCTGTCCCTAGAGCACCTTTAGAGGTCAGAGGAGTGAGGTTTACCAGCACAGCACACACTAGCTGGCCTCCGTTACACACACACCCCTAAACCTCACACCCATCCGGGTCACGGCACCAATGTAACCCCGCCAGTCCTACGCTACCCAACCCGCTCCGAGCTGGTATCGAACTGGCGACCTTTCGCATGGGAGTCAGGTGCTCTTCCAAGGAGGCTAAAGACCATGGCCTCTAGCATTTGTCGCTAGAGCACCTTTAGAGGTCAGAGGAGTGAGGTTTACCTGCACAGCACACACTAGCTGGCCTCCGTTACACACACCCACGAATCGTACCCGAGTCCGCCTGAAAAAGGCTATCTGGGGTACGGACCACGCAAACTCTGGTGTGGTTCACTTGTGGTATGAATGCAATCATATCAAATAATGCAAGTAAACCACCAACAGTACAACAAACTATAATTTTCAAAATGTTAATTTGTCTGTGTGTGTGTCTGTGTATCACGTACTGTACCTTGGTGACAAGCGGGACTGAGCCAGGGCAATCGAACATGGGTACAGTCCAGGCAATTGAACCAAGTTTGAAAGCACCCTAACAGCAAATGTGCACTTGAGCAGGGAATGAAGCTGTTTTCTTCTGCAGGTGTACAACCGAGAGCTGGAGTATGAATATAACCAGTTTGAGGACTGGCTTCACACCTTCAACCTTCACAGGGGGAAGTGCTCAGACGATGCGGACGTGGATCAGAATGCAGCTGATGAAGACAGACTCATTGGCAAGTTCAAGGTCTGTTCACATTTGTTGTCCAAGGAACATATGATCTCACAGGCAGAATACAACTGTTTTATTAAGTAGACACAGTTTCAGGTTGTTTAGGTGTTTGTAATGTCCCACATTATCACACACAAACTTAGTAGTTGTCCCACATAAGGTTCCCACATAAATCAAATATTTGGTTTGGGTTAATCATGAGGCGGATTTCTGATTCTGTTTGCTTCTACCAAAAAAACAATCAAAGTGGTCCAAGTACTTTCCTCTGTTGTCTGTGTTTACTGTAGGGCTCCTTGTGTATCTACAAAGTCTCCTCAGATGATATGTCCAGAGACATGGGCTTTGACTCCAACATGGGAATGTTCCAGAACATCCCACACAACGATCCAATAAACGTGCTTGTCCGAATCTACGTGGTCCGGGTATGCAGCACTACAGCAGCACACACTTCATAGCAGCGGTCACCAAACTTGTTCCTGGAGGGCCGGTGTGCTACAGAGTTTAGCTCAAACTCTAATCAAACACACCACCTGAACAAGCTAATCAAGGTCTTAAGCTGGGGTCACACTAGAGTTTGAGCTAGTGAAAATCTGTCGTACGGCGCAGGATTAAACAAGATGATTAGACATTTAAAAACCGAGTGATTGCTCCATATTTTAAATTTCAGTACACAGAAGTTATGTTTTGATCTTTTATTGAGCTCATGCAATCATGTAATGCGATTTTGCCAACCCAGGCTCATTGTGGAAACGTAGTCCCGCGGACGTTTCTGGAGACCCGGTGGGTACGTACAGCTGCAGTTTTTGTTTTTGCGAATCCGCAAGAGGCCGCTGTTGCGCGCTTTTTCGCACCTGATTGCTGGAGCTGCTCTTCCCCGGACTCGAAACCTGTCGCCGTCGTCGACCCCTCTCCGCATCTCGAGCCTGCCGACGTACACGCTGAGCTGAGTGGACAAACGGGTTGCAGCGGGGAAGCCCTCCACAAGGAGGTAAGGCAAGCGCGAAATGGAACAGCGTCACACTGCCCCGCAGTGTTCGCTTGAAAAATATAAACGCGGCCGTACGTACCCCCCGTGACGTATTCCGCTGTCTTTAGAAACGTCCGTGGGACTACGTTTTCAGAATGAGCTTGGGTTGGATTTTGCAGGTCAGAGTTCACCAAGCTTGATCTTGGCAACATAGAGACATGCCAAACAGTTCGCACAAGCTTGTGTTTCTGGTCTGCCGCATTCGCAGGCATATGAATGGAAGTCCATGGGGCGAAAAGTGTATCGTGACCGAAGCTTTTTAGGTATAGTTGAAACTTTCAAGCAGGAATGTTAAGGCAAGACAGAACTAAACTCTGCACCAACCCCCCCAGGACAGTGATCGATCACCACTAATCTTTCGGGCTCATCTTCTAAACTCATTCAAGGTGTTTGTTTGTCTCAGGCGACAGATCTGCACCCTGCAGACATCAATGGAAAGGCTGATCCATACATCGCCATCAAGCTTGGAAAGTCCGAAATCAAGGACAAGGAGAATTACATCTCAAAACAGCTCAACCCTGTGTTTGGAAAGTCAGTATATGAAGATTGGGAATGGCATTAATATTATCAGTATTCCTATTAATGTTAAACTCCTGCAGGTCGTTTGATGTTGAAGCAACTCTCCCAATGGACTCCACCCTCACTGTGTCCATCTATGACTGGGATTTGGTGGGAACTGATGACCTGATCGGCGAGACTAAGATTGACTTGGAGAACCGTTTCTACAGCAAACACAGAGCCACATGTGGCATCAGCTCCACCTACGCCATGTATGCAAACTAGATTGTTTAATCCATCCATCCATCCATCCATCCATCCATCCATCCATCCATCCTTCTATCCATCCATCTATCCATCCATCCATCCATCCTTCTATCTATCTATCTATCTATCTATCTATCTATCTATCTATCTATCTATCTATCTATCTATCTATCTATCTATCTATCTATCTATCTATCTATCTATCTATCTATCTATCCATCCATCCATCAATCCTTCTATCTATCTATCTATCTATCTATCTATCTATCTATCTATCTATCTATCTATCTATCTATCTATCTATCTATCTATCTATCATCTATCTATCTATCTATCTATCTATCCACCAATCCTTCTATCTATCTATCCATCCATCCATCCATCAATCTATCTATCTATCATCTATCTCTCTATCTATCATCTATCCATCCATCCATCCATCCATCCATCTATCCATCTATCCATCTATCTATCAGTCTGTATATTTGTCTATTTATTTGTTTGTCTGTTTATTTGTATGTCTATCTATCTGTCTGCCTGTCTGTCTATCAGTATGTCTGTCTCAAACATGTTAGCAGTGTGATAATACCTACAAGCAACTTCATAGCAACATCACAGCAGTATTGCAACACCCTAGCAACTAAACAGACTATCCCAGCAACCACATAGAAACCGCACAGAAAAATTCTAGCAACTACCCTACCAGCAAATACCTAGCAAATGCCATACAATTGTCATTACCATCGCACAGAATGCCCTACAGTATAGTAGTCACCCAGCAATCTGTCAGAGAAACTGAAAACACATTCACATTTTGAGTTTTAAAATTTTTCAGCTAGGCTTCATTCGTTTGGCACATCGAGTAAAGTGCTTCAATGAATTTCGCAACTTGTGCTACAATAAAAACATACAGACATTGAAAAAATAAACCCAATCAGGGGTAACAAGAACTAACAGGAACTAACATTTTCCCATTTCTCTCTATTAGTCATGGCTATAATGTGTGGCGGGACCCATTGAAGCCATCGCACATTCTTGCCAAACTCTGCAAAGATGGAAAGATAGATGCGCCGCAGTATGGCCCAGGTGGAAGAGTGAAAGTGACAAACAGAGTTTACACAGGGCCAACTGAAGTCGAGGATGAAAATGGTATGTGTGTTTTTACAAATAGGAAACGAATATGCATAAATCAGAGCTGATGATGGTTGTTTTGGTAGATTAGTAATAGATCTCACATTAATCTGTGCTGACTGACGTGAGTTATTTTATTTTATTATCTCTTAGATACTGATATAATTTTTATTTTCTTTTATTAATATTAATAAATTATTTTTTATTACTCTGTGGACTATTATGTTCCTCCTGGATCCGAGGTTCAACTATTGGCCGGATCCTTCTCTCCAGTACCTTTGCATAGCCTTTTCCAGGGAGGCTGAGGAGTGTGATTCCCTATAGTTGCAACACACCCTCCGGCCCCCCTTCTTAAAAATGGGAACCACCACCCCAGTTGCCTAGTCCAGAGGTACTGTCTCTGACTTCCATGTGATATTTTAGAGACGTGTCAGCCAAGACAGCCCCACAATATCCAGTGACTTGAGATACACATGGTGTATCTAATCCACCCCTGCTGCTTTGCCACTACAGAGTTTGCAAACTACCTCTGTGATCTCAGCTTGGGTTATAGATGAGTCCACCCCTGCTTCCCCAGTCTATGCTTCCTCAATGGAAGACATGTTAGTGTGGTTGAGGAGATCCTCAAATTATTTCTTCCACCATCTGACAACATCCCCAGTTGAGGTAAACAGCTCCTCATTTCTTCTGTAAACCATGTTGGTTTGAAACTGGTTTTCCCTTTTAAGGTGCCGGATGGTTTGCCTAAATCTCTGTGAGGCCGACTGGTAGTCTTTCGCCATGGTCTCCTCAAACTCTTCCCAGGCCTGAGTTTTTGTTTTCACAACCACCCAAGTTGCAGTACCTGTTGGTACTCATCAGCTGCCTTGGGAGTTTTACAAGCCAACCAAGCATTGTAGGGGTAATTTATTTAAATTAACGGCATCCCTGACTTTCAGTGTCCACCAACGGGTTTGTGGATTGCCGCCTTGACAAATACCACAGGCCTTACAGCCACAACCACTCGGTCCCTTCAGGATCTGGTCAAAGCTCTTCCAGTGGTAAGAGTTGAAAATCCCAGTTACTTGTGGTTCAGCTAGACATTCCCAGAGGACCCTCACAATATGTTTGGGCCTGCTAGGTCTGTCAAGCTTTCCCCTCTGCCAAGGAATCGGACTCACCACCAGGTGGTGATCAGTTGACGGATCTGCACCTCTCTTTACCTGAGTGTCCAAGACATACAATCGAAGATCTGATGATACAACCACAAAGTCAGTCTTTGACCTCCGCCCTAGGAAGTAATGGTGTCATGTGCACTGATGGACACCCTTGTGCTTGAACATGACGTTTGTTATGGACAAACTGTGATAAGCACAGAGGTCTGACAACAGACACCACTTAGATTCAGATGAGGAAGGCTGTTCCTCCCAATCACAGCTCTCCAGGTATCACTGTCATTACCCACGTGGCCATTAAAGTCCCCCAGTAGAACAAAACCTTCCAGCACCCCTCCCATGGACCCCAAGAATGCCAGGTACTCTGCACTGGTGTTTAGCCTGTAGGCACAAACTACAGTGAGAAAAATATACCTGACTCAAAGGCCAGAGAGGCGACCCTCTCGTTCACCAAGGGAAACACCAACACATGGCGGCTCAGTTGGGGAGCTGTAAGCAAGCCCACACCAGCCCACTGCCTCTCTTCATGTGTAACTCCAGAGTGGAAGAAAGTCCAGCCCTTCTTAAGAAGTTGAGTTCCAGAACCCATGTTGTGCATTAAAGTGAGCCCAATTATTTTGAGTCAGTACTGTTTAACCTGCCAAACAAGCTCAGGCTCCTTCCCTGAGGTGACATTCCATATGCTGAGAGCCAGTTTCTCTGCCTGACGATCAGGTTGTTGTGGTCCTAACCTTCGACCACCACTCATTACACAATGGTGGTGGTTGGCGGATAATACCCTGCAGGAGGATGGTCCCACATCGCTTCTTCAGCCTGAGTCTGGCTGGGTTCCATTGGATAAAACCATGCCACCAGGAGCTCCAGCCCCAATCCCAGGACTACCTCCAGGGTGGGGCCCTGTTTTCCCCATGAAGGGCAACATCACAGTCCACAGTGTTTTTGCACTCATAAAGGGGTTTTTAAACCACACTTAGTCTGACCTGTTAGCTAAGACCTTTTTACCTTGGGAGACTCTACCAAGGGCATTAGCCCTCGACAACATAGCTCTTAGGATCGCTCAGGCTCTCAAACCCTTCCTCCACTATAAGGTGGTGGTTCATTCCAAGAATTCCATATTGACATAAAAAACCATGATAAAAATAATAAAAGAAAACAAATTTAGTAATTTTGAAAAACATGAAGCTTATACGAGTGCTCCTGTTTGTACATCAGGACTAAAGAAACAGACGGATGAGCATTTAGCTCTTGCTGTACTGAACCACTGGGAAGATATTCCTCGGATTGGCTGTAAACTGGTTCCAGAACACATGGAGACGAGACCTCTCCTGAATCCAGATAAACCTGGGATTGAACAGGTCAGGAATAACATCACACAGGTAGCACTGTTTTGTGATGAAACACTGATGAATGTGAATGTGTGTGTGATATAGGGGAGGATTGAGATGTGGGTAGACATGTTCCCCAAGGACATGTCTGCGCCTGGACCTGCTCTAGATATCTCACCGAGGAAGCCAAAGAAGTAGGAAACGCTTAAGTTTTATTTGACATATTACAGGTGAATATTAATATTATGCTTAAAATATGTGTTCCACATTGACAGATTTGAGCTCAGAGTGATCGTGTGGAACACAGACGAAGTCGTTCTTGAGGACGATGACATTTTCACTGGAGAAAAATCAAGTGACATCTTTGTTAGAGGGTATGAGATCTTCTGTACATTGGTATGCATTTACACCACTGAAGTTTTGGATTCCGAGCGAGCTGGTTTTCTGAAGTAAATCCCAACTTGGACTTGATGATAAATCTGGCTTATTTATTTACAAGTTTGTGGGCATTAGTGTAGTTGCTGTAATGTGGTGTGCATTTCACTAGTCGGACTGTACCTTGCATTTGTTTCATACAAATTATGAAACATTTGTTTACAATCAGAAATGTAATGTATTGTGTAACTTGTCACCAACAGATGGCTGAAAGGCCAACAAGAGGATAAGCAGGACACAGATGTTCACTATCACTCACTGACTGGAGAGGGAAATTTCAACTGGCGCTTCATTTATCCTTTCGACTACCTGCAGGCCGAAGAGAAAATTGTCATCTCAAAGAAAGAGTCCATGTTTTCCTGGGATGAGACTGAGTACAAAATTCCTGCCCGACTGAACTTGCAAGTGTGGGATGCAGATCATTTCTCTGCTGACGACTTCTTGGGTGTGCTGTTTTACAATGTTTTTACAGTGGATAGTCAATCTATGTACACTTTTAATTAGGGCTATGATAATAAATTGACTCATTGCGACTGTTGGATAGTTTTTAGATTATCAGAATGCATTATGTTTTTCTCATGGATAGATTTTGAGCTTAATTTATAATAGCAGACGTCACTCTATACTAGGTTTTAACAGCAGACGGCGTTCTAGGCTAGCTTCAATAGCAGATGACACTCTAGGTTAGTTTTTGACAGCAAGCGGTGGTTTAGTCTGGCTTTTACCAGCAGACGGCACTCTATACTAGTTTTCAACAGCAGGCAGTGCTCTAGGCTAGTTTTAATAGCAGATAGCACTCAAGGCTTGTTTTGACTGCAGATGGCGATCCAAGCCAGTTTTTGACAGCAAACAGTGCTTTAGGCTGGTTTTTAACAGCAGACAGTGTTCTAGGCTAGTTTTAGCAGATGGCAGTTTAGGCTAGTTTTACCAGAAGATGGCAGTCTAGGCTAGTTTTAGCAGTAGATAGCACTTTATGCTTGTTTTTAACAGAAGATTGGACTCCTGACTAGTGTTTAACTGGAGATGGCACTCAGTTTAGGCTAGTTTTACTAGCAGACGGCACTCTAGCTTGGTTTCAATAGCAGATAGCACTTTAAGCTAGTTTTTGACAGTAGATGGCAGTCTAGGCTAGTTTTTTGCAGCAGATGGCAGTTTAGGCTAGTTTTTAACAGCAGACTGTGCTCTAGGCTAGTTTTAACAGCAGATGGCAGTTTAGGCTCGTTTTAACAGCAGACGGTGCTCTAGGCTAGTTTTAACAGCGGATGGCAGTTTAGGCTAGTTTTAACAGCAGACGGTGCTCTAGGCTAGTTTTAACAGCAGATGGCAGTTTAGGCTAGTTTTAACAGCAGACGATGCTCTAGGCTAGTTTTAACAGCAGATGGCACTTTAGGCTAGATTTAATAGTAGATGGTGCTCTAGGCTACTTTTTGACAGTGGATGGCACTCTAGGCTAGATTTAACAGCAGACGGTATTCTAGGCTAAATTTAACAGCAGATGGTACTCTAGGCTAGTTTTTACAGTGGATGGCGCTCAGTGTTGGCTAGTTTTTAACAGCAGATGGCACTCTAGGCTTGTTTTTAACAGAAGATTGCTCTCCAGGCTAGTTTTAATAGCAGACTGTGCACTAGACTAGTTTTTGACAGTGGATGGCACTCTAGGCTAGATTTAACAGCAGATGGTACTCTAGGCTAGTTTTAACAGCAGACCATGCCTGGACTAAGCTAGTTTTTAACAGAATACAGCACTCTTTATACTAGCACTGCGACTTTATGTTACAAGATTAATATAAACACAGCTAACTATAAACACTCTTGGAATTTGTGTAAAATAATCATTAATAATTCAGGAAAAGTGAAAGTTTAAGTGGTGTGTGTGAGGAATTAGAAGCAAGAAGAGACTTGTACAGAGAGAACTTCCCAGTGCATCGGAATGTGGAATCATTTCTCCAGTGGAATGCATTGATTTATCATCCATTTGATGCTGGCACATTTTGTTTCAGGTGCGATCGAATTGGACCTGAATCGATTTCCACGAGGCGCAAAGACGGCAAAGCAGTGCTCCATTGAAATGGTCACGAATGAGAATGAAATGCCCATGGTCAACATCTTCAAGCAGAAGAGAATCAAAGGCTGGTGGCCGTTTGTGGCCAGAGATGAAAATGATGAGCTAGAAATTACAGTAGGTGACCTGCAGAAGTATATTTAATATACTTCATGACATTTCAAACTGTTCCCGAACAGGTTTGAATTGTGCTCTGAATCACTGGGTCAAAAGAAATGTTTACCAAAGCTTCATAAAGCAAATACTGCATTACCTTCTGTTGATCTGAATTTTTATATATCTAGGTATTGCAGTTATTTGTGCTACTACACTGTAAAACATTAAAAAAGTGAAAAATTAAAATTAATAATTTCACTAAAAATGCTGCCCTGAGATCTTTAAAATGTCTCATGCATGACCTGTTGCTAATCATGGGCTATTTGGATGGCATGTCTGTGGTGCTTTTTATCATATTGGGAGCAGGTTAGAGATCCTTTTAAACATTTTTTTAATTTAGCAGATGCTTGTATCCAAAGCGTCTCACAAGTAAGAATAAAAGAAGCACTTCTAATCATCGAAGAGCAGCAATATAAGTACTATATACATGCCATGACTGGTCTGGCTAGTTTAGAATTTTTTCCACATGCATGTGGTTTGTCAAGCCCACTCACCTGCATGAAGCACTGTAATGCCTTGTTTTCACTGAGTGGTGTTTTAGGTTGCAGAAAGAATCGTTTGCTTATTTGTTTGTTCACACTTTGCACTCACATTTGACCGCAAGTTGACCCAATCATGAGCAAAATCATTTCAAAAACAGACACACTGCAAATGCACACAGAGAGAAAAGGAAACCACTCACGGTTTCCATATATTTTTACAACTTACGCTAATTTTGAAAACGTTACCCCATATATATTTTATGGAGACAGCAAATTATGTAGCCAGAGGTATGTATGGCTGCATTTAATTTTTTAACGAATGCTACAGGGCGGCATGACACCATTCCTTTTCGCACACACCAGCTGACCACTTACCTCTGCATGAACAGCTTTCCCACTGTTACCAGTTTGTCCCGTTAGCGCGCCATGTACGTCAGTGGACTTAAGATTCAGAGAGGAGTTGACCACGAAGACGGGGTTCGAGTCCATTGACGGTTCCAGTAAGCAAGTAGGACAAAAACTAAAGCCAAATGAACAAGTAAATAACAGGGTGAGAATGTGGTAAAATCTGAAAACGTGGTAAAAAATCAGGCTAGGGCTTTTCTGCATTGCATAAATATGTTTAGGGATGTGGGTGGGAGGGTCAATCAATACAATTGGTTGGGTTTAGGGAAGAAGGACAGTGGGTCAGTCGATTGGTCGGTGAGTTATTCAGTCAAACAGTCAGTCAACAGTGGCCTCGGGTGGGTTTATGGGAGAACAGCAGGCGTGAATGGCATAGAGAAATTTAAGATCTCAAAAAGCGTACACAGCGGCCTCTGGTGAATTCTGGTGAATTCGTTAAAACAAAAACTGCACCTCCTAGGACGTATTTTGCGGTCTCCAGAAATGTTTATAGAGGTACGTTTTCAGAATGAGCCTGAGTTGCATTTTTACATGGCTTTGTAAACAACAATAGAGGACACAGCAGATTCTGTTCTACTTCTTAGCACGTGGCTGTTTGCCAACAAAGTTTATTTGAGCTTGGGTCAACCATGGCTCATTATATATAATTTTATGTTGTCATGTCCGGGCTATTTATATAAAAATGGTGCTTCCAGTATTGTCTTTCTCTTGGCTTGTTGCATGCATTGGTATCGATTCTCTGTGAATTAATAGTGTTCAGCTGAGAGTCTAGATCCAATCTTTGGCCTGTTGTGTACGGGTACCCTTTGAAAGGGGTTTCCAAAGACTGGAACAGTACAGTTCACTTTTTGGTACCATTAACAGACAAAAAAAGCATACCATATACCACACTGACCGGGCTATAAGAATTGCGTGATGTTTTCCAGAAATATGGAGAGTTAAAAAAGTGTCTGGTGCATTTGGAGAGAAGTGTGTCTCCTACATGTGGTTTGTCAAGGCCACTCACCTGCATGGAGCACACTCAGAATCGTAGTGTTTCGTGAAGCATGGAGTGTTTGACTTTTCACTTTCAAATATGCCGTGAAAATTCTTAAGAATATCTTTGTTCTTTGTGTTCATACAAATTTGTAAAAAGGGAATGCAAATAACAGAATGCTGAGCACTGTTGTCGAGTTTGGAATAAAAAAATGTTTTCGCTTTAGGGCAAAGTGGAAGCAGAGCTTCAGTTGTTGACAGGTGAGGAGGCTGAGAAAAGTCCCGTCGGTGAAGGACGCAATGAGCCAGAGCCTCTGGAGAAACCCAAGTAAGAGCAACATTTACACGTTCACACCTCTCATGCCACTTACAATTTTTCTTTTTCTATCAAATATAAAAGGACTTGAATTGTTGATCTAAACATTAAAACACTTTAAAAATGTAATAAATTTTTACAGCAAGTATCTTGCAATACTTTAAACATTCTAAAGTCCAAATAAAACTCTAAACTCTAAATAAATTATAAATAAATGAGTGAATGAATTAATAGATTTTGTATATCCTGATTTAAACGAATTCTAACATCTCCCAGGAAAGGAATGATCTCTGATATAAATATGTAACTAAATGTAAATAATAAATGGTATGTCCTCTGATTGATATACATCAGTGTTAATTTCATTATTGAAAATCTTAGCTTGAAACAAACAAACTAGGCAGGTCCTCTGTGCTTAACGTTAGCGGCGCAGCAGATCTGTGAAGTTTCTGTTTGCATCAAACCATTTTCGTTGGCGAAATTAACACTGTGGTAAAATAGTGGTCATTAACCCATATGAAGTTTTCATTGGTTGTTCAGTTTCTCCCGCCACATTCTCGTGGAGATCACCTGCTTATTAAAACATAAATAAATCAATATTTAAGAGAATCGTTAAAAGAAACATCTGATAAATGTATTAAAGGAACTTTTATTGAAAATAGGCTGATTTTTGTCCCTTAAAGCTGAACAGGTGAGTTTTACCATTTTTATATCCATTCAGCTGATCTCCGGGACTGAAGGGGAGCACTTTTAGCTTTGTTTAGCTTAGCATAGAATCAGATTAGACTATTAGCATCTCACCCAAATATAATCAAAGATTTTAACGTAGACAAGGGGTGCTCAACCCTGCTCCTGGAGATAGACCTTCCTAAAGAGTTCAGCTCAAACCCTGATCAAACACACCTGAATCAATTAATTAGGACATGAAAAGCACTTGATAATTACTGGCAGGTGTGTTTAATATGGGTTGCAACTGAAATCTGCAGGAAGGTTGATCTCCAGGAACAGGGTTGGTCACCCTTGATGTAGTCTAACCATTTTCCGTACACTTTTCGCTATTCAGCGCACTCAGACGACCACTCCTCTGTCATTGAAAGCCAGATAGACATGTTTGTGTGTTCATTCCCTGGGGGAATACCTATTGCACAATCCAAATCTTGATTGATGTCTTTTGGACCAGTAGTTTTTGAGAAAAGATGGGAAAAGTACCGCCTTCACATGTGTATGGAAGATGATATGTATTAACTGTGTTCCGTACACGACTAAAATAGTGTTCGTACAGGGCGCATAACTTCAATTCACTGGCAAATATGGGCATTGTTTGAAGTCTTATACTATTTACTATTATTGTGTTTAACTATTATTGCGTAATTTCTCTTTTATGAAAGTTTGAAATGAGCTTCACAATCATTCAATTTTTATATCATGTTTATTTTATAACAGCATGACAATTTAAAATATTAAAACATTAAATTCATGCAAATGAACGCTCACTTGACTAACCTTATATGTATGTAAACATCAGCACTGCACAAAGAGGATCCAAACAGCGTTTGGCGGAGAGTTGCGCCATGCGGTCATCACCCACATCTGACGTCTAAATATCCCCATTTCAAAGCATTTACTCAACAAAAGATCATTTATTTAATAATTTGTGATAACATAATATTCATTTTATAAAGACTGTAATACTGTGTGATGACCTAAATTAAATACAAATGCATATTGTCATTTTTTAAATGTCTCTCTTCCCAAAGAGACACCCACACCTTAAGCTTGCCCACTGTCTATTTTCAAGCACATTAGGTGGACGTGGCAAATTTAGTGAATTTACTCTGAAACATATTTTAGGAAGGTCTTTGTTGTGGTTGGGGTTGAAAGAGTATGAAATAAAGAGTATACAGATGTATAGCTTGCCTACAACACAAAGGTATTTATTCAGAGATTGGCGTTAAAAGGTCATCTGTACGCAACATCGTTGTGTACGAAATATGGTTAGTCTACGTTAGATAATTTCCCTATTTAAAGCTTGACTCTTTTATAGGTACATTGTGTACTAAAACCAACGGAAAAATGAAAATGTGGCATTTTCTAGGCTGATGTGGCTAGGAACTATACTCTTATAATCAAGGCACAATGATATTACACAGCACAACTGGAGGTTTACATTGGAAGTTACTTTCAGACGCTGCAAATTATCATTACCCCTGATTCAGCCAAGCTACGCAAGCAAAGTCCCTTGATTATTACGCCAGAATGAGAGTTTAGTTCCTAGACATATCAGCCTAGAAACTAGCAACTTTTGAATTCTCATATGTCTTAGTGCACAATGTAACTACAGAAGAGTCAGGCATTAAATAGCAAAACTATCAATTCGTTTTACTAATTTTTGAGTGAGATGCTAATGGCCTAATCCGATTTAATGATCAATGCTAAACTAAGCTAAGCTAAAAGTGCTCCTGCCAGGATATCTGCTGAATGGATTAAAAAATGCTAAAACTCAATTAATTCTTGGGGAGCTGTAACATGAGCCTATTTCCAAATAAAAAGTAATGGTAACACTTGAAAATAACTACACACTATATATCATCCCTGCTGAAAAATCCAGCTTAAACCAGCCTAGGATGGTTGGCTGGTTTTAGCTGGTCAACCAGGCTGGTTTTAGAGGGGTTTTGGCCACTTCCAGGCTGGTTTCCAGCCATTTCCAGCCTGGTCTTAGCTGGTCAGGCTGGGAGATGACCAGCTAAAATCAGCTTGACCAGCCTAGCCAGGCTGAGAGCCCAGCCAAAACCAGCTATGTCCAGCTTAAACCAGGCTGGTCAAGCTGGTTTTAGCTGGATTAAGCTGGTCATTTTTCAGCCTGACCAGCTAAGACCAGGCTGTAAATGGCTGAAAACCAGCCTGGAAATGGCCAACACCCCTCTAAAACCAGGCTGGTCAACCAACTAAAACCAGCCAACCATCCTAGGCTGGTTTTAGCTGGATTTTTCAGCAGAGATAAGCATTAGCAAATAGTTAATTCATTATTTTTAAAGCATTTACTCTACATTGATAGACGTTATTTAGCAGTTTATAAATACAGCTACAATATAAGCACATGTATAATGTGCTTAATGATTGTATTTTCATACCTAGTTAGTAATTCATTTTTCATTACTAAATTAAGCATGGCAATATTTACAAATCAGTTATTTAAGAATAGTTGGGGTTTAAGATCATTCAGAACGCATGAGTAAATGATTAAACTATTCAAATGAACATTTATATATCGTATTATTCAGGCATGTGATAATAGTTACTTTACTTTAAAAGAGAGTATTCGCGGCTGTATCCCTTCTAACTTTATCATCAACGAAAAGAAAAATAACTGGAATAAAATGTTGCATAAAACAGGTGAAGGATGTGTATAAACATGTAAAAGTCTCAATAATATAGTTGTGTTTATTGTATAACATATTCCAGTAATGTTTTATTTACACCCATGTGAAAAACAGTAGTTTTTATGAACTACAAAATCTATTATACTGTATATATTATTGTATTTTAAGCTCTTTGTTAATAAATGCTGCAGCATTCTGCACTGTTAACTATCATGAACTAATACCATAGTAAATTTTAGTTTTTATTACAGTAAACTGTGGTGTAGTATAACACTACCTCACAGTTTTTGAAAGAAATAGTATTTGTTTTTATTCTTAAAAAAAACACATAAAGCGATAGCCGTGTTGTCATCACAACAGTTTAATTTAAGAACTTTACTATAGTATGGTTTAAAAACACTACAGTGTTTACTAAAAATTACTACAGAATGTTTTCACACAGGTTACTTTAAGAAATCATTTTTATTCTAAAGAATTTCTCAATATCAGAAACAACTTTATATTAAATGCAAATTGTTAACAAAAAATCCGATAGTAAATATTATAGTGTTTTAAACCATACTATAGTAAAATACTCTTGCGGTAATTCTATAGTTGCTTTAGTAATACAACAACTATAGTAATATAAACAAATTACCCGATACTGTACAACTTGTTTTACAACTAGGTTATATTAAGCTGCAATACACCAAAGATTACTGTAATAAAAACTAAAATATACTATGGTATTAGTTCATGATAGTTAATTGATATTGATTAAAGAAAATAGTATAATATAATAAAATATAAAACTCTTTTCAAAACATAATGGTTACAGGTACAACATGAAAATAGAAATTATCATTCAATAAAATGCAAAAATGTAAACATTGTATTTTTAATATCCAACTTGCAACTTTTTCAGGATGTTGTTATTCAGCATGTGTGTAATATTGCACATATAATTTATACAAATGTATTTCCATTAACAAAGTATTTTGTGACACCATGAAATAAATGTATAATATAAAAAAAGCATTTGAAATTACTATTTATTTTGTTTGCATGATTTATATCCTGAACACTCCCTGACAAAAGTCTTGGCGTCTATCCAAGTTTTAGGAACAATAATAATAACTTGACTTCTAGTTGATCATTTGGTTACAGAAGTGGCGTATATGAAAGGTAAAGGCCTCTAGATGAGCACAATAAAATATGATCATACCTTGATTATTAATGATTTGATTAGGACAGTAAGGTCTGACTCTGCTTAAACAAAAGTCTCATCACTGAACAGAAATAATGTCCAGTATAGAATATAAAGTCCTGCTGCAGTGGAGACAGAATGAATATTGTGTGTGACTCCATCATGAGCTTGGAGGACTGCATCCATACATCTCTGACATGACTCAAATCACTGATTAATAAAGTCATCTGGAATGAAGAAGAAAGCGTTCTTGCAGGACTCCCAGAGTTCATCAAGAGTCTTTGTGTTAATCTTCAATGCCTCCTCCTTCATCTTAACCCCAGACATGCTCAATAATGTTTATTTCTGGTGACTGGGCTGGCCAATCCTGGAGCACCTTGACCTTCTTCGCTTTCAGTAGCTTTGATGTTGAGGCTGAAGTATGAGAAGGAGCGCTATCCTGCTGGAGAATTTGCCCTCTCCTGTGGTTTGTAATGTAATGGGCAGCACAAATGTCTTGATACAGTACCTCAGGCTGTTGATACTGAATGTAACCCCAAACCATGATTTTTTCCTCACCAAACTTGACTGATTTCTATGAGAATCTTGGCTCCATGCTGGTTCCAGTAGATCTTCTGCAGTATTTGTGATGATTGATGCAGTTCAACAGATGATTCATCAGTAAATTCCACCTTCTGCCACTTTTCCAATTGATCATCTAGAAGTCGAGTTATTATATGTTGCTTTTACAACTGGGATCAATGACAAGACTTTTGTCAGGTAGTGTATGTTAATAAATGCTTTATTAACTCACCTTCATCTAGTTTCATGAACTAATCTAAAGTGAGGATTATTCATGCTCTGTTAATCCCTAAAAAATGACAATTAAAGACTCAGTTTCAAAAAGAACAACGTATCTTTGAAATTTTTATTTAAAGACACTTCTATACAGCTTAAAGTGACTTTTAAAGGCTTAACTGGGTTAATTAGGTTAACTAGGCAGGTTAGGGTAATTAGGCAAGTTGTTGTATAACGATGGATTGTTCTGTAGACTATCGAAAAAAAAGTTAGCTTAAAGGGGCTAATAATATTGTCCTTAAAATGGTGTTTAAAAAATTTAAAACTGCTTTTATTCTAGCCGAAATAAAACAAATAAGACTTTCTCCAGAAGAAAAAACATTATCAGACATGCTGTGAAAATTTCCTTGCTCTGTTAAATATAATATGGGAAATATTCAAAAAAGCAACAAAAATTCAAAGGGGGGCAAATAATTCTGTATTCAACTGCACGTCTGTTTCAAGCTACGAATATTTGGATCGCATATAAACAGAACAAAGCAGACCACGAAATGTAAATTGTTAGCACTTGGGATCCATATTCTGTCATTTAAAACTCTTCATGTCATGTCAAAAAGAACAGCGTATCTTTGAAAATTTTATTTAAAAAAATAGAATTACTGTAAAGTTCAAACTTTAACAGGAGTGTCAAAATACAACATAAAATTGGATAAAACAACAACAACAGTATAATAATTTAACAATATATTATAATGGAACATTTCAATGTTTTTACTTATGTTTAAATTGTACAGTAATTTTATTTTAGCTAAGATTTATGCAAAGATTTCTGTTTCATTTGATACAGTTTCAGTTCTTTTTTCCTGTTTAGAATTTAACCGCACATTTAATAAGGGATTTACAGAGCATACATAGTGCTTACGTAAGATTAGGTCATCAAACTTGATGAAATTGAGTCAATAAAGCATTTACTAACATACAAAGCAACTAATATTATATGCCTGAATAATAATCATTAATCAAATTATAAAAAATGTACTTACGCATTCTGAATGATCCTAAAAAACACCCTATTCTTAAATAACTGGTTTGTAAATAATGCAATACTTAATTTAGTAATGAAAAATGAATCACTAACAAAGTATGAAAACACAATCATTAAGCACATTGTTCGTGCACTTATAAGTAATTAATAAAGCATGGGTGGCTGTATTTATAAACTGCTTAATGTAGAGCTAATGCTTAACAAATAACCACTTAACTATTTGCTGAAGCTTAACAAATAGTGTGTAAATGTAAAGTGTTACCGAAATAATCTGTGCTTGCTTTGTTGCTAAATTTAAATAAACTGAGATTAAACCCCAGTGCGATCAAAAGTCGCCCAGGGAAATGCCGCATAATTTTACCACACATTTCTCTTTGTCCCACCAGCCGCCCTGACACTGCATTCCTGTGGTTCATGATGCCGCTAAAGGCAATCCGCCATCTCGTCTGCAACCAATACAAGTGGCTGGTCATCAAAATAGTGGTGGCTCTGCTGCTTTTAGCAATGCTGGGCTTGTTTCTGTACAGTATGCCAGGGTACATGGTGAAAAAGCTACTGGGAGCTTGAGAAGCTTCTCTCTGCAGCGTTTGATAGTCGAATTTTCATTTGGAATGGTGTATTGGTGTGTTGGAGAAGTCATACGCAAACCTACTTTCGTCCTTTGCCTTCAATTATTACTGGTTTGATCATAAACACTACTAAACTAAACTAAAAACACATAAAAACATAATTGTTTGCATATCCAGTGCTGATGTAAAATGTTTTTATATACATCTATAAATTAGTACATTTCTGGGTTTTTCCGATGGTTGGAAGTTGTGTTTCTTCATTGAAATGTGTGTTATTGTGTGCTTTTGGCTGCTGCTAATAAATCAATAAAAACACTATGCATGCATTTTATTTGTTAGGACCCAGAGAAAATCTTGCCATTTTTCTTTCTACAATTGATAGTTTTCAGTCATGTGACCTGTGCGGAGACTAGGCAGGCAAAAAAACGAGCCGTAATATCGGCTACACTGGGATCTGCATAGAAAAGCAGCACCAACTTAATCATATATACAGTTGAAGTCAGAATTATTAGCCCCCCTGAATTATTAAATCCCTGTTTATTTTTCCCCCTATTTCTGTTCAACAGAGAGTAGATTTCTTCAACATATTTCTAAACATTATAGTTTTAATAACTCATCTCTAATAACTGATTTGTTTTATCTTTGCCATGATGACAGTAAATAATATTTTACTAGATATTTTTCAAGACACTTCTATACAGCTTAAGTGATTTTAAAGGCTTAACTGGGTTAATTAGATTAACTAGGCAGGTTAGGATTATTAGGCAAGTTATTGTATAATGATGGTTTGTTCTGTAGATTATCGAGAAAAAAAAGTTAGCTTAAAGGGACTAATAATTTTGTCCTTAAAATGGTGTTTAAAAAATTAAAAACTGCTTTTATTCTAGCCGAAATAAAACAAATAAGACTTTCTCCAGAAGAAAAAACATTATCAGACATGCTGTGAAAATTTCCTTGCTCTGTTAAATATAATATGGGAAATATTCAAAAAAGCAACAAAAATTCAAAGGGGGGCAAATAATTCTGACTTCAACTGCACGTCTGTTTCAAGCTACGAATATTTGGATCGCATATCAACAGAACAAAGCAGATTACGAAATGTAAATTGTTAGCACTTGGGATCCATATTCTGTCATTTAAAACTCTTCATGTCTCTGTCAGAGCTCTAATTTGTCGATGTTTACATCCGTCTTGTGGATATTTTTCTGAAATTTACTCAGTGGTGATGGCAAAAATCTATTTGTTAGCTTCAGCTGCTTATACTTTGCATTTCAATTTATAATTTAATTGCACTTCACATGCAAATTAGAATAGAAACTATATAAAAAGACTTGCCAATCAGCGAGAGATAGCAATGTTTTGCCCACCAGGGGTAGGGGGTCATGTGACGTCACGTGAAAACTATCAATTATTTGCACCCAAGCTTTGAAAGCCAGTCTAGCTGTGGATCTTTGGATGCACTCGCTGCACCAATCATCATATTTCCTTCAAATGATTTTGCAAAATTTGCATTTTGAAGCGTTCGCTGAACGACCGTTGTGTTGAACAACGTTATACTTGCACTTCCCCTTTGCTTTGACCTGCCAAGCTTGCATGTCTTCAGTGAGACAAACGTTTGCGATTTGTTCAGAAAGATTAAAAGCTTGTTCGTTGGTTTTGTCCCACCAGCCGCCCGGACATTGCTATGCTGTGGTTCTTGATGCCGCTAAAGGCAATCCGGAATCTCGTCTGCAACCAATACAAGTGGCTGGTCATCAAATTAGTGTTGGCGCTGATGCTTCTCGCCATTCTGGGCCTGTTCCTCTACAGTATGCCTGGTTACATGGTGAAAAAGCTTCTGGGAGCTTGAGAAGCTTCTCTCTGCAACGTTTAATAGTACTGCGACATTTCATTTGGAATGGTCTATTGGTGTGTTGGAGAAGTCATACGCAAACCTACTTTTCTCCTTTGCTTACAATTATTACTGGTTTGATCATAAACACCGCTAAAGGGCAAAACTGAAATAGATTTAGAGGAGATTAGAGGATCGTACACTATAGATTTCTTTGTGTACTAAAAACTCCTAAAAACATGTAGTTGTCTGTATATCCAGTGCTGATGTAAAATGTTTTTATATACATATATAAATTAGTCCATTTCTGGGATTTTCCGATGGTTGGAAGTTTTGTTTCTAGGCTAAAATGTGTGTAATTGTGTGCTTTTGGCTACTGCTAATAAATCCATGTAAAAATAAAAAAACTATGCTTTTTATTTGTTAGGACCCAGAGAAAATCCTGCAATTATTCTTTCTATAATTGATAGTTTTCAGTCATGTGACCTGTGCAGAAACCAGGCAGGCAAAAAAAAAAATGGACCGTAATTGCGGCTACACTGGGATCTACATAGAAACACAGCACAAACCGGTCATATTTCCATCTGTTTCAAGCTACAAATATTTGGATCACATATTGACAGAACGAACAAGAGATATGACTACAAACTGTAAATTGTAGGCACTTGCGATTGTATGAACTAAATCTATGAAGCTGTTTTTCAGTCATTTACAAACGTCTCTCTCAGAGCTCCAATTCGTCGATGTTTACATTTATCTTGCGGATATTCCTTAGCGATTCGGTCATTGGCGACCGCGAAAATCTATTCTTTCACTTCTGCTGTTTATACTTTGACTTTTCATTTGGATATTTATTTTGATTGTACTAGAATAGAAACTATATAAAAAGACTTGTTGGTCAGCAGGAAATGTTTTACCCACCAGAGGAGCGTTTCCCTAATCATGTGATGCCACATAAAAACTATCAATCATGTACACCCAAGCTCTGCAAACCAGTCCAGCTGTGGATCTTTGGATGCATTTGTTGCACCAATCATCATATTTCTCTCAAATGATTTAGCAAAACTCAATTTTGAAGCATTCATTGAACAACAAGTTCTCCTTCGGGAGGGGAACTTCAATGCTATGCGGAAACTTCCACTATGGGGGATTTCATCAGAATCCAATCATCTGAAAGAGTATACAATCTGGCCAATGAAATGTCAATGAGTTAGTAGCGTCAGCATGCACAGCTGGCGCTACTTACAAATAGTCTTGTATATAAGCGCTGCATGTGCCAAGCTGAGCATCCGTTTTGCTTCAGATCCTTTCATGAAGCTTTTGAGAGAGTCATATGAGGGTTTCTCCAACTGTTATGACAGAGAGAGAGAACGAGAAAGCGGGCTGCTTTTCCTGGTCCAGAGTATGCGATAAGCGGCGGCAGACGGTCGACCTTGGTTTCTCCCTTGTCTGGCAATCTTTGGGTCCGGTCAGTATTCGGTTTGTAGTTCATGCCATCACTGCTGTTGCATGTCTGTTGCGCAGTTAAGATCGAGACTGGCTCTTGCAAAAGGGCCACCCACTCCAGCTGTCCCCCTCTTTGTGGTTGGCACTCGGGCAGATCTGAGGGTTACAGAGGGAGTAAATCCGCCACCCTCAGGCTTGCGGACCTCTTATTTCTCCACGTGCTCCATCCAAGCTTCGAGTGGTGAAGCGATGCGTCCTCGGATGGTCGCCCTCTCACATGATGACACCGAGGCATAGACGTCCATCGCTGCATCGGATGACAGGCTGTCATTGTCTGATGAGGATTCGAACCCGCTCCCTCCTATCGGGGTAGCGAGCACGGCGTTGAATCTATAAGCAGACATGATAACCATACTTTCCCGGGCTGCTTCGGCCGTGGGCCTGGAGATGGTTTATCCCCCACCCACCCCCCGTGGCCAGACCAACTAGATGGGTGTTGTGTGGAGGATGTTAAGAAGGCAAGACCTTTAAGCCTCCCATCCCCTTCTTCCCAGAAGTCCAAAGTAGGCTCACGCAGTCTTGGAGGACACCTTTCTCTGCCCTATTTGCGTGTACCTCACCACTCTTGATAGCGGAGCAGCCAGGGGTATGAGTCGATTCCCCAGATGGAGAGTGCCATTGCGGGCCCGCGTGGTGCCAATTACTGGTGGGGTCTGCCTCTGCTCCCGTCCAAGGCATGTAGGTTATCTGCCTCCCTCGGAGCCAGAGCCCACACAGCCGCAGGCCAGGCTGCTTCCCCTCTGTGCGCTATGGCCACCTACCAGCGCCAACAAGCACAGGCGCTGGCACAGCTGCACGAGGATGGTTCCGACCCAGGCCTGTTACACGAGCCCCGCACGGCAACTGACTGTCCTCTACGGATGCAAGTCTGCTGTTTGTGCCCTTGGAAGGACAATGGCCTCATTAGTGATTCAGGAGCGCCACCTATGGTTAAACCTGGCAGATATGCACGAAGTTGACAAAGTTTGCTTTCTTAACTGTCTCATATCCCCGCTGTCAGTTGAGTTCCCCACTTGGTAAAACTTGCAGAGTTTCTCATCTGTCTCAGCTGAGTAGTCAGGTAATGGCCCGTTACATTGTTGGCATGCCCACTGGTCACCCCGCGTTCTAGGTATAGATGCCTGCTATGTGAGATCCCCACTGTTGATCCCATATGCTCACTCAGCCACAATGTAGTCCCCCCTCTTAGGCGGGCTCATGTTTTCCTTCCCCGCTAACCATCTTTTTATATGAGCACTCCCCCTTCTCAGGGCTAGTCCATATGTTTTCTCGCCACCTGGTCTCCTCACTTGGGCAGCAGGTGGCCTCCGCAGCATCCTACCTATCGAGATTGCACGCTTTCCAAGTGTGCATTCCACCGTAGTGGAAGTTTCCACATAGCATTGAAGTTCCCCTTCCGAATGGGGAATGCTACGGTTACTGAAGTAACCCTCGATCCCTGGGGGAGGGAACAGAAATGCTATGTTCATCGCCACAATGATTGCCCCTTAGCTGTTAGCCGTGAAAGGCTCTTCTTCTAGAAAAGGATGCCTCCGTTTAATAATGAAAACTTACATACAAGATTAATTGTAAGTAGCGCCAGCTGTGCATGCTGATGCTGTTAACTTATTGGCATTTCATTGGCCTGATTGTATACTCTTTCAGATGCTTGAATTCTGACGAAATCCCCCATAGTGGAAGTTTCCACATAGCATTTCCATTCCCCCCCTCGGGGAACGAGGGTAACTTCAATAACCGGTTTTGCTTTGACCTGCCAAGCTTGCATGTCTTCAGTGAGACAAACATTTGCGATTTGTTCAGAAAGATTAAAAGCTTGTTCATTGGTTTTGTCCCACCAGCCGCCCCGACACTGCTATGCTGTGGTTCTTGATGCCGCTAAAGGCAATCCGGCACCTCGTCTGCAACCAATACAAGTGGCTGGCCATCAAATTAGTGTTGGCGCTGATGCTTCTCGCCATTCTGGGCCTGTTCCTCTACAGTATGCCTGGTTACATGGTGAAAAAGCTTCTGGGAGCTTGAGAAGCTTCTCTCTGCAACGTTTGATAGTACTGCAACATTTTACTTGGAATGGTGTATTGGTGTGTTGGAGAAGTCATACGCAAACCTACTTTCCTTCATTGCCTTCAATTATCACTGGTTTGATCATAAACAATACTAAACCTCAAAACTAAAATAGATTTAGAAGAGCGTCCAGTAGAGATCTCTGTGTTTCAGAAAACTAAAAACACATAAAAACATGTAGTTGTTTGTATATCCAGTGCTGATGTAAAATGTTTTTATATACATCTATAAATTAGTACATTTCTGGGATTTTCCGATGGTTGAAAGTTGTGTTTCTTCATTGAAATGTGTGTTATTGTGTGCTTTTGGCTGCTGCTAATAAATCAATAAAAACACTATGCATGCATTTTATTTGACCCAGAGAAAATCTTGCCATTTTTCTTTCTACAATTGATAGTTTTCAGTCACGTGACCTGTGCGGAGACATGACGGGTGAAAAGATAATGAGCTGTAATATCAGCTACACTGGGATCTACATAGAAAGACAACACAAATTGGTCATATATACATCTGTTTTAAGCTACAAATATTTGGATCGCATATCGACAGAAAACAGATCACAAATGAAATCGTTAACACTTGAGATCTATATAATGCATCTGCACCCGTTTGTCAGTCATTTAAAACCCTTAGTGTTTCTCTCAGAGCTCCAATTCTCCAATGTTTACATTTATCTTGTGGATATTCCTCAGCGATTTAGTCATGACGGCGAAAATCTACTTGTTTACTTCTGCTTTTTATACTTTGACTTTGCATTTCATTTAATTGTTTTAATAGTTTTAACAACTTAAATTAGAGTAGAACCTGTATAAAAAGACTTGCCAGTCAGAAGGAGATGTAATGTAATGTCTTGTCCACCAGGGGGGCGTTCCTCTAATCGTGTGACGTCACGTGAAAACTATCAATTATTTGCACCCAAGCTTCGAAGCAGTCCAGTTTTTGATCTTTGGATGCACTCGCTGCACCCATCATCATATTTCCTTCAAATGATTTTGCAAAAATCCATTTTGAAGCAATTATTAAACATTGTTATCCCTTTTGCTTTGACCTGCCAAGCTTGCATGTCTTCAGTGAAACAAACGTTTGCGATTTGTTCAGAAAGATTAAAAGCTTGTTCGTTGGTTTTGTCCCACCAGCCGCCCGGACATTGCTATGCTGTGGTTCTTGATGCCGCTAAAGGCAATCCGGCACCTCGTCTGCAACCAATACAAGTGGCTGGTCATCAAATTAGTGTTGGCGCTGATGCTTCTTGCCATTCTGGGCCTGTTCCTCTACAGTATGCCTGGCTATATGGCCAAGAAACTCTTGGGGGTCTGAGAGTAGAAATCAGTACATTCATTCATTAGTTTTGTGTCCTGCGTTTGAAATGCTTGAGTTTAAAATAATGTGTATGTCTGCATTTGGCTGAATAAAGACGTCCATAACCAGTATTGCTAATCTTTTGTCCTTTAGTGGCGTATATTGAGTGTTGATTGCTTCAGGTTGGTTTGCGATTGTTTGCTGTTGACCTGTACAGTATATATATTTTAGAACTGCACTATACAATGACCAAAGGAATCCAGTTTTGTAATGAGCTGAAATAAACGAGTGAATAAAGCATTAGGATTTCTGCAGTGTGTTTTTCTGTCCATATGTATCTAACATAGGCTCATTCTGAAAATGTAGCCCTATACACATTTCTGGAGATCACGAATTATGTAGCCAGAGGAACTTAACGCTGCATTTCATCATTAAAACGAATGATACGTTCCTTTTCATGCTTACCAGCTGATCGCTTACCTCCATATGGATGGCTTTCCTACTGTTACCAGTTTGTCCAATAGCTTGCCATGAACACGATGACTAGGTTTGAGGGCGTACTCGCACTATGTATAGTTGCCTTGAACCGGGCCAAAGCACGCTTGGCCCCTCTCATGTCTCCCCCAACAGCCCGCACTCGCTTTACATTTGGGCCTGGGCACGCTTACGTCATCGATGCTGCGCTGTTCAGTAAGCGCTCTCGCTCAGCACAGTGGAGATTTCTCTAGTTATATTGTTTTAGTTGTTTGATATGCAGTGACGCAGTCAAATATTTCGCTCATAAACAATTATAAAGCCCTCGTGCTGCTGGAATTAGGAGGTTTGCTGAAGGTGCAGCTGTCGTGCAGTGAGGGGTTTGCGTCTTTAATAATCTACGACAGTTTGCATTCATTGTACAGTAAGAATGATTAATAAATACGTATCAAACAGTCCCTTAAAAGTCACGTCTTGTCTTCAGTTTCGGGCTTAGGCACGTTTTGTACTCACACTACAAGGGCACCACACCTGAGCCCAAGTGAACCACGCTCTGGCACACCTCTTCCAAAAGGATCTGGGCAGGGTTCGGATAGCATAGTGTGAGTACACCCTGAGGTGTGAAGAGTGAAGAGTTCCAGAAAACGGGTAAGACAAAAACAAAAGCCATAAAATAAAATAGTTAATAAATTAATAGTTAATAAAAAAGTAAATAACAGTAAGAATGGGGTAAAATCTGAAAACATAGCAAAAATCGAGGGCTTTTCTTTTTCTGGATTGCTTTTGAAAACTGTTGGTTGAGTTTAGGAAAGTGGGGGCTCGGGTCAATCTGTGCTTTTGAAAACACTATTGGTTGGGTTTAGGGTAGGAGGAGGATGGGTCAGTCAATCGGTCGGTCAGTCAGTCAGTCTGGATAGATGGAACGGCAGGCACAAATGGCACTCGCAAGAGTAATTTAAGATCTCTGAAACTGTACACAGTGGCCTCTGGTGGATTTGCAAATACAAAAACTGCAAAAAAAAATAAAAATTGTACGTCCTGTGACGTATCTGATGCTCTCCAGAAATGTATATAGCAGTGCATTTTCAGAATAAGCCTGGGTTAAATGCATCAATGCAAACGTAGAATCAGTATTGGGTTTAACTAGTAACTGTAATTACTTACTGAAAGAGCAAAGTGTGCACTGAGTGTGTAGCACTGTCCCCACACAGCAAGAAGGTCGCTATTTCGAGCCTCGGCTGGGTCAGTTGGCATTTCTTTGTGGAGTTTGCATGTTCTCCCTGTGTTCATGTGGGTTTCCTACGGGTGCTCCGGTTTCCCCCCACAAGTCCAAAGACATGCGCTATAGGTGGATTGGCCAAGCTTAATTGTCTATAGTGTGTGTGTGTGTGTGTGAATGAGTGTGTATGGATGTTTCACAGAGATGGGTTGCATCATGAAGGGCATCCGCTGCCTAAAACAAATGCTGGATAAGTTGGCGGTTCATTCCACTGTGGCAACCCCAGATTAATAAAGGGACTAAGCCGAAACGAAAATGAATTAATTAATTTATAAGCAATTACTTACTTATATTTCACTTGCTTTAATTACTTTAATTCAACACTCCACTTTAAAGAAGAGAATTAATTCTATTGTGCATGCACTCATTATCTTTCGGCTTAGTCCCTTATTTTTCAGGGATCGCCACAGCAGAATGAACCGCCAACTAATCTAGACCTTCTTGCTAGGAGGTGACAGCGCTACCCACTGTGCCACCCTATAAGAGAACATGTGTTAGTGTTTTTGATTAATAATTTGATTTTGATACATGTTTGTGGTGCTTTGGTAAACGAAGTGTATTGAGGGAGTGTGTAATTGTAATTTGAAAAGAGTTTTAAGTGTGTGATTTTGAGCATGACTCTTTTTATTTATTTTCGGCTGTGTGTTTTTAAGTGTGTAAAGAGTCTGGCATAAAAAAGAAATGTTTAAAAATGTCAAATCGATCATAAAAACCTGATATTTTCAGCTCCAGTTGTTTGCATGTTGTCAAAAACACGCCCACACCCGGGAGAATCTCATGAATATTCATGAAGCGCCACTCAGTTGAACCAATTGTGTTTCAGGACATACCTGTAAGATAGCACACGTTTATTTTGATGGACAGAAAAATTCAAAGAGCTCGGAGAGTGATCCTACTTCACAAAATCGTCTGTATCTTCTGCATGTAAGTTTAATACTACTACCCTTTCGGTTGTTTGTGTAAATGGAGGGATATTTGTGTGTGTGAGCGTGATTTAAATGCCCGTCTGCTTCTGAAGCTGTCAGTCTCCGTTTAAGGATCATGTCAAAATAACACGGTCATCTAAACACCGTGATAAAACATTATTTTTACCCTCTTAAATGTGTTCGTACTCTAATATCAGGCTGACTTGATCATTTCACCAATTATACCTCTAAACAAAGTCCCCAAAACGAAAATAAAGTAAGAGTTGACTTTCCAGTTCAACAGGAAGGAAAGCTCCAGCATTCTGATCTAACTACTAATTCTTTCTTTAAACAAGGAAATACAGAATTATAAAAGAGAATTAACAACAAAAGGTAAATACATTTAACTCATATTAAGCCTATTAATTATGTACATTTAGTGTTTTTTCAGCAGTTGAGATGTCTTAAGAGCCTTAAAATACTCTTTATTAAAGTCAGGGAATCTTAAAAATCTTTAGATCACTGTAAAATACATTGGAGTTTGGTACAGTCCGCATCCATTTTGTGTTGTGAATGCGGCACTTTCCAAATAACATTGGGATTTTAGTTATTTTGTCCATTTCTGATAATCTAGAGTTACAATACATAAATTAAACCAATTTATCACTGATGTAACAACTGTCACCGGGAGTTTTTCAGTTTTTAATTAAATATAAATATACAAATAAATAAATAAAAATCTTGAGAATCTGTATGTAAAAAATGTATATATATATATATATATATATATATATATATATATATATATATATATAGACCAATTACCATGTTTGTAACCATTCAGGATGCGCGCGCAGGGAGGTGGCAGAAAGCAACCGGGAGCCCCAGCATTTACAGCAAGGGAATGACATCAGATGCGGTGCAGAGTTTGTTGTTGTCTTAGAAACAAGATATATTGATTACATATTATATATATTATTTACATAATGCTTACAGCATATTATAACAGCTCGTCACCCAGTGACAAGCACAGTGATTCAGCAAAATTAACGTTAAAGTGAGCGGCGTTCATCTGACAGCTCCATTTGCGATAGCACCCACCCAATGATTATTGGATAAGACGAAGTGACCGAGCATCCAGCCCCAAATATACAATCTCAATGAAGCTCCGAGTGATTTTACAAGAGAGAAGTTAACGGTCTACAAGTCTTTGGATGCCAACAATGTTGTTCTTTGAGGTCATGTGCAATAAATATTGCTCCATGATGACCAGATTCAAGAGCTAAACACCGAGATTCCGCCTAGCCAAAGACAAGAAAACAAGACGGAGCTAACGTTATACAAGGCCTGGGTAATTAATCACCAACACGCAAAACAACTGAATTCTGACAGTGAACTTCACCTGTACGGCAGGGTATGTGAACCTACACATAGAGGTAAAGTTGGTTTTCTATTCGCACATTCAGACTTTCTCCTTAATAATATAATTTCATATAAATATTATTTGCTAACTCTAAATAGCGAAATCATATTAGCAAGAGCCAATGACTATCAAACAACATTGTTCACAGTCAAATAAACAGTGTTAATGTTGTTTTCAAGTCACACTCACAGGTTATTTCAGACCGAATATTCAAAGTGCCGTGGTAAACAATATAGGGAGTTTGTCACAAGTTGTCACTGAATGAATGTGTGAATATAAAACTAAGTTTACCTTAATAAACGTAACTTTCACGTTTCATTCTTAGCATTCAGCGTCAGCAGTTTAATTCACCATAAGTAACTGTTTTTGCTGAAATCATTTCTGCAATCAAAAACGAGTGATGAGTATGATTCAGCATAGCGTGAACTGACCTGATATGACATGAGAACTGCAGAGTCCAGCTTTTCTAATTAGCTCTTCACTTCATTCAGCTCCCATTTAGCCAAAGACGTCTGCAGTCGGTATTAAAGCAGTGTGTGGTGGATGGTTAAAGTTAAGTTTTCCATTTTTGGACTCGAATTCGGCATCCTACCGCAAAACACGACATCTTTCCCATTGCAGCCTGTCTGTTTTTTGCAACCGGGGACCCGTGTGAAGTCATGTGTGACGTAGGTTGGTAATTGGTCTATATAATTAGCCCCCCTAATTTTTCCCCCAATTTCTGTTTAATGGAGAGCAGATTTTTTCAACACATATCTAAACATAATAGTTTTAATAACTGAATAATTTTATCTTTGCCATGATGACAGTAAATAATATTAGACTAGATATTCTTCAAGACACTTCTACACAGCTTAAAGTGGCATTTAAAGGCTTAACTAGGTTAATTAGGTTAACTAGGCAGGTTAGGGTAATTAGGAAAGTTATTGTATAACAATGGTTTGTTCTGTAGACTATCAAAAAAATATAGCTTAAAGGGGCTAATAATATTGACATTAAAATGTTTTTTTTTTTATTTTATTAAAAACTGCTTTTATTCTAGTCAAAATAAAACAAATAAGACTTTCTCCAGAAGAAAAAATCATTAGACATACTGTAAAAATGTCCTTGCTCTGTTAAACATCATTTGAGAAATATTTAAAAAAGAAGAAAAAATTTAAAGGTGGCGCTAATAAATAATTCTGACTTCAATATATATAATCTTTACAATAAGGTTTCATTAGTTACTGTATTTACTAACAATAATTATGACAATACTTTTACAGCATTTATTAATCATAGTTCAACATTTACAAATGCATTATTGACATCCAAATGTATTGTTAACATTATGCACCGCAAGTTAACAAACTAACAATAAGCAAATGGATTTTCATGAACTAATGTTGACAAACATGATCAAATACTGTAATAAATGTATTGCTCATTGTTTGTTCATGTTACTAGATATATTAACTAATACTATAAACATAAAAAATGCTGAGTTCCACATAATTTTTCATGTTCTCCCAACACCAATCAATTAAGTTAACTTAACAATGACACACAATTTATGTGGAAAGAACATAAAACAATTAAGTTGTCCCAATGAAATATCAAGAATTGAGTTGTTTCAGCTCATTTTAAATAATTAGTTTGAACAAACAATATATATATGAGCAATATCACACGAGTAGCAGTGTGATATGGCGATATATCAGCACTGGTGGGAGGCGTGCGATGGCTGCAGGGCCATCTGTAATTATACAACAGTTTGACAACATAATTGTGTATATAAAAACAAAATCAAACATGGAGAGTCTCAAAAACCCTTTTGTATGAGGAACTGTAGTGTCTGCTTTTTGCTGGCTGTATGTGGGCGGAGTAATACACAAATGGTAAAGAGGCTGTAGGAGTTCTGATATTGCAGAATATCGCACGGCTATCAGCCAATCAGATTTGAGAACCAGACAGAACTGTTGTATATATATATATATATATATATATATATATATATATATATATATATATATATATATGTGTGTGTGTGTGTGTGTGTGTGTGTGTGTGTGTGTGTGTGTGTGTGTGTGTGTATACACACACACACACACACACACACACACACACACATTTGAAGTCAGAATTATTAGACCCCTGTATGATGTTTAACAGAGCAAGCAAATATTCAAAGTATGTCAGATAATATTTATTCTTTTGGAGAAAGTATTATTTGTTTTATTTCAGTTAGAGTAAAAGCAGATTTTAATTTTTTAAAAGCTATTTTAATGTCAATATTATTAGCCCCTTCAAGCTTTATTTGTTTCGATGGTCTACAGCAGTGGTTCTCAAAGTGGGGTCGCGGGGCAATGGGGCCTGGTGATTTCCAAAAATCTATTTATTTTTTTTAAACTATAAGAATTAACATATTTTATCCATAACTATACTGAAAATAAAAATAGTTGTCTATAGTTACTATATACTATATAGTGACTAAATTAGCTTATGTTAACTAGTTCTATTGGATTGCGACCCCTGGGGTAATTACATTATATTAAAGGCAGCAATAGCGTCAGATGCATTTTGATTTTATAACATCAGGTTATACTTTCTGGCACATTTTAAGCACTGACACAAATTTAATTGGTGTGTCTGCGTCATTGCATGCAAGGTTTCTGTATTTATGACCACCTCAGAGGATATTGGGGTCGCGAGTCACTGGCATTGTTATTTTGGGGGTCGCGGGCTGAAAAGTTTGGGAACCCCTGGTCTACAGAACAAACCATCGTTATACAATAACCTGCCTAATTACCCTAACCTGCCTAGTTAACCTAATTAACCTAGTTAAGCCTTTCAATGTCACCTTAAGCTGTATAGAAGTGTCTTGAAGAATATCTAGTCTAATATTATTTACTGTCATCATGACAGAGATAAAATAAATCAGTTATTAGAGATGAGTTATTAAAACTATTGTATTTATAAATGTGCTGAAAAAAAAATCTGCTCTCCGTTAAACAGAAATTGGGGAAAAAAATAAACAGGGTGGCCAATAATTGTGACTTCAACTGTGTATATATATATATATATATATATATATATATATATATATATATATATATATATATATATGTATGTATGTATATATATGTATGTATATATATATATATGGGGCCTGTTTTAGCAAGTGCTTGTTTGTGAACTCATCGTTGATTGATATACAGTGTAATGTTTTTAATCTCAGTATATTGTCATCTCCAGGTCCTGGTCAGCGGCTAATTGTTTCCTCAAAGCTCTGCTAATGTTTGCATTGGTGTTTTAGCTGCAGTATGGCAGAGGAGCGAGTAAAGGACTCTCTCTCAGGGAAGCACAGGTAATCACTCTTTTTACACCATTATTTAAACACTTCCCTCAAAGAACAGTCTAGAAGCAATGCACTAATGATTTGTTGTTATTGCATGATCGACTGATAAACAAAGCTTCAGATTACAACTTTCATTTAGATCATTCTAGTTTACAAACCGGTTGGATGTGCTGTCATACTTACCAGAGCTAAATATGTGTGTAATGTGTCGTGTTCAAACTCTGTACAACAGATCAGATGAAGCTCAGTCTGACTGAAACATAAGCTTTTCTCTTAGACACCACATGTAAACTACACACTCTTACACACTGGGGAGATAAATTACAACGTGTGATTAAATAATTATTACTACTTATAATTGCAATACTGCTATTAAAAGGGTGAACTAAAGGACATCCCCAAATATATGAGTTTTCGGAGTTACTTTTAGTAGAAATCACACAGAAAGGGCAAGATATATCAGCGTCACAGCGTTCACTGAACAATGATCTGAGCAGGCTACATAACAAGGCTTTAGAGTTAAATGTGTTTGTCTGTGAAGTTATAATAGAAGAGGAAAAGCAGCATCTGTTTACCCATGATGCATCTGTAGTAGACCTGATCAGCCAGACCTTGACCTTGAAGATTTAGTTTGTGCTAAATTAAACTAAACTCATCGATTTGGCTTATAAAACTCTTTTGAACAGGAATGACGTATTTGCTGCAGTTTATTCCTCTGGTTTCTTTGTGTCATCAGTGTGAGATCAAGTTCATGTGTGTCCCGCTCTGTGTCTCTGAAGAGTGACGAGTCAAGGAAGGGTTTACCTCCAGAGTTCAGTGAGCAACCACCATCATCCAACAGAAGGTACTTATAGTCCAAAGAGACCAAAGACCTGTAACATGGCTCTTTGTTTTTTAGGAAAAGCATTCTAATTTGTTTTTGTTTAATAATATTTTTTATTTAGCATGTAGAGGATTTTTAAATTATTATTGTTGCATTAAGGCGAGGCAGTGGCGCAGTAGGTAGTGCTGTCGCCTCACAGCAAGAAGGTTGCTGGGTCGCTGGTTCGAACCTCGGCTCAGTTGGCGTTTCTGTGTGGAGTTTGCATGTTCTCCCTGCCTTCGCGTGGGTTTCCTCCGGGTGCTCCGGTTTCCCCCACAGTCCAAAGACATGCAGTACAGGTGAATTGGGTAGGCTAAATTGTCCGTGGTGTGTGAATGTGTGTGTGGATGTTTTCCAGAGATGGGTTGCGGCTGGAAGGGCATCCGCTGCGTAAAAACTTGCTGGATAAGTTGGCGGTTCATTCCGCTGTGATGACCCCGGATTAATAAAGGGACTAAGCCGACAAGAAAATGAATGAATGAATGTTGCAATAACTAATATTCATTTAGACATCATTGAAAACAATGGAATTTATTATTATTAATTATTATTATGAGTCAGGGACTATGATTGAGGAATATTATTATTATTATATATGTTTTTTATTATTATTAATAATACAGTATTTATAGATAGAATAGATACTGCAATAAATGCAGTCGATTGCCGTTTTGGGGGGTACATTAGCACCATCTGCTTAAAAAAAGGGAAAATGATGTCTTTTGACATGGTGTAACTTTTGTGCCTATGCGGGTCTTTACAGAGCAGCTTGCTGTTTTCAGACAATTATGTTGGCACGGTGGCTCAGTGGTTAGCACTGTTGCCTCACAGCAAGAAGGTCGCTGGTTTGAGCCCCGGCTTGGCCAGTTGGCATTTCTGTGTGGAGTTAGCATGCTCTCCCCATATTGGCGTGTTTCCTCCGGGTGCTCAGGTTTCCCCCACAGTTTAAACACATGTGCTATAGGTGAACTGAATAAGCTTAATTGGTTGTGGATGTTTCCCAGTACTGGGTTGCTGAAGGGACTAAGCCAAAGAAAAATGAATATAGTGTTTAGTCTAGTTCAGCAAAATCACACAAGCAACAACTTCAATATCACACAAGTGCTGCTTTTGTTCTGAGCTGAATTAACATTCAGTCTGAAAAACATCAACAATCGAAAATAAAAGTCCAGCAATTCCCAGTTCACATGGACTTTAACACAATACGGACTTTTGGGGTTGATTCACATCTAAATTGAATTTGTAGTAGAGCAATGGTCTGATGGCACAAGTGACAAATGCACCCAATATCCAGAGAGTCTTTCACATCTGTAATTTTTATTTTGAGACCTATATAACATTTAAAATAATTTGTCGAACTTTAGATTTCTTTTATCTCAAAGTGAAGTTTATTTATTAACTAATTTCGAGAGGATCACATGCTTATGATTGCTTGCAGCTGGAAATGCATTATCCAATTTACAATGCACCAATCAGAGGATTCCTAAGCTACTACAAATACCCTAGATCAGGTGTCACCAATCCTGGTCCTGGAGGGCCGGGGTCCCTGCAGGGTTTAGCTCCAACTTGCCTCAACACACTTGCCTGGATGTTTCAAGTATACCAAGTAAGACCTTGACTAGCTTGTTCAGGTGTGTTTGATTAGAGTTGGAGCTAAAGTCTGCTTGACACCGGCCCTCCAGGAACAAGTTTGGTGACCACTGCCCTAGATCAGTGGTTCCCAACCTTTTTCTTTGGGGCCCCCCCCATGAACATATACAAACATTGGAGCCCCCCCACCATATAAATACACACGCACGCACACACATATGTACTGTATATATATATATATATATATATGTGTGTGTGTGTGTGTGTGTGTGTGTGTGTGTGTAATATTAATATATAGTAATACGTATAGAAAATATTAATTAATCAGTTTTAACTTGTCTTGGCCTTCAATAAAACCAAAATTTAGGTAGGCTTAGTCATACTGTCTAATCTTTTTCTTCGCCTCTGAAGAATCACTGCATTTACGTTTGTCTGCCATTTTTGTTTTGATTTTGCCTTTACGACACGTTGACAAGCAGACTGCGCGAGTGAGCAAAATTTAAATAATTATTTAAAGTTATTTATTTTAATTATTTTCACTATTATGTTGGAATTTTAAGCATGTGTTTAGATTTTTTTTTTTGGTACTTAAAAATACATATATAATAGTAGGGCTGCTCGATTTTGGGAAAAATCATAATCTTAATTATTTTGGTCATAATTGTAATCACGATTATTCAAAACGATTGCCAGTTAAAGTCAAAATTATTAGCGCTCCTGAGATTTATTTATTTTTTCATTAATATTTTTCAAATTAAGTTTAACAGAGCAAGGAATTTAAACAGTATTTCCTACAATATTTTTTCTTCTATTTGTTTTATTTTAGCTGGAATAAAGACAAGAATAAAGCAGAAGGCAGCATATATTAAAGCATAAAGCATATATTTTTGATTGTCTGCAGAATAGACTACCGTTATAATGACTTGCCTTATTACTCTAATTAAGCCTTTGAACTGCACTTTAATCTGAATGCTTATATTTTGAAAAATATCTAGTAAAATATTATGTGCTGTCATTATAGCAAAGACAAAAAGAAATCAGTAATTAGAAATGAGATATCAAAACTATTATGTTCAGAAATAAGTTAAAAAATATTCTTTCCATGAAACAGAAATTGGGCAGGAAAAGGTTTGCTAATTTTCAAGAGGGCTAATAATTCTGACTTCAACTGTATACATACAGTTATTTTCCACCCTGCAAAGGAAAGAGAAATAAATACAATAGAATAAAAATATGAAACAAACTGTGTTTTAAGCATCTTCACTGTAAGAAAAACACTTTAGCTGCAGCAGTGCTTTAGTCAAGAGCAGCGAGGGTTTTCTCGTTATGTTTGTTTAATAATGTTAAAAACAGGCGGCAGAAGGATTATAGCGCGCTGTATCTTTATTAGTTTCTCTTTCACGTCTTTTGATCCTCAACTCGTTTGTTTATTACACGAATGAGGGTTAATATAAATAATCACTAAACACCGCGTTTTGACACCTATTTGACCATTACAGCGCTCACGTTAAGATGACTTTAGATGTCTGCGCTCCTCTGCTCGTCTCAGTGTGTGAATGAGAGTGAATGCTGACCGGCCGCATGCTTCTGACTGCGTGATCGTGCTGCACACACACATAAGCTCTTTCGTGCTTTTAAGAGCAACACGTGTACAACTGGAACGTGGCAAAATATGATACAATAATCATTTATCTCGATTAATGCTTTTTTATAATCGTTTGAAACCGAAATCTAAATCGGATTTTCGATTAATTGCAAAGCCCTTTATAATAGTGGAGCACTTTTATGCCTTTTTCTACCTCAATACCTATCCTCTCCCGCGCCCCCCCTGTGAACTCTGGCGCCCCCCTTAGGGGGGCGCGGACCCCAGGTTGGGAACCACTGCCCTAGATTATGTATCACAGCTATCTTTGTTTTGAAGAATCCCCCCCTCCATCCCTACTCCTCCTCCTTCCTAGATGTATGGCACGGTGGCCCAGTGCTTAGCGAAACATCTCTGGTTCCAGTCTTTACCAAACCAGCTGATGTTTTTGTGCGGAGTTTGTATGTTCTCCTCGTGCTCATGTGGGTTTCTCCCGGGTCCCCCAGTTTCCTCCCACCATCCAAAAACATGCAACCTAAGTTTATTGACCAAATCAACACCATAGACATGCTCCTACCAAGTACTTATCTTTAAAGAGCAACTACTGTCTGCTCTTCAGCCACCATGACAGGATTTCTCGAGATCTACCTGAGCTCAAACTCCCCTCTCGCCTTGTAAGGGGAGGGAGCCCCAGGCTCGAGGATCTTATGAGCTTAGGGCTCTCTCCTTGGACACCATGCTAAAATAGCTTTATAATCAATCATCAGCTAATTGTGAACTCTTGAAATGTATTATTTCAGTAGTTTTATTTGTTCACAGTGTTGAATATGAGTTATCAGATTCAGTTGACAAGACTCACTGCAACCGCAAGAGTTTCACAGACCATCTCCTGAGGATCTTTCAGGTGGGTAAAACTCATTTAGATTCATACTTACATATTAGTACAAAAAATTACCCTTCACTAGTAGTTTAACTAATTAATTTACTTTTCTTTTAAGATCCAACATGTTTTTGTTATTTCCTTCAATTGTAGGATCTTGAGAGCAAAATCTTCAAAGTTTTGAAGAATGAACTTGAGAAGTTTAGGCAAATCTTACAAGGAGAAAACACACAAGACTTTGTGAAGGGCTCTAATGAGAACCAAAGTAGTATCACTAAATCGGCTCTTGATCTCACACTCTTGTTCTTGAGAGAGATGAAGCAAGATGAAGTTGCTGATACTCTCGAAGGTAAGATAATTATGGCCATCTGTTCGACTGTCACTTAAAAAAATAGCTATAAAAGGGAAGACTAAAACTATCTTTTCTTTGCATCGTGGTTTTAGATGAGCTGCTCTTCATTAATCGGTTAAAAAGTAGCCTGAAGAAAACCTACCAAAGTGTGTCTGAAGGAATTGCACAGCAAGGAGACTCCACACTTCTGAATAACATCTACACAGATCTCTATATCACTCAGGGTGCGAATGAACAGGTCAACACTGAACATGAGATCAGACAAATTGAAGCTGCTTCCAGATGTCACAAATCACTAGAGATACAGGTTGAATGTAAACATTTGTTTGAGGCACCTGAACAAGACAAGCAGATCAGAACAGTCCTGACAAAAGGAGTTGCTGGCATCGGGAAATCAGTCTCTGTGCAAAAGTTTGTTGTGGATTGGGCTGAAGAAAAAGCAAATCAAGACATCAGCTTAATATTTCCTCTTCCATTCAGAGAGATGAACTTAAAGGAGAAAGAAAAACAAAGTTTAAAAGACCTCATAACTCAGTTATTCCCAGAGGTCAAAGGACTGAACCTTACAAGAAGGACACGAAACAAAGTCCTCTTCATCCTTGATGGATTGGATGAATGTCGCCTTCCTCTGAACTTTGCTGGTAATGAGACATGTCATGATGTTTCGGCACCAGCCTATCTGGATGTTCTCCTGACGAACCTCATCAAGGGAAATCTGCTTCCTTCTGCTCTCATCTGGATCACCAGCAGACCAGCAGCTGCCAGTAAGATTCCCGCAGACTGTATTGACAGGCTGACAGAGATACGAGGATTCAATGATGCCCAAAAGGAGGAGTACTTCAGAAAGAGACTCGCAGATCAAAATCTGGCAATGGAAATCATTGAGCACATTAAACAGTCAAAGAGTCTCCATATTATGTGCCACATCCCAGTCTTCTGCTGGATTTCAGCCACTGTTCTCCAGAACGTATTGAAGGAGACTAAAGTGAAACACAAGGCTTATGCTAAAACACTACAGGAATCTCCCAAGACTCTGACACAGATGTACACACACTTTCTCCGCTTTCAGATGCAGCAAAGCAGGCAAAAGTATGATGGAAAAAACACAGATGGTGTTTCCTGGGATCAAAACTTCATCCTTTCCCTGGGGAAACTTGCCTTCCAGCAGCTGGAAAGAAACAATGTGATCTTCTATGAGAGCGATCTGAAAGACTGTGGCATTGACGTCTATAAGGCATCGGTGTACTCAGGCATGTGTACCCAGATCTTTAAGCAGGAGACAGGAATCATCCTTGGTAACTTGTACTGCTTTCTTCACTTGAGCATTCAAGAGTTCATCGCAGCCCTTTATGGACACTTGTATCTAGACATCAAAAAGAAATCTGTGTTTACTGGACAGAAGCACAAAAATAAAGGCATGACTCATTTGCTCAAGACTGCGGTTGACAGAGCTCTGGAAAGTGACACTGGACATCTGGATCTGTACCTTCGCTTCCTTCTTGGTTTATCGCTTCAGACCAATCGACAACTCCTACGAGGCCTGTTGACACAGCAGGACAAAAGTGACCAGAGCAAAGAGGAAATAGTTGTGTACATCAAGCAGAAACTTGAAGAAAATCTTTCTCCAGAGAGAGCCATCAATCTGCTCTACTGTCTGAATGAACTGAACGACCACTCTCTGATGAAAGAGATTCAGTCCCACCTTAGAGATGGAAGTCTCTCATCTGCTGACCTTTCACCTGCCCAGTGGTCTGCTTTGACCTTTGTGTTGTTGACCTCCGAGGAAGAGCTGGATGAGTTTGATCTTCAGAAATTCAAGAAATCAGACGAGTGTCTCATCAGACTATCAGCAGTCATCAAATCCTCCAAAAGAGCTCTGTAAGTCAAGCTTCTTTTTGCTTTCATCAAAAAAAAAAAAAAAAAAAAAATAGACATTTGCCAAAGTGTACATAGCCATTAATCCAAAGTATAGTGATAATGAACATGCACAATATTGGTATTGTGGACACTTCAAAATACTGTCAATAATTATTTCATATTTTTTAGCGTTTTTACGAATATTCAGATTGTTGTGTTTGCAGCGGTTGTTCTTAATAGGGGATTTATTAACATTTTCTTGTTAATCTTGTCAGGGCGCTGGAACTTTTAGTATTATTCTTAATTATTCTAGTTTTGGTGGCAGAGTCCAGACACTCATTTTGTTTTGTCATGAATGTAGTGCTTAAGACATGCGCTCGCTTCTCCTGTCTTCGTATTTTTCTCTATGTTGAGCGTGGGGTCTTGATGAGCTCCAGCTACATGCTCTCTTGTCTTTGTAAGGGGGCATGCAATCTCAGCCAAGCTCAGGTCATGTGCTCTCTTGTCCTTGTGTTCAGTTGCCTTGTTAGCCTTGTCTAGTTTTTTATTAACGTTTCTCCCCTCTGGTTTTGTTTTCCTTTTGTTCTTTTTAAAATAAAGACCTCCTTACTGTGTTTGAGTTCTTGCACCTTCCCCTTCTGCAACCTTAACAGAATGATCTGGCCAATAAAAGAGGAATTAGCCAAAGAGATGGCTAGCCTCCTCTTTCCATCTCTTTTTCTCATGGCTCCTTCAAACACCAGATGCTTCAGACTAACCAGGAAGTCTACCTAAAACAGAGAGGTGCTGACATCAGCAAGAGTATCTGGATGCAGCCTTTATGATGCAAGCTGAGATTGCATTACTCAGCGATGCAATGTCAGACACAATGCACTCAAATGGAGCGAGTGACGTCACGTTGACTGGTAGGGTTAGGAATGGGGTTACGTGAGCCCATTAAAAAGCATTGGATGCAGCGCAGATTGCACTGCACCAGGTTTGCATCCCCACCCCTCTTGACATCAGGGACTTTGTCTGATTTGCTGTAGTGGATGGCCTGGTGTATGAGGATAACATGGACCTCAAAGAGGCTTTGCACATCTGCCTCACAAAGCCCCTCAGTTCCGTGGAGATGCTTGGACCATCTTGCCAACTTCTGCAACTAAGCTTGCCACATCCATCTGCAGTCAGTGAGGGTCTCAGTCCTCCAATGACCTGAAAATGGCAAAGGAAAAGGAAGAATGAACCTGCCTCGACTGTCATCCTGACTGCAGCACCATTCACTGATGTCCCTGTTAAAAACACTGCAGCACTCTTTGAGACAATGAAGTGAACTGTAGTGTCCAAAGAGTTGGTCCGCATCCTGCCTGATTCCCTGCCCTGCCGGCACCACCAAAGCTCTTCACCTGGTTGGCCCTGACATTTCCTCAAACGCCTCCAGCCCACATCTTTCCTGCCCTTATCAAGTTCCAAGCCCAGCTTGCCCCTTTCAAGCCTTATTTCCTTGCCTGCTTTTGCTTACCCTCCCTGGATCACCCTACCAGTTGCGTGGTGCGTCCTTGTTTCTTCCTGGCCTATCCAACCAGCTCAACCCTGGTCCCCAGTCAGGGTTCCTGACACACTCGGCTGACTCTAAACTGTCCTACCTACCCTGAACAGTTTCTCTGGATCCTCCCTAGTCCCCTATTCTAAATACCCTACTGTTTTCCCCTGCCTGCCAATAAGGTTACCAGATTCCCCCAGACCCTCACTGGGCGCAATCCTCCCATCCATCCTTCTTTGTTTTGCTGGTCCTGGCTTGGTTTCCTTCTACCTTCACTTTATGGTTTCTTGTCTGTTTCCTTTTTTGTCTTGTGTCGTCTGTCTTTGTGTGAGGGGGTGTTTCTTGTCTATTCTGTGTTTTGTACCTTACTGGCTGTTCTACTTGAGGACAACAGGAGGTGAGGCTGTGCACTCATTTATCCTGTTAATTCTGTATTGAGGAAAGTTCCGGGTAAGCTTAAGCTGCGCACTCTCTTGTTTTTTATCTTTGTAGCAAATGCTCAATCTTGGGCAAGCGCAATCTTGGGCTAATGTTCACATTGGCTGCATGGTTCTGTCTGATGTGAGCGAATGCCTCTTGTTTTAGTCTTTTTGTTCCATGTGCTCTTTTGTCTAGGATGAAATCGACTACAGAGAATTTGTAAATCGGTTCTACAGTGCTAATAAAGAAGGATTATTATTATTACCAGTAAACACAGTTAAGAAAAACACAACCAAACTATAAAACTTATCAAGTAAACACATGAATATAGTTTTTTGTTCTCTACACAGGCTACAATGCTGTAATCTCACTGCTCAGTCTTGTGAGAGTCTGTCTTCAGCTCTACAATCCTCAAACTGTGTTCTGAGAGAGCTGGAGCTGAGTAACAATGACCTGCAGGATTCAGGAGTGAAGCTTCTCTATTGTGGACTGAGGAGTTTAAACTGTCCACTGGAGATACTGAGGTTTGAGTTCAGAGTACTTTAATTGTTATTTTCATTAAGTTAATTATTAAAGTTACACTATTCATTTGTTTTATGATCTTCTTGTTCAGATTGTTCATGTGCAATCATAACCAAACTATAAAACCTACCAAATGAACACATGAACATTGTTGTGTTTTCTCTACACAGGCTGCAATGCTGTAATCTCACTGCTCAGTCTTGTGAGAGTTTGTCTTTAGCTCTACAATCCTCAACCTGTGTCTTAAGAGAGCTGGACCTGAGTAACAATGACCTGCAGGATTCAGGAGTGAAGCTTCTTTCTGATGGACTGAAGAGTTCAAACTGTAAACTGGAGATACTAAGGTAAATGATTTTAATACATAAAATAAAACATCTAAAGTGATGTGTTTTTATTCATATTTTACAAACGTATGTGTTTCTACTAAGGTTAAAATTGGCAAATGTATTTTGTTTGTATTATTTGACAGGATTTAAGTCCAGTTGGATCTTATTGGATCTAAATCTGGAAATAAAGGATAAAATACACAAAAATATTAAAGTGTTAATGATAAAAAAAGCCCTAACCCTAATGATGCAATCTGCAGGTGCAGTCACTAAGTAATCAGGGGATTACATAATGGCTCATTTCCACTGAGTGGTACGGTACGGTCCAGTTTGGTTTGGTACGCTTTTATGGCCGTTTCCACTGTCAAAAGCGTACCGAACCAAACCGTACCGTACCACTTTTCCGGCACCCTTTCGAAAGGGTCCCAAACACGAGAAAAGGTACCAAAAGGTGGAGCTACACGTGTAGCTGAACGCTGATTGGTTACAGAGATACATCACGAGCCCATGGAGCTACACAGAACGTAAACAAAGGAACCGCCATGTTTTTTTAAATACAAAGCCGAGACATAACATGGAAATACTATATTCATAAAATAACCAGCCATGGATGACCCGGGCTCAAACAAACCTTGCTGTCATCTCTGTGAACAGACACAAAGCCAAGAAGAAAAAATCTGCCGTGTCCTGTAGTTGTTTTACGAGCCCGTCTAAAAGTGCGAGCGGTATTCGCTTTCTTCCAAATCATTCGTTTTCTTATATTTGATACAACAAACTTCTTGAGCTGATGATAAAAGGAGTGTGATTTATTGAATTGTCTCCATCATCTGATCCATTCAGAAAAAAAGGACAAGCGCGAGAGTGAAGCGAGAGTGAAACGCGGGAAAAAAGAGAAGCCATCAAAACACAGGAGCAAAAGTGTTTTAGCAACCTGAATCATGAATAAACTGCCATGTTTATCTTCGTCTTTTGGACTATTATGAACTGGGAATGACAAAATGACTAACAGAGGTTGAGAGGTTTGCTCTGACCGTGGGCTATATTGCATGTGTTTTTGAACTCAAATACGTACTAAATATATGATGTGTGTAGTTTTTCTGTAATTAATAATATATTAGGAGACTGCAAGGGGCTGTGTGTGTTCATATATGTTGCATTTATGTATTTATTTTATATAATTACAGACGTTACAGTAGCCTATTTCGCACTGACATTGATCTGATATAATCAAATCATGTTCATAGAAAAGTTAGTAATAAACATTTATAAACAAGTATTTATGTGTATAAAGTGTCTGTTTAGTGAGAAGTGCTGCTCATTATGATATGTGAATGACCCGTACAGCTTTACTGTAGACATTTATTCGAGGTGGCGTCGACTTAAACTTTGTCATACACCACGCCCACCAAAAAGGTACCCTTTGAGGTGGAAACGCAAGCCTGGAAAAGGTGACCCGTACCGACCCGAACCATACTGTACCAGTCAGTGGAAACGAGGCATAAGGCACTCCTGTGAGATACCACACCAGACTTAAGCTGCGGTCACACTGGACTTTTCTCCCCATAGACTTCCATTCATATGCATGTGAATGCGTCAGACCGGAAATGCAAGGTCGTGCGTCAAGTTTTCGCATCACTTGACTGCGTGAGACCAATTGAGGATCAAAACATGAACTTTCTGGACAGGAATTTAACATATGAAACAATTGCTTGCTTTTTAAAATATCTAATAATTTAATCCCACCCCTTTTCACAGTGCAGAACGACAGAATTTTGCTAGCTCAAACTCTAGTGTGACCGAAGCTTTAATTTCAGAGCCTTTCACATCTCAGGAGAGATCACAACTGCTACTGATTTCCTGACCTCCAGAGTTCTACTGTTTCTCTGTCTGACAGAGAGTGTAAAAATGTATTAAGTGGCAATTGAGTTGGTTCTTCTATCCTGTCTAACCATCATTCCAGCAAGAACATCTGCAGTGCAAAGAAAAAGCAGTTTCCTCTCTCTCTGGGCGTGAGCTCTTGACTGTTGCCAGTCTGGGAGATGCTGCCTTCCAGATTGCAAAGTTGACGCAATACGCCACAGGCTCCTAGTGTGCCAGAGGACGAGCTCCTTTCTCACATGCCTCCAGCCTCTTTGTGGGATTCTGGCAGCAAAGTCAGTGGTGCAGGCTCTGTCAGCGTGTTTAGTCATAACTGCCCCTGTCTTGCGCAAGGAAGTTGCAGTCCTCTTGGCAAAGGATGCAATCAAGCTGGTCCCTTCAAAATGCTACGTGACATTCACATTCTGGTCAAGCTCACCTGTGCAGCCAACAGGCTCTCAAGGCAGTTCATGCTCTTGGGAGAACAGAGACTCTACTTTTGTGTGGTCCAGCTAATATGTAGCCCTGGTGGGACCCATTGAACCATTGGGACCTGGAGGTGTTTTCAGTCAATGAATCATGCTTGATATTCAGGCTGGGCTACTCACAATTGTCCTGAGAACACTGGCTTTTCATGTGCCCAAGGTTCCTACGACTCCCTTTAGAGACCAGGAAATGAACCTACAAGTGCTGCCTTTGCAGGAGGCATACCTATACCTTTTATTGCTGTGTCCCATTTATGCATTGCACATTTATATGAACCACACACAGAGCATACTCTGAGGGTGCTTTTACACCTAGACTTTTGTGTAGTGAGAAAGCGATATGATCCGATAGAATTATGAGCAGGGTGGGAGGTCATTCCAGACATCCCAAGTCTCCCGCAAGTTCCAGGAGTCTTCCGCAAATATACAGAGACTCCCGGATGCCTGCAAACAAGTGATAATCTCCCCAAAATCGCGCGTCTCCCTCCCGGTCCTCAAATACTTCGTGCACCCTTCTACCCTCCCCACCGCATCCCTCCTTGCTCTTCAGACACGTTGCGAGCACCTTGTCAAACACCACCAAACCCCCCGGTCTTCACATAAGTCACCCCCTTGTCTTTACATCGCTTATATTATCATATTGATCATGGTCATAATGACGCATGACAGCTAAGCGGGACTCGGCAAAATAAGCCGTGAGGAGAGTTTACTCACACGTGACTTGTTTTAGCTGTTTTGGTGCATTTGCAAACTTTGCTGTGTGAAAGCGAACAGCACCAAGAGCAAAGAGCAACAATGTAACAATTTAATCCCTGATTCGATGAATCGACCTTCATTTCAATCGACAAATGAATCGATTCACAGGTGTGAAGGCACCCTGAGTAGCCTTACATCTGTTGTGGTGGTTGGCTAAAGTGAAGTGCCATATCCGAACAGACGTTGGTCCACTGGACTGTGGATGCTCTCACCCTTGCATACCAAAGTAAAGGTGAGCCATCTCAGGAGACAGGTGGTTGATCCATTGCATTGTGTAATATGCCCGCTTGGTCAACCCACATTCTGGGGATCAGTGTCCCTTTCAGTGTCCCAGTCAGCCATGGTGTTACCCCTCTATAGGTAAACCCATGTCTTCCCTACCAGCTAAACATCCCTTCCAGCAAACCATCTTACTCATATGTACTCTTAAGTCTTATTCCGACATAATATCTTCATTCCCGCCGTTGGGGTATGAGGGTTACATCCAGGGCCGGAGTGGGAATCCTTTTCAGCCCTGGAGTTTCAAGCCTTAGACCGGTCCACCTCAGTTCACAACTGACTATATTGAAATAAGGTCATTTCCAATTCAGTTTCTGATAACACTATCACGTCTTTTTTTGAGAAAACAGCTGCTTTAGAACTTCAAATGTTCAACAACCCTAACAGTATTATATGTCTTAACAATAAAAATGAAAAAAAAATTGACTCAGACAAGGATCAAACCCGGGTCGGTGGCGTCGAAATCTAACGTGCTAACCACTCAACCAAAACAGTTATATGATCAGTTACCTGCAGGCTGCATCTTGCTCACGAGGCTGCGAGAAAATAGATAAAAAGAGCAGAGCTGCTGTAAAATATTGAATAAGAAGACTGTGGTCAAGTAAATAAATACATTAATTTAAAAAGTGTGACTGTTGAGAGCAACAGATTCTGGAACTAGGGACACCGGCCCTCGCGGCCAAAAAACGGACCGGCCCACCGGGAATTCTCCCGGTCCTCCCGATTAGCCAATCCAGGCCTGGTTACATCTGTAAACAAAATATTTTCACCACTGGTGTTCACATGAGCAGAATCTCAAGTGAGTGCTTTCATAACACAAAAAGATAATTGATTGTCAAACTCATGTCATGTGGCCTACTTGTGTTTTTAGATTGTCTGGCTGTATGGTGACAGAGACAGGCTGTGGTTTTCTGTCTTCAGCTTTGAGTTCAAACCCCACACACCTCAGACAGCTGGATCTGAGCTACAATCATCCAGGAGTTTCAGGAGTCAAGCTGCTCTGCCAAAAACTGGAGGATCCAAACTACACACTGGCCAAACTCAAGTATGTGGAGCATTCGGTTTTCTGTGAGGGTTTTAGAGTATAACAATCACTAACTTAAAGAGTAATGAATGGAAAAGGTGTATAAACTTTATTCATTTATTGTTTTTTACTTGGATTAGGTCCACTATAAAACAAAAGTACTCATCGCAATTCATTTGATATAAATGCATTTCTCATGAGAATAATTCTGCCTGCAGCCTTGCTGAAATATAAGTGAGTTTTAGTGTTTACTGACTAAATGTGAATCTGTGTTTTTAGTGTGGATCACACAGGAGCGAAGAGAATTACAGCAGGACCACGCAAATGTACGTCTACACACAGACACACACAGACAGACATAAAACTTTAAGGCTGATTTATACTTCTGCGTCAAACGCACACGTATGCTACGGCATTAATGCATAGCCCTACGCTATGCACCTCTCAAAAAAATTTAACTACTCGTCACAACGACGCGTAGTGTAAGCTCTGTGATTGGTCGGCCTGGTAGCGCTGACAAGTCTGGGCGGGACCGAGAGCCGCGCGAATGTCGCGACCCTGATGGAGCGATTGTTTGCAAGTGTGGAGTCCCGTAGAAGGAGCTCCGGATGGAAAGTTTTGTTTTGTGTTTACCTCATAGTTAAAGTTGTTGCACGTCCGCCGGTTCCTGCCTCAAAATGAGCGAGTTTGAGCCACTTGTTCATTCAGGAAGTGTTTAAGCCTGGTTTATACTTCTGCGTCAAGTGACCGGCATAACCTACGGCGCATGCAACGCGCGTAGCTGTGCGTCTATCAGGCCCGGATTGGCTAATCGGGAGGACCGGGAGAATTCCCGGTGGGCTGGTCTGTTATTTTGCCGCAGTGCCGCTCTTTTTATTAATTTTCTCGCTGCCCCGTGAGAAAAATGCAGCCTGCAGGTTAACTAACGTTAATGATGATGATGTAACTTAATGCAACTATCGACCCCAAACAGCGGCACCTTAGTAAATATAAGAAATCGAATAAAATGAATAATACACCTGCTCAATGAAAATCAGTAATAGCGCTATTGTGGTCCAGTGGTAAGCATGTTGCGTTTCAGTGCTGCAGACCCGTGTTCGAATCTCACCTGAAAATGTATTTATTTTATTTTATTTTATTTTTTCTTTTATTTTATTTATTGTTAAGACATATAATACTGTTAGGGCTGTTGAACATTTGAATTTCTAAAGCAGCTGTTTTCTTGAAATAGACATGATAGTGTCACTAGAAACTGAATTGGAATGAGTCGTGAGCTGAGGTGGCCCGGTCTGGCTTGAAACTCCAGGGCTGAAAATGAGTCCCACTCCAGCCCTGGCATCTATACATCTGCGCGCTGTTACTGTTGGTCTGCATTAACACGTCCGAAACGCTAATTGGCAGTGAGGTGTAAATATTCCTCTGTGTCGAGTTTCTTCGCAGGTGTTTTGATTTTCCTGAACACTTCCTGAATGTACAAGTAGCTCAAACTCGCTCATTTTGAGGCAGGAACCGGCGGACGTGCAACAACTTTAAATATGAGGTAAACACAAAACAAAACTTTCCATCAGGAGCTCCTTCACAGGACTTCACACATGTAAACAATCGCTCCATCGTGGTCGCACCATTCGCGCGGCTCTCGGTCCCGCCCAGACTTGTTAGCGCTACCAAGCCGACCAATCAGAGAGCTTACGCTACGCGTCGTTGCAACATGTAGTTACATTTTTTTAAAAGGTACACATCAGCGACGCCGACGGCCACGGCGTAGGGCTATGCGTCAGCACCGTAGCATATGCCGGCGTTTGACGCAGAAGTATAAATCAGCCTTAGTGAGCGTTGTTGTGTAATAAATGTGCCTCTCCTTGTGTTCAGGGATCAGTCATCTCACACTGGACCCAAACACAGCAAACACTGAACTCAGTCTGTCTGCGGAGAACAGAGAAGCGACACGTGTGATAGAGAAACAGCCCTATCCTGATCACCCAGACAGATTCGATTATCATCCTCAGGTGTTGTGCAGAGAGAGTGTGTGTGGACCCTGTTACTGGGAGATGGACTGGAGTGGAGATGTTGGCGCGTGTATATCAGTGTCATATAAGAGCGTCAGCAGTAAGGGAAATGATGAGTTTGGCTGTAATGATCAGTCCTGGAGTTTGAGCTGCTATTCCTCCAGATTCTCATACGGACACAATAACAGATGGACTGATCTCCCAGTGAAGCCGATCAGCAGGAGGATAGGAGTGTATGTGGATCACCGTGCGGAAACTCTGAGATTCTACAACATCTGTGGAAACACCGTACACCTCGTCCACTCAGTCCGGACCACATTCACTCAGCCTCTTTATGCTGGGTTTAAGATTTATCCTGGATCGTCAGTGAAACTGTGCTGAAGACTGCGGAGAGATTTTACCCATAATCCTCTGCTCTGCAGCATCAGTGAGATGTACTGGAGTTTCTTCATCACACTAATCCAACAGCAGAACTTCAGAAATTGATCATGTAAATATAAAAACAAGCTTATAAAAATATAATTGCAGTCAGTTGTGCTGTATAGAAATGAAGGAATAATCAATAGATATTTACTTATTTAAAAGAAGTCGCAATTGCAATATTCTACAGTATTCTCTTGTAATTAAAGGTGAATCACAATATTATTAAAGGTTGACATCCAGTGGTGGAATTAGGTTTTGCAGTTCAAATTTAAAACCCTTTTTCACCCAGTGCCTCCTCCGATGACTCCACACCAATGACTATAAAATAGCGCCATTTTCCATAGAACGCTTTGAAGGCAAAACACCTCGTGACAGGCACTAACTGTCGCAAAAGACTGCTGAAATTGGAGCCTGGGCATGCGCAGAAGGACTGCCTAATGGAGGCAAAGGACGAGCTGCGGAATCGAACTTCCAACCAAACGCTTAACGTAAAATAAAACGGTTTCCCAGAGATGGGTTGCGGCTGGAAGGGCATCCGCTGTGTAAAAACTTGCTGGATAAGTTGGCGGTTCATTCCGCTGTGGCGACCCCGGATTAATAAAGGGACTTAGCCGACAAGAAAATGAATGAATGAATAATATACGGGTTTAAAACTGTGTGATGTGAGCTGTTATAATTTAATAAAAGCAATACATGTTGGACTGCAGAAATAAAAGATCTTTCATACGCTCTAGCTTGAGTTGGACTAATATGAGTACAAAAAATATTCTCTTATAACGGGTTGTTGGTATTTCTTATCTTCATAGGGGTAGAAATAACACTTGTAAAATATGAACAATAACATATAAACAACACGTACATTTTTAGACAGGTTTTTATATTTTATTAGCAATCAACAGAACCCAAAATATAGCCTACACACCATAGATAACGATTTACCATGCGGGAACAACCGTGTGTTTAAAAGATAAATACAGCAAGATTTTTAAATATCAACAGGATATTTACACATCCCAACCCTGCAATTTGTACAAAAAACTTTGCAGTATTAATACATCAACTGACGTTTATCAGCTGCCGCAACATCGCTTGTAATGTTTATTATTTTTTTGCTAGTATTGTATTGTTTGCTTGTATTGATTATTATTTTTTGCCTCCGTTTCATTTGGTTTTATTTGATGCATTCATCATATCTGGCAAAGAGGAATTTACATTAATTTTAGAGTGCTTTCACACTTGGTTCATTTGCCTGGACCGTACCCAAGTTCGATTGTCTCCCCTTGCCACCTCCTCAGTTGTTTTGTGTTCACACTGTCTTTTTTCCTTCTGAACCCTGGTACGCTTGCGTCATCGAGCTGCTGTTTTGTTTACGGCCGTTGCTAGGTGAGGGCCACACCCGGTAAGAGTAGAGCAATATGCTGGTTTAACTGCATTGTTGTATTGCATTCCTGCATTGGGCTCTCACATACTCTGTGTGCTACTTCATAGCCGTGGTGGGCGTTTCTCTCTGTCTCGTGCTGAACACAGTAGACCAATCACAGCAGGGATAAAAATGAATGCATATTATAAAACAATGGTGTTTTTGACCTTGCATGCATTTCAGCCTGTTGTTGGAGACCCTCAAAACCAAAATATGACATGTTTAATGCATAATAGGGGGTTCTTCAAAAACTGTTGTATTGGGTAAGTTTTCTGTTATCCAGTAACAGGCTGTATGTCCTAAAGTTCGTGGCCACGGCAAACAGTAGTGAAGCTGTAAATAAGTGAACATAAAAGGAAGTGGAGACAGACAAATCGAAGGCTTAAAGCAGGGGTCAACAAACTTGTTCCTGGAGGGCCGGCGACCTGCAGATTTTAGGTCTAACCCTAATCAAACACACCTGAACAACCTAATGGAGGTCTTAAGCTGCGGTCACACTAGAGTTAAATGTGCTGTGGTTGAGAGTGTGACAGTATCGGACCCAAATAGGAGCGTAGCGAAGTTTTTTGGTCCCCATGAATAATAGTAATAAAAAAAAAAACACATGAAGATGGATCAAGAAGACAAGATGACGACAGCGAACAGGTTTTAAGATAGAATTCAAAACCTTTATTACAAAAATAAGTTACACTCACCTCATTTTACAGTATAAAACAATTTATTTGCTGGAATGCAAAAACGTTGTTGGCCACCAACAATAGTTTAAAACTGCGCACATCTTGTTCAAAAGGTTTGCAATGTTACAGCTTTATTGAGAGGGAGTTAACTGTGTACAAAACCGGTTGAATGGTTCGGTCACCTGCTTGCTATATATGGAATATAAACTGAAGCTGCAGTATCCCTTTTTCTACCAAAAAACGTTTATATCTTTGAATGCGGCGGCCACGGGGAAAGTGTCCGGCGTTAATATCGATTCATAATAGTCATGATTGATTAAAAACCCTACATAATTGCTCTTCAGAAAGCTAATGGGTAAATATGGAGCCAGATCAGTCTCAAAAATAATACATTTACAAAATAAAATTCATACATGCGCAGCACAATTCACATTTACAAAATCCAATTTGTGAATTCACAAGTAAAAATAAATTTGAATTAGCTAATTTTTGAATCATGTTTTGTTTACCAATTGGGAGTTTTGTATTTTTCAATTGTGTTTTGTTTATGAATTGGATTTGTGTATTTTTGAATTATGTTTTGAATTAACGAATTGGATTTTTGTATATTTTCTTATCGTGTCTATAAATTTACGATTCTGAGTTGTGAATTTTTATATTGTGTTTTAAATTTACGAATTGGATTTTTGCATTTTTTTATCGTGTTTTAAATTTACGAATTGTATTTTTGTATATTTGAATCGTGTTTTGAGTTTACGAATTGAAGTTGTATATTTTTTATTGTTTTTTTTTTCAATTTACGAATTGGGAATTGTGTATTTTTAAATCATTTTTTGAATTTACAAATTGGATTTTTGCGTTTTTTTATTGTGTTTTAAATTTATGAATTGGATTTTAGATTATCATGTTTTAAATTTATGAATTGGATTTGTATTTTTGAATCGTGTTTTGAGTTTACGAATTGGATTTTTGTATTTTTAAATTGTGTTTTGTTTACGAATTCGAGTTGTGTATTTTTGAATCATGTTTTAAATTTACAAATTGGATTTTTGCATTTTTTTTAATCGTGAATTAAATTTGCGAATTAGATTTTTGTATTTTTGAATCGTGTTTTGAGTTTACGAATTGGATTTTTGTATTTTTAAATCGTGTTTTGTTTACGAATTCGAGTTGTGTATTTTTGAATCACGTTTTAAATTTACAAATTGGATATTTGAATTTTTTTGAGTTTTAAATTTACGATTAGGATTTTTTTTTAATCATGTTTTAATTTTACGAATAGGATTTGTTTTTTTGAATCATGTTTAGAATTTACGAATTGAAGTTGTGTATTTTTGAATTGTGTTTCAATTTACGAATTGGGAGTTGTGTATTTTTAAATCGTGTTTTAAGTTTATGAATTGGGAGTTGTGTATTTTTAAATCGTGTTTTAAGTTTACGAATTGGACTTGCATACTTTTAAATCGTGTTTTGAAATTACGAATTGGATTTTGTAAATGTTAATTTGATTGTGAACGTATGAAATTTATTTTTTGTAAATGTATTATTTTTGAGACTGATCTGGCTCCATATGCGAGGAGAAAAAAGGACACTGCAGGGCTTAGCAAATGCAGCGGATGCATTTGTGATGTTTAAGCCGATACAAAAGTAACATTTTATTCCAAACTATCATACAATCATACACCCAGTAACTACATAATCTGAAGAAGCGAGGCGGCTAGTTCAGGTTGAGAGGAGGATAAGAGCAGGGCTTGTTCCAGCTCATCAGATGAGCTTGATTTGCATGCCCAGTTTTACTGTTTGCAATGTGAGAGCAGCAGTGGATTGACTATATTACATGAAGACGTTCTGCTGCCCTTGTGCATATTTCATCAGAAACAAGCCCTGCTCCTATGCTTGGCTTTTGTTTTTTTGTTGTTTTTTTTTTTTCATTTTTTAAGTGTCCCTATTTACAGTACAGGCAGGGTAGTTGAATCCTCGTCTACTGAGGTAGTTAACCGACCCTTAAAAAAAAAAGACAAGTTCTTAAAAGAACAGCGTTCCTGGAATGCCTGACTCGTCTTCGTGAGGCGGTTACACCAAAGACCCACAGATGTTCAAGCAAATCCAAACATTTTAGGTTAACATGGGACGTTCCGACAACGAAAAGTGTAGTTAGCACAAAAATATACATCAGCATCAAGCTCTTCTGAGCCACTTCAAACGCAGAAGTACAAAATAAAAAGTGCAAAAAAAAAAGACATCGGTTGTATATTGGGATCCTTAAGAGTCTTCGCGTTCAAAAACGTGGGCTGTTTAACCGGGGGCAGTAGCAGGTTTGGTTTATTTAGACGGGCTCCGAATGCGAAATGGCCAAAAATCGACTTGAATTCTTAGGGGTGTTTGTCGGAGTGGCAGTATAAGAGATGCTTCGATACAGGCTGGAATATCATTGGACCTTTGAGTTTGCTGTGAGCTTATGAACACTGGAAGCATCCGGTGTAACCCCATACAACAAGTCAGTCTTCATACTACCTGGTCAGGACCAGCCTCGACCCCTTTGCCCTAGGGGACAAAAAAAAAAAGAAGCAGGCTTTACTTTCAGACTTGAGCAGAAGTACATCATTAGTCAAGATCATGCAGGACTTTACCACTAAAGCGTATGCTGATTAACCTAAAGTCTACTAGAGTCAGATACTTCACACAAACATGAAACTGGAGTCATCATTTATTCACTCTTGACTTGTTACACACCAATAATTTTTGTTTTATTGAGCAAAACATTATGTTGGAGACTAATAACCACTGACATTAATAGCATTTGCTTTTCCTACTATGAATGTCAGTGTTTATAGGTTCCCAACATTCTTAAAAATATCTTCTGTGTTCAAAAACAACAACAAAAATAATCAAATCCGTTTGGAAGTCGTCAACGGTGAATAAATGACAATTTTTGGGTAAACTGTCCCTTTAACACAGGTGAAAGACGCAGATTGTATGGTGAAAGTGTTTTTGTTTGGGCAGGTTTTAATCACAGCTCATGTTTAGAAGATCACTTAGAATTTAATGTTTAAAAAAAGATGGAGAAAACCAGTAATTACCATAATAATAATAATAATAATAATAATATTATTAAAGAAAAATGGAAATGCAAATAAAGAAAGTGATTTAAAAAAAACTACTTCAACTGTTTCATTGCAGACAACAAGAACACACAAAATTTGATGTTTTGTCTGGTCGACTTCATTTCATTGTGAATACACATCCTTTCCTGTCATTTGGACCTGAATACATTCCAAAACAGGTTAGAACAGGAGCAGTTTAGGGCTAGTAATCAGATAAATTGTTTAAATGATGACATGATTTGATGCAGCTGATGTCAACAGGTGATTTTAATTATGATTTAGTACAAAAGCAGCATCCAAGAAAGGTGCTTGTCCAAACTCGGTCCTAGATGGCTGGAGTCCTGAAGGTTTTAGCTCCAACTTGCCTCAACACACCTGTAAGGATGTTTCTAGAAAGCCTAGTGAGAGCTTGATTAGCTAGCCCAGGTGTGTCTGATTGGGGTTGGAACTTAACTTTGCAGGACACCGGCCCTCCAGGACCGAGTCTGGACATGCCTGTACTAGACACTTCTGGCAGGTGTGTTGAAGCAAGTTGGAGCTAAACTAATCAGGAAACCGGCTCTCCAGGAATGAGTTTGGGCACCCCTTGTCTAATCCTTTAGGAGCAAAAATGTTTAGAGGATCGCCAGTTTACCAGCAAATACGTGAGAAAATTATTGAAATGTTTAAAAACATTCTTCCTCAAAGAAAGAGAGGGGGACATTCGGATATTTCACCTTCAACAGTACAGAACACCTTTAAAAGATTCAAGGAATCTGGAGGAATTACAGTGCGTGAAGGACAAGGGCGCAAGCCTAAGCTGAACTATGGTGATCTCCAATCCCTCAGGGGGCGCTGCATCAAGAATACTCATTCATCTATTGGAGATCACCACATGAGTTCAGGACTACTGCAGCAAACCTGTCAAGCACCACAATATGTAGTTACATCCACAAATGCCAGTTAAAACTGTACTGTGCCAAAAGGAAGCCCTATGTTAACAGTGTCCAGAAGTACCGTCGACTTGTCTGGGCTCGGAGGCATCTGGGATACACCATCACACAGTGGAAATGTGTACTGTGGAATCAGCATTTCAGGTGTTTTTGAGAGAATTGGACGCTGTGTGCTGCAGACCAAAGAAGAAAAGGATCATCCACACTGCTACAAGCAACAAGTCCAAAAGCCAGGGTCTGTCATGGTATGGGGCTGTGTCAGTGCCCTTGGCAAAAGTAACTTGGACTTCTGTGATGCACCATTAAAGCTGGAAAGTACACAGAGATTTTGGAGAAACCATATGCTGCCTTCTCTTCCAGGGGCACCCATGCATATTTCAACAAGACATAGACAGGATACAGTTACTTGACTGGCCTGCCTGGAGTCCTGACTTGTCTCCAATAGAGAATGTGACAACGAACACCCCATACTAAACGCCTGTAAACCTCTTAAGTGTTCCAGGAACCAAAAGTATAATACAGGTTTATTAAAAAAAAAAGAGAGAGAAAGAGAGAGAGAAAAAAAGAATAAATAACAATAATAAAGTTTTATTCATTCATTTTCTTTTTGGCTTAGTCACTTTATTAATCCGGGTTCACCACAGCGGAATGAACCGCCAACTCATCCAGCACGTTTTTACGCAGCGGATGCCCTTCGAGCCACAACCCATCTCTGGGAAAACATATATATATATATATATATATATATATATATATATATATATATATATATATATAAAAATCGCGAGGAACACTTTAAACAGTGTTTGTTGTATTGTCTGCAATGAAATATAAGTCAAAGTAAATTCAGAAATCAGAAATCACTACTTTATTATTGCCGTTTTCCACATTGTCCCAACCTTTTCTGATTTGAGGTTTATAAAATGTAGTTTTATATAAATATTTAGTTTTATACAAAATCATATACATGCAAATAAAAAACAATGCTGTTGTTTCCAGCACAGACTGAAGAAACACCATTACTCCTGCTGTTCTATGAGTGACACCTGCTGGAAGAGAGTGAATTTACGTTTTAAATCTGCTCATTTTATTCCAGTCTAATGTTGTTTGTACTGGTATGTTTTTCTAACAACTTTACAAAGATAAACATCTAAAATTTGATTTAAATCATACAAACAGTCCTAACTGCACTTCTCTACAATTCAATATTTAAAAGTAAAGTCAACAAAAAGAAAATGTACTCATTATTTACTCTCCCTAAAGTGGTTCCAAACATTTACAAGTTTCTTTCTTCTGCTGAACACGAGATATGACATTATGAATTCTTCAGAATATCTTCTGCTGTGTTCAGCAGAAAAAAAAAAATAAAAATCTCAAATACGTTTGGAACGTGGAGTGAGTAAACGACAAAACTACATTTCGGGTGAACTGTGCCTTTAAGACAAAAATAAAATGAATCCGTGCACTTCCAGAGCGATAGGAAATAAAAGTGCAAACCTTAATATCGTCCACAAAGTGCCTTGCATATGTAAGCAAATTGAAAAATGATGAAAGAGAAAAAAAATATACATATTTTAATCATTTTGTACACATAACCTCAACTTCAAAGACTAAATGTGTAGAGTAAAGTAGAGCTGTGCAATACATGATGAAATGTATCATATGAACTAAAAGTCTATTATTCTATATTAGCTCTTTCATTTTTATTTAATGGTGTCGCAAGATATATTCACAGAATGTTTTCATCATCTGCATCACTGCAATCAGGACGCAGGTGGAAGTGTTTGGCCTGTAAGTATTAGTTTTTAAAAACTCATATTTCATTAGTAAAAATCAAGAGTGCAGTTGTGGGTAAACCACAAAGACAATTGCATGAAGTTGATCAAATAAGACTTAAAAGCACATCTGATGGAAAATGGTGGTGTTTTTTTTATTTATATGTGCCTTCATTTAGTTTAGATTCACGGCCCGAGTCCTGACTTGATTTGACCGACGCCGATATTTCCTGCCACTCTTCCGGATCAAGCATGTGTTTTTGTTTTTTTGTCATTAGTTAATTAGCCTAATTGAGTGGAAAGCTATGCCAAAACTAGAAATATTATTACGAATATTTTAGCAAAGTCACCCTAAGCAAGACGTGTGGGTCTACAAAGTTGCACAATTAGCAATGTGCATCAACGATCGAGCTCCTGCAACAGCATCTCCTCCACTGGCACACATTCACACCGCACGCACAAGCAAAGGTGAAGCAGCGTGTTTGTAGAGCAGAAGCAGTGCAAGACAATTGGTGGATCTTAATGCATTCAATGGGTAAAATTGCTCGATGTGTTTTGGAGCATGAGCAGCGGCAAAAATAGACCCAGTGCTGAAAAGATCGCAGCACTGTTGCTTCAGCGCTGCTAATTCTCTGTACTGATGCACAGATTCTGCGTGTGGTATGAAAGCTCCAAACTGTTTTAACATGTTGACACCAAAAAAACATGCGCTGCTCACGCTCTGCTCGCATGCATAGCTGCCAACATTTGTCTCTGAAAATCTGTGTGTTTGCGGGTGAGATGTCTGAATAACACTGTTAAAAAAATAGAGGGATTTAAATCAGGCTCATAATGTGTCGGACCGGGTCGGGCTCAAATAAGGTGTTCGGGTAGGGTCGGATAGGGCTGCTCCATTTTGGAAAAATTCATAATCACGATTATTTTGGTCATAATTGTAATCACGATTATTTAAAACGATTATCAGTTGAAGTCAAAATTATTAGCGCTCCTGAGAATTGTTTTTTTAAACAACTATTTCCCAAATTATGTTTAACAGAGCAAGCAATTTTAACAGTATTTCCTCAAATATTTTTTTTCTTCTAGAGAAAGTCTTATTTGTTTTATTTTAGCAACCCATTATATTTTGAAACCCATTTTAAGGTCAATATTATTAGCCAAAAGAAGGTAATGATTCGCACTCAATTGCTTCGTGCTGTTTTTATTTTTACTTTTTCTCACATTTTATAGGTGATAACAGACACCTGTTATGTTATTACCCGTAAAATGTAAGAAAAAGTAAAAATAAACAGCACGAAGCAATTGAGTGCGAATCATTACCTTCTTTTGAATAATAGTAACGATAAGATTAACGCACCAAACCAAAGAAGTAACTAAAAAAAAACGCAAGTGCGCAGGACAAACTTCAGTAACTCTGCACACAATATTATTCGCCCACTTAAGCAATATATTTTTTGATTGTCTGCAGAAGAAACTACTGTTATACAATGACTTGCCTAATTACTCTAATTAAGCCTTTGAATTGCACTTTAATCTGAATGCTTGTATTTTGAAAAACATCTAGTAAAATGTTATATACTGTCATCATAGCAAAGAGAAAACAAATCAGTAATTAGACACGAGATATCAAAACTATTATGTTCAGAAATACGTAAAAAAAAAAAATCTTTCCATTAAACAGAAATTGGAGGAAAAGGGTTGCTAATATTCAGGAGGGCTAATAATTCTGACTACAACTGTATATATACAGTTATTTTCCACCCTGCAAAGGAAAGAGAAACAAATACAATAGAATAAAAATATGAAACAAACTGTGATTTAAGCATCTTCACTGTAAGAAAAACACTTTAGCTTCAAAAATCCTTCAGTCAAGAGCAGTAAGGGATGTTCTCGTGGTTTGATTAATGATAAACAGGCGGCAGCATTTCGCACTTTTACGTGTCTTTTGATTCTCAACTCGTTTATTACGCAAATGAGGGTTAATATGAATAATCACTAATCACCCCGTTTTGACACCTATTTGACCATTAAAGCGCTCACGTTAAGATTACTTTAGATGTCTGCGCTCTTCTGCTCGTCTCAGTGTGCGAATGAGACCGAATGCTGACCTCGTGCTTGTATGCGTGCGTGTTGCACACACACATAAGCACGCGGTCTTTCGTGCTTTTGGTATATGATGCAATAATCGTTTATCTCAATTAACGGTTTTTCATAAACGTTAGAAGCCGAAATCGAAATCATATTTTCGATTAATTGCACAGGCCTAGTGTCGGATTAAATTTTTTGGGCTCGATCGAAGCTCTACATCTAGTATCTCTAGAAAATTATCAAACTGAGCTACGGACATCCTAAAGTAAACTGATTGGGTCGAGATAATCCCACAGGTCACTCTGCGCAATCTAAGGATGGGTGGACCCAATATTTCCTGCGTGTGTGTGTG